CAGATCATAGTTTTCAAGAGATATAGCAAGATCAGAAATATTACTACAGGTCCATGCCTCAGATATCATAATAAATGATGGTTGGCAGATAGTAGCAAACATGACTAGATCTGTCTTTTTATTACAGATTGAACGAGCATTAATAAGACATATATTAAACAGATGTCCCGCTAAGCTAAAATAGTTTAGGGTATCTTGAGTAAAGGAGATACTATGAACTACGTGAGTGTGGTATGAGGATTTAGGGGGCGGACATGTTAAGTAAATTACTGAAATTTACAGGAGGGGTTGTTAGCCCGGGGGAAAGGGGGAGAATGTTGTCTGTTTGAGATTGTGCGAGGAGCGTGCTTTTATATTCTGCATGTGGTATGAGATGACTTGAGCTATATGTCGCGCAAGAGGTACCGCAAGTGGCTGTATCCCGAAAAAATTTTGATTCGGCTGGCATTGCAGTTCACCACCGTTTCTAGTAATGTCTTGATGACACAGCTCGTTACTAAGGTTAAATTTATACGGAATGGTTTTAACTTGTGGAGGGTTAGCCATATACGAGTGCCAGTTGTTATGGCCTTTTCTAAATTTGGGGGTCATGTTAACCAGCTGGCGTGGTAGAGCAGGATGCATAGAGTTTTCATTCTCAGCGTTTTTGCGAATAAAAGCCCGGGTCTTTAGGATAGGGTGAGGGTGAAAAATCTTCCATTTCCATTTTCACTAATAATTCTAGGATTAGGTGGTTGGGTAGTGCACCTAGCTCTTAGATAATAATTATTTGTGCGCATGATCAGATGTAGGTCTGACATGGTGTAAATGGATTTTCTACTCTAACAGTTCACTCCCTCTGGAATCGTGTTAGTTGATACGCGACCACCCCCAGTCCAGGAACGAAATCACGATAGTTCTGGGAGAAAACGGTTCTATTAATCAATAAAATGGAAATACAGACAATTACCAAACAATATTACACCTTCGGGTTCCAAATTACCCCAATGGGTATCAGTTTCTGGAAGAATGCTTGTTTTCCTAGACCTTAAGGCGGCATTTGACTCTGTTGATCGAGCGGTTCTGTGGCAGTGTCTGTCATTGAAAGGTGTACCAAAGAAGTACATTAACCTCATACGAGCTCTCTACTCGAACACCACTGGTCGAGTGAGAGCATATGGCGAACTGTCACAGGAATTCTCTACATCAAGTGGTGTCCGTCAAGGATGTCCACTTTCGCCATTCTTGTTTAATTTTATCATAGACATGCCCCCAGACATAACATTGTCCTCGTCTGAATTTTCAGGGGTAGACCTTTCACCAGGTGGCTCGCTTATTGACTTAGAATATGCCGATGACATTGTCCTACTTGGTGAAGACGCTGACAAAATGCAGAGTCTTCTGACTACCATAAGCAACAATGCAAGCATGTTCGGGATGCGGTTTTCCCCCTCGAAATGCAAAATGTTGCTTCAAGACTGGGTTGCATTGGCACCTGAACTAGTCATAGGGAGTGAAGTAGTCGAGCGTGTAGACCGCTTCACTTATCTGGGGAGTCTCATCAGTGCTGACGGCTTGGTGACTGACGAAATCTCAGCTCCGATACAGAAGGCTCGATTGGCTTTTGCCAACCTGCGTCACTTATGGCGTAGGCGTGATACCCGTTCGCTAACCAAAGGACGGGTGTACTGCGCAGCAGTTCGTTCCGTTCTCTTATATGGCTGTGAAACATGGCCGTTAAGAGTAGAAGATATTCGTAGGTTACTGGTTTTCGATCATAGGTGTCTTTGAAGCATTGCTCGTATACTGTGGGACAACCGAGTAAGCAATGCTGTCGTTAGGAAACGAGTACTAGGTAAGGATGGCAGATGAATCGATGAAGTGGTGAAACTTCATCAGTTGAGGTGGTTGGGACATGTGTTGCGTATGCCGAACCACCGACTGCCTCGTCCAGCTTTGTTTCGTAGTGTAGGAATAGGTTGGAAGAAAGCTAGGGGCGGCCAAACCAAAACATGGCATAAATCCATGAAGTCATTGACTAGTGGACTGAGCCATGTCGGTAATTGTCGACTACCTGGTTGGGGTCCGCGAGATGATAATAATCGATGGTTAGAGACCTTGAATGACATGGCTCAAAATCGTTCGCAATGGCGCCAGTGCATTTATTCTTTGTGTCCTCTCAAATCCTAATCTTCTGGATTCTTCAACCCTTCTAGTTTCGACTCTCTGAACTTTTCTCACTGAATCATACTTCTTGAATAATATCTTCTAATCCTAACCTCTCCGATTACTTCTAATTCCCTTACTACCTCTTCTACTATTGGATTTGAATTGACGATTACTTCTCTGTGCTGATGTGGTTTTTGCAACATGAACTGATGTACTTATGTACACAGTTCTACGTTGCATCTGACTCACTCTGGAAGAATAAGTGCTTCAAGTCCAAATTGCTACGGTATCAAATCCAAAATGGCTGTAGCCATATTAAATATCAAAATTAAACAACATATGTACAGTTCAGAAGGAAACATAAAAACTTCAATATAAGTACAAGATATAGAAATAATAACAATATAAAATCATAAAATCTCAAAATGGAATCAAATAAAGTACCAAAATGTCAACAGAAAGAGTCAGTCATATCATAACACAAATATATATACATGGAGGGATTTTCCAAAAACAAAATATTCAAAATAGATTCTACGCATAGCACAAACATTTGAAGGTTTATGAACAGTCTGCTTCGAGACATGCATTTTACTCATGGATATATAGACTGTGTTTTGAATTTCTCGGGCATTGTAATAGCCCTGAAGGAACTGCATCAATTAAAAGGGAGGTGGAGACCACTTAGAGATACACTGATCCACGTTCTTTAAGCTGACTCAAAAGTTTTCCTAGGTTCAAATAAATTATATCGTCGATTCACACCCAGTCGTGCACAACCACTGCAACTGTTAACAGATTCGCTTAAGGGAAAACCGAAAGATTATAAGTTGGATTCTGAAGCTACTGAAACGACCAAAAAGCTGAAGAATAAAGTAACCGAAGTATCTGTATTAATGTATCCGAAAAGCAATTCCATACGCGCTTAAACGGAAGTTACTTCAAACAAATCAGTAGATGTCCATAATGAACTACTTAGAAATGCGTAACAGACGGTTTTGTCCTCGAAAATGCTCGTCCATTCATAGACGAGATACCCTACTACAGAATGGGGGCTCTTAGCAATCTACCTGGACATTAGGCATTTCCGACACATGCTGGAAGGCAGGGAATTCATCGTTTACAAATATCACAAACTTCTAACTGTTGCGTTGAAATCTACATCCTTCAAATGTTAGCCTCAAGAAATCCGCAACTTTGGCTTCGTACCAAAATTGAACAGTGACATGCAACATGTGAAAATTCAGGAAAATCAGGCAGTGAATGAGTTTTCTCGATTACAAATTTTGAAGCTTTAGAAGAAAGCTGGCGGGAGGACCGTTAATTACAAAACCTGCTTTTACCAGAGAGAGCCAATATCAAACTAAAGCACTTTTCATCATTAACTGAAAGTGATTTGTTCTACTAAACACACACTTAGAGCTACAACTCGACCCTTCGTTCCTGAAACTGTGCGAAAATTATTATTTAACAATTTCTATTCATTATCTCATCCTGGAAAGAAAACTGACACGAAACTACTCTGCACTAGATATATATGGCCGAAACTACAGGAAGATGTATGCCAATGGGTCAGGTAATGGTCGACATATGACTGGTAGAAAATAACTGTCACACGACTTCATTTAATGGAGTCTTCTCACAACCGGCCCCATGTTTTGCACACGTTCTTCTACTTTTCATAGGTCCATTACCGCTTTCAAATGGTTCTAATTATTTTTTTTATATACATACATATATACCAAATACATAACTGGCTTGTGCCTAGTCAGTCTATGGAAGCCATAAATGTAAATCAGCTTGGCGGAATAAGGCAGCACGGAATGAAGAATATTCCACTGCGCTTAGTAATGAATGCAGAGGACCCCTGTGAGAATACCCGTCTTCCCAGGATTCTTCCGTTAACCGAAGAAATAGAAGCCAATCATATTACCGAATAGTTGGACTCCCGAAATAATGGCAAAATCCAAAAAAATCCAGGCATTTCATTTTTGCACTACTACGTTTATAGTACTTCATAACATGCAACATATTATATCTATTTATTCTAGTCGTATTTATTCAGTCACAAAACCATCACCCTCGTTCTCGCGTTTAATATAAAATTTACTTAATGTTTACATACTATGAAAAAGTGTGTTGTTGTTAGATGAAACATATTAGATTCAATATTAACTGAATATTTTTTTCGGTTGTTCTTATTGTCAAGTGTACACACTTACAAAGATCTTGCACTAAGTTGCTGAACGTTTATACGAAATAATTTGTCATAGAATCAGGCAATCCAGACTCATTAACTTTATTCCAATATCTGACAATGGCTGCAATACCAATATAATTGAATATGACTAAACATTCAAGAACACTGATTGCATGAATAAAAGATGAACTTCATCAAAGTCTGCTCATATTATGCCAAGGCACATTATTGTTAACTGTCTTACGTTACAGCCTGTGCCATACAGTAAATGTTTCTGCGGCACAAATAGCGTACTAAGCAGCAAAAGTTATGGCTAATAAGTAGTTGTCAAATATATACCAACAAGGATTCTAGCAACCATACACTTTAGGAAGTCAAAATCAACAATAATTAAAACCATACCACACTCTTCAGTCAAGACATCTTATGAATCTCTAGAATCATGTGTAGTCATTTTTACCTCAATTTTTCTTCCTATCTGGCTGTTATAGACCGTCTAAAGAAACTGGTCAACTTATGGATTACAGGAAATGTTGCTGAGCTGAAACCAGGTTGAGATTTGTATCAAACAAGGCAATGAACATATTTGGTGTTATAAGTAACAGTTTCGGTGTTTTCAAAAATTAAAATACCATGTACATATCCAGAAACCTGATAACCTCAAGCACTTGGAATTCAGAATGACTACTGCCAATCAGGTGTTCAAGGTCGAGTAGAAAAGAAAGCGCGGTTGGGTAGATTATTCTTCTCTCGTGTCCTACCTAACACCTTATGATATTTCTGACTATTGTCTGCTGTTCTCAATATTAAATGTAAGTGAAATCCATGTGATTACTGAGTCACTGGCTCTTTCTTCCCTTGTTATCTTTGTAGCTACCCTTATCACATCGTCTTACACACTCCCCCAGTATCCCAAGTACCTTCAGGCAAGATTTAAATCGCTACAGAATGTCTTTTCAAAAATCTTGGCGATTAAAACGTTCGGTTAAGTATTTCCGCTCTCCGTTAGCTGTTGACGATAGCAAAGTTTCTAAATCCATCCTCAAACAGTTAAATTTTAAACCGGTTACTAAGATATCATTTCGTTTCAATCCATTACTACCGAAAACGGAGTCCATTAGGTTAGTAAGTATATTATGAAAAATTTTTGTAGACGACTTTGTCATATACTCAGTGAACCGAAGTGGCTAACCTCCAATAGTAATTTGTTGATTAGGACCAATGTACTGTCAGAGAATCGCCCTCCTGAAATCGAGATTTCATATGGTATTCCAATAATGCTTGTAGCTTATTCCTAATTTTTCTAGATGGTGGTCAAGCCCTTATTCTGAAGACAGAAAATTTAAGTCTCCGAGAGACAATAGAAATCATTATTGCACATACAGACACCATTATGAGCCAGTAGTTTTCTGTTGACCTTTAGCAATACATATTTATTTACTTCGCGCAGTCTTTTTAGTTTTTGATATTGCTTATCCTTTTTAACCTCGCAATTGTGGAAAGAGATCCAATCACTTGAACTATAAGCTTTCGTTCATGTTTCCTCCAATGGAATTGTTTTCGTTTTAAAAGTAGTCATCTGTTCCCGCTTCACTTCTTTTAGTATTCAAGATAAAATATTAACATAGAATTTAAGACGAAAGGGGTTCTTATCCCCTTATTTAATTTGGACTCAATATTTATGATATACTGTGTTTTATGTGTGAATACTTGGTTTTATAGATAATGCTTATTTAATTATTTGGTACTGTAATGTTTACTTCTTTTGTTAAACTTGACATTAAAATCGCTTTATCAACCTTCAACAAATACTAAAATTTTTAATGAGTAATTTCACAAGGTATTAGTATCAATGCTTTTGTTATGTACATGTAAGGCTAGAATAATCTTAGCTCTTAGCAAAAACATCGTAAGTTTAATATTAGTTCACTGAAGACCTGCGAATTTGTACTAATATGGACAAATTCAAACTACTATGGATAACTGGATCTCATTCTAAATCACTAATCTGTTACATCAATGGCATTTTTACTTCAGCATGATGGTCAGGTCACAAAGTCAGCTACTGTTAATCTGAGTTATCATGTTAGGTTCAGACATCCTGCTCGCGCTCGTAACCAATAGTTGTAGACGTTCGGTGACTTGATGCACATTCAGTCATATAAGTGCAATTGTATTCATTCTCTAAGTGTAAATCTTGAGTTAAGCATTATTGCTAACGTCGCATCTCTTCAGTCAGTCAGCAACAACGTGTAACTTGGTACGTATGTACATCAGTTCAAGTTGCCATACCACATTAGCACTCGGAGATGGAATTGTCGATGCAAATCCCGCAGTAGTAGAGGTAGTAGCGGTATTATTGGTAATCGAAAATTTAAGGATGGGAGATGTTATTCGAGAAGTATAATCCAGTCAAACAAATTTATAAAGAAAACAGATCGTATGGTATTTAGGAGGTTAGAATTTGAGAGAATACGAAGATTTGATGCATCTGCATCATTACAAACAATTTTAGTCATGTCATTCAAAGTCTCTAACCACCGAATAAGACTGTCCTGCGGAAGCCAACCAGTTAATCTAAACCTACCAACATAGCTCAGTCCAGTTGTCAGTAACTTCATGGAATTGTGCGATTCTCCTTAGAAAAATGAAATCATTTATTGTAGACCAAACAATTACATTCACTAAATTTTTTAAGAGATTTTCGATTGTTGCATTATCGGCTGATTCAATGACTTTTGAGTACTTCATTTTTTATTATTGCTTGAATACAACATACTCAATGAATGCTTAATATGTTGTGAATAATACAGACACAAGAAAATCAGGACTGATGAGACTTCCAAGATAAGTGAAGTGGTCAGCACACTCAACTACTTCATTCCCTATCACTAGTTCAAGTGCCGACGCAAGCCAATCTTGTAGCAACATTTTGTATTTCGAGTTAAAGAATCGTATCCCAAACATCTTTGCATTGTTGCCTAAGGTGATCGGAACCTGCATTTTGTCAGCGTCTTTATCGTCATATTCTAAGTCAACAAGTGAATCTCCCGGTAAAAGTTCAACTTCTAGAATGTCAGACGGTAAAAATTTCTCTGAAAGCACGTCAATGAAGAAATTAAACAAGAATAAAGAATTTGGACAACTGTAACGGACATTATTTGAAGTAATTGATTCCTATGACAGTTCTTCACAAACTCTGACTCGGCCAGTAGTGTTCGAGTAGATAGCCTGTATAAGGTTAATGTACTCTTTAGTACACCTTTCAATAACGGACACTCACAGAACGTCGCAATCAAGAGTCAAATGACGCTTTAAGGCCGAGAAATACTACTGTAGGACATTTGAGTCTGTCTATGTCCTAGGACCTGCCGAAATGTGAATATCTGGTCTATACATCCACTTCCAGGTCTGAAACGTGTCTAGTTTTTCTTCAGTCTGCTTTTCAAGAGCTCTCGTTAGGCTTCGAAGTATTACTGAAACTATGTTTGTTAAAATAAGGAGGACATTGTCCTTTCTTATAGACCGGGACAATCAGCAATTGAAAGCAGTCAGATAGGATAACGTCCAGTTCCAAGATTCTACCTAAGATCTCAGTCAATTTAACTGATAAAACTGGATCACCATCACTAGGAATCTCAGAAGTTAATGTTTCAGGACCTGCTGCTCTCCCTCTCTTAAGATAAATTATAGTCTTTTCAACCACCAAAAGAGTCGGAGGACTTGCCATTTGGGGTTGAGTAAAGATGGTGGGTAACGGAAGTGTGCACTCGTATTAGAGCATTACCTGAATCTGAACATGTGCTCCAGAAGGAGTGGTAGTCTTCTGTTAAACCTTTCTATCGGTGGCTGATAGCGATATGGTCTACTGGGGTCCAGGATTGAGTCGATTTTGTGTGTCGTCACGTCAAAAGATCCCTTTCTTTATGCTTAAAGTTAGTGTTTGCTAGAAATAGGCAATTATCTCAGCATAGCTGCAGCAGATGGTCGCTATTATCTGTTCGGTCAGCTGCAACACCATAAGATCAACCCATGTCTTTCCTTTCCACTTAGTCTATCAACTTGAGCATTGAAGTCACTAGCCACTATTACTATATCAGAGCGCCTAACATTTTGGAGGAGGTCCGAAAGCTTTCTGTAAAACTCATCTTTTACCTCGTCTGAACTTCAGTCAGTGGGAGCGTAGGCAGATATGATGAAGAGGTAACGGCGACTGTTCCTATCTTTCCGAGTCCTTACTGTCCCGTTTGGTTGGACAGCGCATACGCAGCTATCTACCGGGACCCAGTCTAAGAGAGCATGTCCTGCCCTAGGACTCAATGCAATACCTACACTAGCTTCTAGCTAGTCAAACGTGTCGAGCACTTCAACGGTCAAAAAATACGTTTGGTAATCTTCAAATGACGTGTTTGGGATATTTGTTATATATATTCTGTCACAGCCTATCGTCATTGCATTATTAGGTTAAAGGAAAAGATCATACGTGTTTGTGTAATTTACGCTGGAAATTGTTATAATTCTGTTTTACTTAGTAGGTAATTCACTTCGAACTTTAATATCATGTGTAAGAAAGCAGATTCCTATATCAATGTTAAGTTTACCATAAAAATTTCTTGCTTTGTGATTGGATACTAGACACATCTTGCGTTGAAACGCAGCTATTCTATTGTGGCTTTTTTTCAGACAGCTAAATTTAGATTAAGATCCGAGTAACTAACGATACAATTGTCTTAAAGCTTCATAATGAACCAAATTTATCCAATCTATATTATTATTATTATTATTATTATTATTATTATTATTATTATTATTACTATTGATGCTGTTTTCCTTCAAACTGTTATTTTGCTAGTCGAAAGCAATACCAGTTAACGTTGTAGCTATTTTTTTTAGTGGTAATTTCTGTTAGTCTTCCATACAGATATTTCTACTATTCATTCAAGTACATAATTTTGTACTTGGTAATTGAGTAGCTTCCTCATATACCACAAGGACGACCGATTGTCAAGCAGATCACTTAGTTTTCAATCTTGCTTAACTTGGAGTTGTTCGTTTAGTGTTCAGTAAATCCAAACCTTTTAGATTATGTTGAAGTTAATGCAAATGATGTGACATTATAGCATAAATGTCAATCGTGAAATCAGTTGTTTAAGTATAAAGACTTCAAAATTATATATATATATATATATAGCTATTTGAATAAATACTTGTATCCCGTATATGTATGTGTGTATCATACATATTGACGTTTTTTTTTATTATAATAAAATTGTTTGATAACATAAATATTCTTTTTTGTTGAAATGAATGTCCGATATTGAACGATGATTATTTTTTAAAAAGTTGTATACATTTCAGTAATATTAACTATTTTACTAATCTGTTTAATGACTTGTCTCAACTACATTGTTTATCCATGTTTATTATCATGTAGATTTTAAGATTAAGTTTTATGATATTGATAGACATCATCAATTCATAACAACCATTTAATTTTCAAATTTGTATAAGAGACAAAATAATTAGTTAGTTAGTCAAATACAGCGTAGAACTTAGCCACATATTTAAAGCGATTCAAACTGTCATATCATGTTAGCACAGTGAAATGAAATTCGTATGTCCCGTCCGAGAGTGATCGAGGTAGTAATAGTATTAATGGTAATAGAAGAGGCCAGATATCCAAGATATACATTAGTGAAATCGTGAAAAATGCTTTCTGAGTAATTGAGGAAAGACAGAATGATTGCATCCGAACTATTGCTAGTGATTTTAAGCCATATCATCCAAGGTTTCTGACCGTTGGCTGAAATAATGACGTGAACTTTAACCAGATAGTATACGTATACTCAGTCCAACGTCCAGTGTCTTCATCCATAGATGCCATCTCTTAGTTTGACCACACCTATCTTCCTTCTAATCTACTTTTACACTAGCTATTATCGCACGTCGAGGCAGTTGGTGGATAGGTGTACATAATACATGTTCAAACTATCTCAGTCGATAAAGATTCACTATCTTAGTACCTAAAGTATAATTTACAATAATAGCACAGTGTACCTAAGCTCTTTTTTACTATCTGTGCTATGATTTGACGTTGCAACTCAATCAAACAAATTTTAGCTACAATCGACAAGTTCCAACTATAATCAACAATCTGCTTTGTATTGCTTTGTACAACTAAGAAATAATCCGGGAAATTAGATATACACAGGCCTCAAGCATTTGATCATTGATATCTTCAGAGCATTAGTCTTACATGGTAGGATCCTTGATGTGACACTTATCGCATTAGGTAAAACGAGTAAATCGATTGATGACAAGGTCGAAAACTCTCATTAGCTAAAATGATTAGATGCCTTATTCATGCTTAAGTATCGCCTCCCATTACAACTAGAGTAAATTGCAGAAAAGCTAAGAGTAAACTAATCCTAAAGTTACAGAGTGTTCTTTCAAAGCATATCAAAAGTTGTAGATTTAGTTAGGGCTCGTGGTGTACTCACGACATCAAATACAATTAATTAATTGCAAAAATTAGTAGCTTATCTGTTATTATTGTTATCATCATTTATTTTAGCGTTGATATTTTTCATCTATTCTAGATAAGTGAATTAATGATCAATTCAAATCCAATGGAAGATGATTGTGATTCAGATGATTGGCAAGAAGTTACACTGCCTGATTCTATTTCATCTGAAAAGTATACTTGTTTAATGTGTGACAATCATTTCAATATGGCTACATCATTTTTTCGACATCTTACTCTTCAACATGATTGGGTCAATTTTTTAGATGGTGAAGGCAAAAACATTTTCAATGATCAATATGATTGGATTCGATTTGTTAACTTTGTTCGTAAAACTGTAAGTTCAGTAATGTTGTCCTTTATCTGTTACGTAATAATTAAATGTAATGGATATATTTTTTTGTTGATATCAGATATCAGTGTTTTTTTTGTGAGTTGTTTACTACTAGGATTGATATTCACTTACCTGTTTGTGTCCATAGGCATGGTGCGTAATTTGCACCTCTTAAGTGCAAATTACTTCTCCAACTTACTTTATCCTGGACCTTCTTTTCCAGTTCTATCCAATTGTTCTTAATTCTCTTCATGTCTGTCTCCAATTCTTGGAGGGATGGGGTCGATAACCGCCCCAATCCAATCCTGCTCCTTCATTCGGGCTTGGGGCCTACAGTAACTCCAGAACGGCTCCAGGCTGAGTTATTTGTCACATTACTATCATTTATCAGTAGTGATTTTTTAACGAGAAAAAAAATTTATGTACATTTTAGAAACCAATGGATTTACGTCAAACATTTTACGATATGGTTTGGAAAACTGATTCTTTAGATCTTCTTTATCCAGTTCTACCGGATGATGAAGTTCTCTCAATTGGTGAGTGTGTGTTTTCTCCTTGGGATATTTTTAGTTATTGTTTTCAAAATAAACAAATTATCAGATCTACACCTTAAAATTATCAACACACTCAATAAGGGAAATTACCGGTTATTTCACATACCAATTTAAGGTGGTTTTCGTTCTGTCAATTTCAATACATTTTCATAAATTTTATTCATTAGGTTCTAATAGTCAGTTAGTCAGTCAGTCAGATGCAACGTAGAACTTTGTACGTAAGTACATCAGTTTATGTTGGCATACCACATCAGCACAGAGATATAATTGTCAATTCAAATCCAATAGTAGTAGAGATAGTAAAGGTATTATTAGTAGTAATCGGAGAGGTTAGTATTAAAAGATATTATTCAAGAAGTATGATTCAGTGAGATAATTTTAGAAAGTCTAGGTTCTAATATGTGTCAGTTGTGTATTGAGTTGTGTAATAATAATATTGTGTAATAATTATTTCACTATAATTTTGTATTTGGTGAGTGTTCATCAGTTTGATAAAACTCTTTGTACATAATCAGCACTGAATTAGTGCATTTAAATGAATCAACGTGCCAGATTCTACGTTGCTTATAACTGACTGTCTGATATATTTGTGAAGTAGAGGTCTGTTAAAGTGATTGTTAGTTTCGGAATCTAATCAGTAACTTAGTATTTGTAGCAAGTATTCATTATCAGTATAAGGTTTTGTCGAGTTCGTCGCCAATGGTTAGAGACCTTGAACGAAGTTCTGCGTTGTATCTGTCTGTCTGTCTGAGTTCGTAGAATTTTGATCTTCATTATATCACCATTGAAAACCTAGGGGCACTAAACGGCGGTTTTGTCCAGGTATGAAATTCCCTCCAGGTTTTCGACGGTGGTCCAACCAAATCATCTATACAGATTAAATGAACACGATAAAGGGTAAAATAATAGAAATTAAAATTCTATCTATAATTCTAGAAATATCTGAACGTAGAGAGTATACAGTTGCAAAGAAACGGATGAATTACTCAGAGAAAATATCGAGAAATATCAGTTCACCTATATACCAATCTGATCAGTTGTAAGGAAATATCACTTTTGTGTGATTGACTCGCTAATTAATCAGTTAATAGATAGATTTGACGTTTTAACACTTCCATGCATTTTTATGACAGCTAATAATACTACTGCCACTATTAACCAGTAGTGGTTGTAGTTCAATCCAAAGTAGATTCAAACAAAGTTAATAATTTTTTGCAAAAAATATTTTTTTCTAATACTACTAATGGTTATACAAGTAGCAAACTACTGAATTTTAGTATTTAAACTTCTTATTTCCTAATTACAATTAACAGTTGGTATATAATTTCTATCATTCTGCCCACCATATATAGTTTTTTTCATAATACTGGCGTGAAGTGATGGCTCAGTAGTTAAGGCGGTCTACTTTCAGCCAATTAAATATTAGATTCAAATTCTCCATGTCCTACCCACTTTGAATTGGGCCAACTGTCTTGTTGAGTGTTCATACATAAAATGTGGCTTGTGAAACCAAGGACGCAGATATTTAGACACCTAGTAAATGAATTAATCATGCTGATACAATTCATCTGATTCTTTTTTTTTTAATACTTTGTCCTTTCCTACTTTCCAGATATTGAATCTTATTTATTGGATAATCGACAAAGTGATCAATCATCTGTGATAAATGTACGTGAAAAATCAACTAGTCAAGAACCTCTATCATTAGAAATATCACGAATCAAATCAGAAAATAAAATGTTACGTACACAATTAAACAACTGCAAGTAAATTACTATTATGATTGCAATCAATAGATTTTTTGGAATAGAATTTCGTTTAGTAGTTAACTTCATTTATAATGATTTTGAATTATCCCATTGTTGTGATATTCCTGATTGAAATTTGATCAGTTTTGGTTGAGATATATGCATCCTATACAGGATTACCCTGACATGTAACCAAATACGATGTTCATTTATGTAAAATCGATAGTAGCTAACAGTGAAGTTCAGAATGTGTATCTCATCCTATTTAGAACTTGTCTATTGCTGAATGCACTTGCATCCTAGAATTCATGTTCACTGTAGGACTCAAACTCAGCAACTAAGTGGACATCACATTGGCGCTTAAAGCGAACAGTACCGGATTCGAGTCCCAAAGTGAACATTATCCATAGGATTTTAGTCTATCCAACTACAGATGAGTCTCGAATAGGACAAAGCTCTTGTTCTGAATCCAAAAGGTTAAGTGCTCACCACGGGTCTCAAGAGTCCTGTATTCTATCTGCATTGGGATTTGTTAGTAGACGTTAATGGAGGAGTATCACACTAGGACGAAATAGTTGTCATCCAGTGATTCTTTGCTTTTCATAGATTGCCTAACAGAATATGAAACTTTCAATTCGATCATTTATCTATCACTTCATGAAGAATTTCGTTTGTTTATTAAAGTTATACAGTCTTTGTCAATGGAATATAGGATGTGCATTTTGTCGTCAGTAGTATATACCTACATTCCAGTGTTGATGTTCACGCTAAGCTTTGAATGAAGTACTTTTAGCTTCCAACACCATGCAAATTACTCACTGATCTTTTGAACCATTAATTTTTGTAACACTACGAATTGTTTATTTGTAGTGGTTTGTATTTTTTCTTTCTATTGTCGACCCAAGTACGATCTAGGTGATAAATCTTAGATAAGACGAAATGCATATCCTGCATTTTAATGAAAGTCACTGTTTAACTTTACCACATGAGATTGACCGATTGTAGTCCTTTATAATCACTAACATAAAATCGATAACTTCTACAAATAGAAATTTTCTTTGTTGTTATTATTTTTACTTTAATACTCCTATTTGTAAATAGTTTTTTCGCCTCCCCTTCTTTCAGTCTTTCAATTTCTCTCCTTCTCTCTACCTTTTATTTATATTTTTCTTGTTAGACGTTTACTTTCAACTATGTCTGCACAATCAATACGAAAGAAATCATCCTGTGGTCAATCGCCTGATTATGATTTTGATATGGAACCAAATGATTCTTCCTATTTTGGATCGTATGGTCATTTTGAAATACATGGTGAAATGATAAGTAAGTTAATCAATAATAATAGCTTTGTAGTATATTATTATTATTACTATTATTATTATTATCATTATTACCTTCTACAGTGCTTATTGTAGTCAGTCCTAGTCACTGTAGGGCTTGCATTGCTGTAATCGTTCATATGCCAACACAACACACAAGCTGAAGTTAATAAAAAGAGAATTTAATCAAATATCACGTAGATAATTAAAAAAAGCACTAAACATAGAGACGTTCAACTAGTGAATACTGAGTTAGACAAAATTCACGTGTTCAACTTGTACTACTTTACTGAGATCATATAAAATGTAGTTTGCAAAAGAATGAATATTTTAGAAGAAATGAAATTATATGAAACCATATCAACCAATCTCATGGTTTAATGGGGGACAAAAAAAGGTTGGTATTCCAGTCAATGTTTCTTTCGGCTAGATTATCATTGTAATGTCCTAAGTCCAAACCTCATGGAATGTGTATTCTTCGAGAAGACAGTTTCAATGCAAAATGTACACACTTAATCTTCAACCATCCATTTACAATCTCTAATCACACCATACATTTCAAGCTCTTGACACTCTTCTCTCTGGTGGCATCTTCTATGGGACGCTCCTCTGTCTACTACTTTTATGCCACCTTGTGAGTAACATCAATTATATCATGATATCTAAGCTTGACCATCATGTAAAGCTAACAGTTCCAGTAGTGTAATATATCATTTGCTAACACTGATTCGTTAATTAATTTCGGAAGTTTTTAAAAGAACTGCAGAGTTAAATTGCAAAGTATCAGCTGTTTCTTTCTCTGCATTATGCTAACAACAGTAGTTAAATTAGCATGTTCAATTCACATTTTTTTAATTGTCCAATATGTCGATGATAATTTTTACTATGATGAATAAATCTATCTGTCTCATATTAGCTCAAAAAACGGTCATTTTACATTTAAATATATTTTTCTATCTATCAACTCATTCCTCAGATACTTGGGTATTATGAGCCAAATTTTAAGTATAAGAGCTAGTGATACTGTGGTGCGAGCTACTTATAAGTAGTATATGACGTGAGCATCAACGTAATGTCTGGCAGCCCGAAGACGGGGGAAGATCAAGAAAGGAAGAGTTAGAAAACAATGGAATTTGTATGAAACGCATGAATAGTGAAATGTCAGACAATGGATTGATGTTTTGCAACAGGAACAGTCCAGTTCGATATGATGAACTGTTATTTTGCAAATGAACGAGTTACGATATGGTTTTCCAATTTTACTGGGTAACTCTGTAATTTTCGTTAAATACAATTCGGTTGCCCCACCTGTGTTCTCGTTCACTACAATACTACCATTTGGTTGCTCAAACTAAAGTAGGCAGGAATGGAGTTCGAACTTGTCTTTAGAATTCCAGAAACCCTAGAAAAATGGAGGGGCTTAGAAATGTGCACCAAAGAAAAGGGATCTCCGTCGCGAACCAGTCATCAGGTTACAAGTTGACCCGAGAAAGAATTCATAGTTTATAACGAAGAAAGGTGTTTGGGGTATCGTAAAATATTTCTGATGAAAATCTCTATAGGTCCAGAAATAGCAGGAGGTAACGTTTTATTGAATCAGCGTTGAACGGAATCTTCGTAGCAACATCTAGAAAATAAAAACTTACACGTCCCGCTTTTGATTGGATATTCACTTATATTGATACTATATTTAGTGTAGCTCCAGAAATTTCCAGAAATTTAGAGTTTGATGTAACTCAGTAAATACTCTTGTTTTTTTCTCCACATAACTTAATCTTGGATTAAAGCTTTAATTTTCGATTCGCTCCCTTTCCTTGTTTTCCAGTTGACGTAGACTAACTTCAGTTAAGAGTTAAAGTTAACAAGGAATGGCTATAAACTATAATTGCTTGCTAGGCGTAAGGATAATGAAATTTCGCTCAAATATCCACGAGATACTACTTTCAAGAATTTTCAGGCTACTTCAAAGTATTCGAAAATCCAGATTGCTATTTTTCCCATGAAAAATTATAAATTTCATATCGTCCTACTAAGAATTACTCGAATTCATTCGTTTTCTTCCGACTGTCTATGTTTGTCTATTTTCAGTCTTTGAAAAGCAAAACTCAGTGAATTTTTCTGATCCTTTTTAGATAGCTTTTGACAAGCTACAAACTCTATGTCACTCTCCTCACAAGAACCCCAGTAACCTCTATCTTTAATCTGATTGGTCGGCTGAAGGTCGCCCATCTAACATACTTCTGTTTCTTATCCTCTCTATTAACGTGTGGACTAACTGACATTGCAATGTTGGTACGTGTTTATGTGTTAGACATCCAATCTGTTTGAGTTCATATTCATTCACGTTTTTCATACTGTTAAAAACCCCTAAACGTTCATTGATTGAACTGACCGTAAATCAAACGGAAACTCTTAGTCAAAGTTTAACAGTTTCACATGTTGAATTTTTTTTAAAAAAAATTCTGTTTGTTCAATTCAATTTTGTCTATTTCACTCATTCAAATCAATGTATATGTGTATTTATCTGTATAGATGATCGTGTACGTACTGAATCTTATGTGAATTTCATTCTATCCAATGCAAATAAATATTTTAAAGATAAAATTGTCTTGGATGTTGGTTCCGGTTCAGGTATTTTATCGATTATTGCTGCACAAGCTGGAGCTTCACATGTTTACGGTGTAGAAGCTGCTGATGAAATCTATGCTGCATCACATGAAACTTTAAAGTAGGCCCCCTATTCATTTTATGATAGAACAACAAACACCTTTGACCGGTTTATTGGTCTTTTAATTTTTAAAATGAAATGATTCTTTTTTTGGTGATTTTTAAACACTAATATTGCATTTTCTTGTTGTTGTTATTTGAACATATGAAGATTCAGATCGGGAAGTTCTTACAATGAAAACAACTGTATCCTATCTTCTCCACTACAAATATATCCAGACAGACAGACAGACAGACAGACGCAGAACGTCGTACGTAAGTACATCAGTTCAGGTTGCCATACCGCATTAGTGCAGAGACGCAACTGTCAGTTTAAATCACATAGTGGTAGCGATGGTAGAAGTATTAGCAGTAATGGAGAAGATTAGGGTTTGAAGATATGATTCGAGAGGCATAATTCAGTGAAATAAATTTTGAAAGAGAAAGATAGAGATGATGAGGATATATCCACGTCAGATTGTTGCGTCAGATAGCTAAACCACACAGTCGACAGGACAGAGTGTCATCAAAAATTAAGAGTGTCAAACAACTATCTTCTCATTTTGTCTTAAAAGATTCCGAGCTAGGGCTTGCCTTCAAATACAGCTTAATAATTTCTGCAATGTCTTTTCTTGATTTCCTGCTGAATCGAAAGCTGGTTTGTTTTCTCTAATAGAGCAGGTTACTGTCGATAATTTTTGGTCAGTCGATCTGAAATATCTTGCATAACCACGTTTCAGCCCCGTACAATAGAAATATCTTGTATTGAAAATTCTGACTTCGATCTTGGGTGTTAGTTTTTTTTTGAGTTCTAGTTGCATTAATGTTTCAATTCGTGCCTTCCTACCTGTATCAGATTCGTCTTGTTCATCAGTGATACTGCCTAGTTACACAAAAATTTCTATATCTTTCAGAGCTTCTCCTATCGGTTGTGATTTGCTTGCTACTCACTGTATTGTAGTTCAGGATTTTGTTTTTTTATCTTCTGAATGTTGTTATCTGATGTTGAGGCTGTTGGTATACTGACCATCACAATCTGTACTTATTGCTTTATGTGAGTTAAATGAGCTAGGTCATCTGGGAATTCCCAATTGTCTAACTGCATCTAAGCTATCGACTGTATCTCTTGCTTCCTATGGTATGTTGAGGTTTTCATAATCCAGTAAACCGTCAGAAAAAAAGAGAAAAGGTGAGAGTAAGCAATATTGTCTTATGCTCCCTCCAAGACCGGAAGTGCCACTGTCCAATCTCGTATGTGTATGTATGTACTTGTGGGAGAATTCTTATTTCATCCTGTTAATGAGATTCAATCTAAATGAGATTGCGCTTTATTACTTCCTAGTTTTTATTTTGTTCTTCAATGGTGATATGTAACTCTGTCGTATCATAAAAATTATCTTCAAAATACTCTAAATATTGGCTTTATGGTTGAATTAAATCATGTCGATAGGTAGATACCATCTAGCTTAAATCCTCACAATTATCCTAACCAATTATTTGGAATATTTAACAATATAGCTCGAAATTAATTACAATGACTTAGATACTACCTGCCCTCTTTATACCTTCTTTTTACATCTTGTGTTTTTTAGAAAATACTCTTATATCACACTTCATTGATTTCTCATATTCATTTGTTCTTCTTGAGTCATATCGTCTGTAGTTAATCGTATTCGAATACTCACATTGATACTATGACTACTTCCACCTTATCTGACATTTTCTAGTTGTTTGTAATTAGTGTATCAATTTTAGTGGTAAAGTTATTTTTTTATTTTTCAAGTGACATTTTTCTTCGTATTATTATTATTATTATTATTATTATCATTATTATTATTAAATTATTTTTGTTGCCTACTCTTAAAAAACTTGACAGAGTAAACAATTTACTTGAACGTGTCACCTTTGTTCATGGTGAGGCAGAATCGGTTGAATTACCAGTTAAACAGGTAAGTTATGAATGTATTTTTTCTCTCGCTTTCCTCCTGATTAGTTTTAAAAATATACCCCATTTATTTTCATTTTGGGAATAAATAAAGTTTTCTTCTAGAAGAATTGGACTACAGTAGTACAGTAACTGAATGGTTCCCGATTGCAACTGCTAACCTGATGTGGTGGTTGGGGTCACCTATATTAATGACACAGTCGAGCTATATTGGCTGGAAAATATGTTCCTTTATGTCCTATCATGCCAGGCAAGTTGATTAGAGAACGGCAACACTAAAAGTAGCAACTTAAGGTCTAAAGGCGAAGTTGTACTGCTGACTGTAGAGGGGTGTGACAACAATAAGGTGTTTCCCTTAGACACAACCTGCGTCTGCACCGATTCTGCCCTCTCATAAGAAAGGAACGGGCTAGAAAATTTTGACCCTAAAAATTTTACACCTCACTTTGCCTCAAAGATTTCCGTCTCCGGCAGTAAAACCTCTTGAATAACTGAGCTAACACTTAACGAAATTCCCATGAAAAGGTCGTGAGTGACCGGTTTCAAGCAGTTGTCCTTCGGAGTCTACAGTCACTCTGCCAGGTCACTAAGACCAACGCTAACCTAACTTCCTTTTCAGATCCCTCAAGAAATATTTTTCCACAATATGGACAACCGGGAAGTGACATCCGCCCTTTAACCGGTGAAAGCACACGAGGTCAACTTGCTACGATCAACTCCCTCGCAATAAACCCCATTTTATCATGTAAACTATTCATTTAACAGGATAAATTTTATATTCAATTTGTTCATATTTTCTAATTTTTTTTCCCTCAATTTACATACTATTTTTTAAAAAAAAATTTTTTATTCAAGGTTGATGTAATCATCTCTGAATGGATGGGTTATTTCTTATTTTTTGAATCAATGCTTGATTCAGTATTAAAAATAGCATCGAAATATTTATCACGTACTGGGCATATATTTCCACGTCATTATACATTGAATATTATCGGTGTACAATGTTCTAAACAATTACGTGAACGACGTCTTGAACATTGGAATAATGTATATGGTTATAATATGCCAGCATTACGTCGTGCAGCATTAGGTGAAGCACATGTATTAAATTTAACTACTCATGATCAACCTATCACGTCGTCCTCATCCTCATCATCCTCGTCATCATCTTCGTCATCATCATCCGTAGCACCGATTATTGTATTAACACCGAAATCATTTGAATTAGTTACATTGGATTTAGATGAAATGCATCATAATCGTATTTATCAATTATCAAATCATTGTTCATTATTATGTGAAGAGAAATTTCATTTAATTATACAACCAGTGATAACATCAACAACTACTACTGATGATAATGATAATGATAATAATAGTTATGAATTAGATGCAATAGTCGGTTATTTCACTGTACGTTTTAATGATGATGCAGATTGTAAAGTAAGTTAGCAAAATTTTTAATTTTTTTCGATTTTATATGATGAACCGTTTTTTAAGCTAGAGCACTATTTGGAAAACCTAGAACTGGATGATTATGTGGTCCTCTTTAGTAATGTGTATTCATGACGTCGCAACCAGGGAATCAAATTGAAGACCACTGAGTGGTGATCCAATGGTTTAAGTAAAGCTGAGGTTAGGAAAAGGACACTAGGTAAGGATGACAAATCAATAGCGGCGGTTGGAACATGTGTTATGTGTGCCTAACCACTACTATTTACCTCGACGAGCCATGTTTTCTGATGTAAGAGTAGGGCTGGAAAAAAGCTTGGGGCGACTAACCAAAACCTGGCACAAATCCATGAAGTTATTGACAAGTGGATTGAGAGATGTTGATAGATGTAGACTACATGGTTGGGGTCTGCGAATCAATTGTAACCGATGGTTAGAGACTTTGAAAATTGTTTGGAGTGGCGCAGGTGCATCCATTGTCTGTTATCTCTCATAAACTTCTGACATGTTATCTCTTTTTAAATTTATTTCACTGGATTATACTTCTTGAATAATTTCTTCGAACCCTTATTTTTTTCCTTTACCTCCACTACCTTTTTACTAAGAGATTTGAATTGAAAATTATATCTCTGCTAATATGTTATGACAACGAGTTGAACTGATTGTACATACATACGAAGTTCTACGTTGCAACTGACTGACTGACTTATTCAGTGTATTAACTTTAATCAATTAACAAGGAATTCCATACTAGAAATGAAATAGCTGTCTAGTACATTTAGCTTTACAATGGTAGTCTAACCAATGATCAGTTGATGAGAATAAAGCCCTAGGAAAGTTTTATAATCTTCACTGTTTGTTCAATTGTCAATTCATACTTCCCTCATGTATAAATTTAGAAAAAAAACATAAACGGAATAACGCGATTTCATTGTAGTTAGTTTTTTTTTTATCATAGTACAGCTTGTAAAGTGTACACTATAAAGGTCTACAAAAGAGCTGTTCAAAAGGTACTGGATACAAATTTTTCTACAATCGTCCGACGATGAGAACCTATCATTAAGGACAAACTGTTTGATTTCGCCACATCTCTGTATGTTTCCTTAATTATTCAGTTGCTGCTTCTTTGTCAATTATATAAGAACCTACCATTCAAAAGGTCTGTCATCATATAGCACGACACTGTCTATGCATGATTGGGCAATAATAACATTTAAAGGTTATCCAGTGTTTTGATGCTCAATTACTTGGTGGACGCAGGTCATTGGATTGATGTAGATAGTGCTTTTACAGTTATCCACTATATTTCATTAAATTTACTGCATAAGTTGCAAGTTTACATCGTTTGCATGTACTGACAAAGCTATTGGAGTCCATATTCCAAAGAAATGTCTTTGTATTCAAAAGTTTGTTGATTTGAACAGTGTCGGTAGAAACAGATTGCCTGTTCATTGTCACTACCAGTAGTAATTCTTGTAAATGTTGTGTTATATCGCTCAGAATCAGTATTTTTGAAGGTTTTTATATTTATTTTTTTAATTTTCGTTCAATATTAACATTATCAAAATAATTCCGAATCTTTTGTGTCAAAGATTTACCCGATTCGGATATTTTGTATGCTCGAGCCTAACTAGGTACTTAAGTGATAAATTTAGAGATGTCCCTCGGACAAATGACCCGAATTCCAACCAATACCATGTATCCGTGATTAGGACAAACCTTGACCAATATCGTTCATTCAACAACATTCCCCACCTATCGTTTGATTCGGATTGAATATATCGTTTTGTCCTGGCCTATCAGTTACTCATTCTGTCTGATCATGCTTGCTTGATGTGGGAGCTTGAGTTGAGGTATATTTTGTGCCATTTTTTACAGTGGATTATGCCGAAATGAGTAATTTCGATGTCTTCTTAGTCATTTATTGACTACTGTATTTTGTTGTAGTATTTTTTTTGTTTTGGAATAAATATTCTGTTACAAAATTACTATTATGATTATTTTCTTTCATAGGTTGAATTTTCAACATCCCCAACTTCTCCTTTAACACACTGGAAACAGACGTTACTATTTTTGGATAAACCAATTCGTGTCAAACCAGGTAGGTTTCTATTGCTTATGATTTTAATATTAGGCGTTTTTTTATGAAAACTGAAGCAATCGATCATCATGATCATCACAGGAAAAGTAGTACAATTGTGTGATTTGTTTTACATTCTCATCAAGTTACTGCTTTTTCTATCAATGTAGCTTTGTATGTTATAGTTATTCACTTTTAATCACTTGATGTCACGTTTGAATTCCACTGTGCCACTGCCACTTCACTTGGATCTTCCGGGGCGAATTACATAATTCGCTTTTCAATAAATCACTTAGTTTGCTCATTGATATGTAGCTATCAGCTAGCCAATCAGAAGTGGTCAAATGACACGGATATTTGATGACCATTAGAAAATGTTTTAGGCGATGAATGCATATCATTGGTCAAGAAATGGATTCATTTTCTAACGGGTTAGAATGTATATATATATATATATATATATATATATATATATATATAAACATGTTATTTGGGAGCCACTCTCTCTTTCTCGCTCAAATAGTGTTGGGTATGTTAGATCCCCAGAACTCGCTTGACAAATCTCTTTATTTTGGATTTTATTCATGGGTTGATCAGTTAACCTTAAAATCACATTTACTACCTGGAAAAGCCTTGGTTGTGATTGGTAACTGTGTCATTTTAAAGTGCTTATTTTGTGACTCTCCCAAGGACGTCTCTATGGTGTATAAATATGCGCAATTTGTGTGCTTGCCGGGTGTTCCCTAGAATACACTTCCTACGCTATATCAAGACTTCTCGTTAGCTGTTTTGAGTCAGCGGATCAGGGTAGCCTACTTGGACGCTGGTTCATTGTCTCGTTCTCGTTTATCGACTAAAGTGAACCCGTCACAGTCTCAAGCATACCTAGTGGCGAGCATAACAAGTAGCCAGTTAGTTATAGTAGGAGAGATATGCATGTATCACCGTGAACTTAAGGACACCACATTTTCTAGCAAACATTCTTCGTAACACGTCAGTAGATGTGTATATTACTCACATTAATTTTCTTCCAGTTATTATTTCTTATTTATCATTATTCTTCTTATTATTTTCTTAGGTGATAAAATCTCTGGTATCATAACTATACGTCGTGCAACTACAGATAATCGTGGCTTAGAAATTAGTCTATTAATTGCTGAAACAGAAAATTCACCTGAAATCAAACAAACCTTTGATTTAATTGGTTAAAGCATCGTGTTTTTTTTTCAAAATTAAAAATGCAAACCCTTATTTTTAAGAAAAAAAATGAAGACAAAATGAATTTACAGAATGGTTTTACTTTTTTTTTTTAATCCTCTTTCACATGTTAATCAGAGTGATGTGACAAAATAACATCGATGGATGACACACACACACACACACATAGAGTGTTCAGACTTCATTGAATGTTTATTTATTTTGTTTACATGACAAACATTTTAATGAATTTTTTTCTTAATTCAATGTATTCATTGTAAAATGATAATGACAGTAAAATTCATTGTTGTTGTTTCCAAAAAATAAATTTGAATAAAATAAATTGGATTTATTTTTTAAAATAACTTTTGTTTTATTTTGTTTATTCTCACTTGTATATATTATTTCACATTGTAAGCTGATTGTGATTGGCCAGTTGTTTGTTGTGATAATAATGTTGTTGTTTATGTATTGTGGGACTGTACTTTTGAGGCAGAATTTTGGAGGTTTGTGTTTTTTCACATTTGAAATCATCAATCAATCATTGTTAGACCACCATTAGAAACCTGGAAGTACTGGGCGGCCGTTTCGTCCTGATATGGGACTCATCAGCAGTGCGCATCCCCGACCGTAGCTGCTACCTTGACGTGGTGGTCGGGCTTGCCTATCGTGATGACCCAACCGAGCTATACTGGCTGGAACATATGTTCCTGCAGGTCCTACCATGCCAGGCTGGTCGATTGGAGAAAGATGAGACTAAAAGCAGCTACCCAAGGTCTGAGGGCGAAGTCGTACTGTTGACTGCAGAGGGGTGTGACAGCAGTAAGGTGTTTCCCTCGGACAACCAGCATCTGCGGCGATGCTGCCTTCTCACAAGGAAGGAAGGGTTAGAAAAGGTCGGCCCTAAAAATGTCACACCTCCCCTACCTCACGGATTTCCGTCTCCTTGAGTAAGGGTGCCCACTAAGGGCCTTTAAGAACGGAGCTAATCCTCGAAAAACGTTTCATAAAAAGGCCGTGCGTGACCGGCCTCAAGCAGTTGTCCCTTGGGCTCTGCGGTCACGCACCCAGGTCTCTAAGACCAACACTAATCTATCTTCCTTTTCAGGTTCCTCAAGAAACAACCTTCCACGGTGTGGGCAGCCGGGAAGTGATAACCGCCCTCATACCCGCAACAGCACACGAGACCAAATTGGTCAAAATCAAATCCTTACTACATTCCCTAATACCTCTCTTATCTCCACGACTAACTCTTCTCACATTCATTTATCACAGTGCACAGCTAATGCAAATGATGCGAGTTCGCGAAACGTCGTTCCTGGTCTCCTTAAACCCCGTTCCAAACTACATGTTGGAGCATTCAATGTACGGACATTGTGTCAAATAGGGCAACAGGCATCATTAGCTAGGACTTTAGAATCTCGTTCCATCGATGTGTGCTGCGTCTCGGAAACGCGCATACAGGATCCGAGTAGCATCACTCATTTGACCTCACCATGTCAAGATAAAGAAGCAGCTCGATTTACTCTTCGTGTATCCGGTAGCCCTGATGCTGCTTCTAGGGGCCTCGCCGGTGTAGGTATAGCATTGAGTCGTAGGGCAGAACAATCTCTCCTTGACTGGATCCCTGTAGATAGTCCCTTGTGCGCCGTCCGACTGAACGGGACAGTAAGGACTCGGAAAGATAGGGACACTCGTCGTTGCCTCTTCGTCATATCAGCCTACGCCCCCACTGACTGCAGCCCAGATGATGTAAAAGATGAGTTTTACAGAAATCTTTCGGTCGAAATCAAATCCTTCCTACACCCCCTAGTACCTCTCTTATCTCCACAACTAACTCTACTCACATCCCTCTATCTGACTGCACCGCTAATGCAAACGATGCAAGTTCACGAAACGTCATTCCTGGTCTCTTGAAACCTCGTTCTAGACTACATGTTGGAGCATTTAATGTACGGACATTGTGTCAAATAGGGCAACAGGCATCACTAGCTAGGACTTTAGAATCTCGTACCCTCGATGCGCATCCACGATTCCTGCCCCTCGCAGTATTCGAACCTGGGACCTTCGGTATTGAAGGCGAACGCCTAACCATTGGACAATCAATCAAAATTAGACACTGACACCGTTGGATGCCGGCCCAGTGGTCCAATGGTTAGGCGTTCGCCTACAATACCGAAGGTCCCGGGTTCGAATCCTGCGAGGAGTAGGAGTCGTGGATGCGCACTGCTGATGAGTCCCATGCTAGGACGAAACGGCCGTTCAGTGCTTCCAGGTTTCTAATGCCGGTCTAACAATGATTGATCGATGATTTCAAATACGATTGTTGTTTATTGGGTACAGATTCGCCTTTGAGTTGATGGCGAGTTGTTTGAACTGAGTTACCATGTTGATAGAGATTCAAATCTATGACTTAATAACTGAGAGTTAAGCACTTTAATTTTTTGGAATAACTCACTCACGAAGCACTTAGATTCGAACTCTACTCAAAGTGTGAGAGTTGATAATGATACTATCCAAATTCGTTGGAGCAGAGTTCGAACCTGGGATTAAATGGTTGAAATCTTGACGCTTTATTTACTAGTCCACTTGTTTTACTCACTAATCGATAATTTTTCGTCTTATAATCTAGACAGTATTACTTTACTAATAGACGATCATGAAAAACTAGTGACTAGTGAGAATTACTGGTCTAAAACATTTTTGTACAATATTGTATTCCAATGATCTTGCGAATGGGATCACATACATATATACTGACATTTCAACCTATTTTTTGTGTTATCTTTCAGTCACCTAATAAGTTTTAATTCAACACTAACAGCGGTATACTACATCTTCAGTTTTGATCAAATCGTATAATGACAGATATCCATTCGCTATTCATAGAGCTAAATGCGTTCATGTTTTATTCCCTTAATCGATTAGTTCGATTGATAATGATTAATAATTCTTATGTTCAACGTCAAACAGTAGCGAATGTATTGATGTTTTTTTTGTACGTGTAATTTATTCAATTATTTTCTAAAATATCTCACATCATCAACTGACTTTAGGTAAATAACAATCATTGGCAGTTTTCCAATGTGTTGGTACACTTAAGTGATGAATAAATACGTTAAGACCAGATGTCTTCTAGTCTTCAAAATACTTTGATTGCTTCATACATCCGGATCCAATACTTCTCTTCAACAGAACGTTCAAGGCCACACTCCACTGCATACATACTACTTGTAAACCATGTTGCAAGTAGTATACACACGTTTATACGACAAATTTCTTTGTTGAGGTTTTATTCATATTTTCTCTAAATTTATTTCTTTACTACACAGTTTTATTTATAATTTGAGTTATATATTTGTACCGTAAATTAATCATCATGAAAGGCTAGGGACTGACTTTGAGAGGGAATTCCATAGCTTTCAGTTAATAGCTATGACTAATAAGGTTCAACTGGGGTGGATAAATGGAATATAGTCTCTCACTTTCGTGAATTGACTCACGCTAGATATGCACACCAATGGATGTTAGCTCAGCAGTCTGGAGTTTAACCGTTTGCGCGTGATATTGAAGGTTTTGTAAGTGTCACACAATAGCAACGTGGTTCCAAGCTATTGCGAAGTTCATTATTAAAAGCAAAACTTATTCTGGGAATTATTTTCTCTGTACACAGACAAACCACTGACCGTTACAAAATCAATAAGTGTGTAATTTTTAAAAATAAGCCTTATTATCCACAAATAAAATTTATTTAACACATCTATGATATTGAGATATTAAATTATTTAAATTAAGGTTCACTTAGTAACTCGATTGATAGCACTAATGGACTATTGGCCACTGCTACTCCATTCTACAGGGTGTTTTCTGCTGTCCGAATAGCTGGGATTCTGATCCATCAAGGAGCATCAGTCTTTTCAAGATTAGAAATAAGCTTTGCTAATGAGTCCCAATTAACATGAAACTCCTAGCTTGCAAATTTGTCTATTGGCTCTTTCTTACCTCATAACGTATTAAAGAGATATAGTTCAATGCTGTCTGTTAGTTTGAAGGTCTGATTCTTTACGATATAATGGACTTACTGGTCTATATATTAGAAATTTATCTCTATAAATACGTGTTAGCATTGAAATGAAACACAATTCTGCATTATAAAGCTATTTTTTGAAAAATCTGTTCAAGTTTCTTTAGTTTTTTTTTGTAAAATTTTTCCCGTCAATACTGTACTGCTACTACACATGCTAAGCATTACATTCGTCATAGATACGTAATACGTCATGCATACACATGCTAAAATTATCAACACGTTTTGAGCAATAGTATGCAAATGTTGTTCGAATCATTATAAGCATGTATGTATGTATGTGTTTTTGTGATTTTCTTCCAAAATTTCAAAGATGAACCGTTTTCTGACAATTCCATCAGTCATTGTGTAAAGCATACACTCACACACACAGTCATATTCTTGTGAGAAGTCCAGCTAAAATTGTGTCTGCTAAACACGTGATACAATTTGACTACAAGAATGTAATAGTTTATTAGACTCATCAAGTATCAAACAATACACGCAACGTAAAATCTTACACATATGTACAATATTTGACGTTGTTAATATCAGCTTACTGAGATGAAATTATCTAGACAAATGTCAGAGGATTAAAAGTAATTAGGATATCAGTGTCAACAAGAAAAAAAAGCATCAAAGACCACATAATTAGCAAAAGAAAATGTGTTTGCAGGACAAAAAAGAATGTGAGATACTTTGAAAACCCAAGCAAAGAATTTGTGCATCTGCACCATTGCCATGGATTCATAGCCGTTTCATCCAACATTGGTTACGACTTCAACCTTAATAATCTGCATCCACTTACTTGTATAATTCCAACTATCAGAATAATCCATGAACCAATGAATTAATTAGTTTGATTGTTCATAACTTTCTTCTGATCTAAATGAACAACTATCGCATATCAAGATTGATGACGGATGGCCAGATGTAGTTTGTTGACTTATAAGTAGACTGATAAATTTAGTCAATTGGTCAATAATTAGGAGACTATTAAGAATTGTATTGTATTCAGTTAATTTTTTAACATTTTCAATCTAGTTTGCAAAACTACTCAGTTTTAATACCAATCTTTTAGCGAAAGATTATCAGAGTGTATTATAGACATATTTCTATTGAATTGACTAAGTTTTTTGATGCTAACTGGTTGTAGATGATACTGTAAGTAATCAATTAGTTTGGAATAGATTTTGATTTTTTTAAAAAAAAACAAACCAGTATCTAATGAATATTTTGTAAAATTTATATACTCTTGCAAAAAGCAAACTATTGTACACTTTTTATCTAGACTCAATCTTCTAAAATATACATTTGAACCCCTCTGTCTAGCTGACGGTTACAAGTATACACGAAAAATCTGTCTTAACATTAAAACAACATACTAATAATTATAATTCTACATCTGACTTTGTCTTCATTTAAGACTTATCAATAATGTACATTCGTATTTTATCCTATCACGAATAGAACTTTGATTTTTAGTCTGATTTATATTTTGTGCTGTTAATCAATATAATGCTAAGGTAATGATGTATAAATTCGTGAGAATGACTATGAGAAGAATCCTCACAGTTTTAAGTGAGTAAAATAAGGTAGTCACTAATTGAATAAAGCGTTCGTTTTTAAACCGATGGGCTGCAATTACAAGTCCCTCTCTACCTAATTCATTTCGGGCAATCCTATATATTAACACTAGCCCTCATAACTGATTACACGAATTCCTCCTAGGTAAATGAGCTATATAAAATTAAGCGACCAAAAACACTACTCATATGATTCAGTCATTTCAAGACTAAGTCAGTTATCTCATGAAATTGTATAGGTTAAAACCCTTCCTTTTTAGAAGGCAGCATCTCTGCAGATGCTGGTTGTTCGAATGAAACAGCTTATTGCTGTCAAACCCCTATACAGACGGAATTATGACTTTTCCCTCAGACCTTCATCAGTTTAGATGGCTGGAACATGTGCTACGTGTGCCCAACCACTGATCGCTACGACGAGCTATGTCTTGTGGTGTAGGAGTAGGTTGGAAGAAAGCTAGGGGCGGCCAGACCAAAACATGGCACAAATCCATGAAGTTAATGACAGCTGGATTCAGTCATAATGGAGTCCGAGACATAATAGTAACTGATTGTTAGAGACCTTGAACAATATGGCTCAAAATCGTTTGCAATTACGCAGGTGTATTCATTCTTTGTGTTCTCCTAAATTTTAATCTGAATTCCTCATGACCTCAAATCTGTTTCACTGAATTATACTCCTTGAATAATATCTTGGAACCTTAATCTTTCGGTATAATGTTCATACTTATGGGATTTAAATTAACAATTGTGTCCCTGTTCTAATGTGGTATGACAACTTGAACTGATGTACGTACGTACCAAGTTCTAAGTAATTGCTAACTGACTGACTGACCAAGGGATTGTCTAATATTGACGTTAGTTTTTTCTATCGTGAACTAATTGATTTGTATTCAGTAAAAAAATATGAATTGTTTTTTCATTAACTCTTATTATGTTTGTTACTATTTTTAAACTTTAGGATTTCAGTCGTTTTGCTCAATCTGATTTCAATCATATACACTGGATAAATGAAGCATTGAAATCATGCGCTCCTGATCCTAATCACTTGGATGTAAGTGTTTTATTTAAATCAGAGACTGTTGTTACATATCATTTGATTATAATTCAATGCATGATTGATTGAAGACTCAAAATGCAATCTCTATATTACTCTGTATGCTGAGTCCATAAAAAATATATTCAACAAAATTCAGAATACAACAATCATATCATATTCGAAATAATCTTCATTTGTGGCAAGTAAGTAGACTATATGATTGGTTTATCATTAGTAGTGTGGTGGATGTTACAAGATTCTAAAACTAACTGGGGTTGTAGAACTGTTATGCTTGAAACTATTACGAGTTTACCTTAGTTGGTAAACGAGAACTAAGACGAGTGATCCAATGACACGATAGGCTACTGTAATCCGAGCGTCCCAAAAGCCCTGCCAACGGTATCAAAAGTCTTGATATGGCGTAGAAATTGTATTCTACAAGCATACAGAAAATTGAGGTCCTCAAACACACAAATCGAGTTTATTTATGCATCATAGGAACGTCCTTGGGAGAGCCACAAAATTAGCGTATTAAAATAGCGCATCAACCAAGAACAGTCAATGATTTTCCAAGTGGGGAATGTAATCTCAACTTCAGCTGATCAGCCCATGCTCGAAAACGTAAAATCCAAAATGAGGACCTTTATCAAGTGAGTTCTGGGGACCTAACTTCCCCAACAAGAACACAACAAGATGCAAACGTATGATTGAAGAATAGCTGTACGTATCGGATAAAAATCCTGTAATTTTACTAAATTAATATTCCCTCCTGACCAGTGCCTTAACCTTACATTGGTGTTGTTTCCCGATGACGAGAATACAGTGCCTTATTCGCAGCCGTTCGGGGATGCAGACATCAGGAGTTTCTTGCTGCAACCCGAAGATAGAAAGGCTAGTCGACATGCTCAGAGAGAGGTTAGAGGTGATGGTTTTGGGGACTCTGCTGAGTTGTTGAGGGAAGACACCATTTAGAGAAGCAGAATTTTTGGACGGAAAGTCGACGGGGGAGTCTTAGTTTCTTGACTGCTGATGGAGTTCGGTAGCTCTACTAATCGATATGCAGCACTACAGTTGTTCAGGCCTTTGTATCTCGCACCGTAACTCGTAGTGGGGTTCAGGAATCGCATTTCATCCTGTTCAATACTCAACAATTCAGTGTATTTGCACTACAGAGCTGGTGTTCACTACAGGATTCGAAACCAGAACCTTTCGTTTCAAATGCCATCGCGTTTTCCACCTAGCCATTCAGTCCAGATAGTTACTCTCTTTCACAGCGAGTATTAGATTAGACTCCGTTTGAAGTAGTTTTCGGATTATCCTGTTGTTGATATTTTCGACTGAAATTTGATCAGTCTCTGTTATCATATGTGCATCTTGTGCCTCGATATAACCATTGTGATACAAGTTTGTTTGAAATAGATGGGATGTATTTAGTAACGGAATATCCAGGTCGTACGTTTCGTCCTGTTCGTGACTGGTCAGCCGTATAGATCTGCACATATACCTGCACACGGGATTCACATACATATCAAATAAGACTAATTAAATTTCAGTTAAGAATATTGACAGCAGGCTAATTAAAAACCATTTCAAATTGAATTGTTTTCGTATTACGTTAAAGTAGTGAGTCAATCATTGTTAGACCACCATTAGAAACCTGGAAGCACTGAACAATCGTCTCGACCTAATATGAGACTCTTCAGCAGTGCGCATCTACTCCCTCCACTGATGGAGATCGAACCCAGGACATTCGGTCTCGCGCGCGAGCGCTTAACCTCTGAGTCGGCATCCAATGATGTTGATGTCTAACTTTAATCAATCTAAGGGTTTTGTGCAACCTCACCCATTGTCTTCAGTAGGTAAGTGACTCCACTCGACATGGTTGAACTCCATTGGTCACGGCTTCTCATTTCATATTAATAATACATGAATAAATCACTGGATGATTGTGCATCGTTTGAATTTGTTTCGACGTTCTACAATTTCTTGTCATTGTTTTTTCCATTATTTCGAACTTTAGCAAAAAGCATCTGATCTTGTGCTACAACTTCAAACTCAAATGAAAGTAAGCGCATACATTACACAAAAATTGTTTGTTCTGTGAACATGAATTATATCTTTCGCATGTACATATAAATCAATAAATTCGTTTCTTATTATGACGTAATATGTTTATTTGTATCACGTAGCCGTAATTTCATATGGTAGAGTTGGAAAAAGTCACTAACCAACTGCTGATTGACTCTGATAACTTAGTAGTAACATGTTATATTGTGTAGTAAGTAGTTGTCTGACATCAATTTAAAACCTGCTAGATTCATCTTATTGATGAGTTGAAACCAGCATGTCAAATAGGGTTTGCTTGCTGACCATTACTAACTCTGACGTAAATATATCCATAAGTTCAAGTTGACACAGTTATGTGTGACAGAAAGAGGAGGAATCGATAAGATATAATACTAAAGAAATAAAGTGTAAGCTTAAAAGCAATACAGTTTCAAAGAATAAGTAACAATCGAAAATGCGACACACTGATTAACTACTAACCTGAGGATTTAGAAGGAAAAACAGACTTATGATCGTTAAATGTTAACCAATTCTGGTTGTCATTTTAACATACTTTCAATCGTCTATCGTCAGGCCTTACTTATTGATGTGTGGTTAGTGTTTTTTAGCGAGTGAGCCTTCTACATGGTTGGGTCGCCCAACCCTCCTCTTTTATCCAGGCTTAGGATCGGCAGTAGCCGCAGATGGGCTCCAGTCAGAGTTAGTGAGAGTAAAATATGCTGAATCATTGGGCGCGGGCATACAGAGACTTAGCCTACTGATTATTCAACAAGTGATTTCATTTCCTCTTATTTATTTATATCTACTGCGAGCTCATTGAGTATAAAGTGCTTGTTATAGCGTTGAATAAAGCATTTTCTAACCTGTACTGTGGTTCTCTATTTTCGGTCACGAATCTTATATCCGATATAAAATAATCTGGTTTGTATATGGTGTACCGTTCAAGCATCTCGTCTATTTGTAGTAAAGACTCGATTAACCAGTGTTGTCCTATTAACTTATTATCTTATAGTATTACTTACTTACTTACTCCTGTTACGCCCTATAGAGCATAGGCCACCGACCAGTATTCTCCAATCTACTCTGTCCTGGGCTTCTGTTTCCAGTTCTTTCCTCTTATATTTCTCTATTTCTCGGCGTAATGTGTTTCTTGGCCTTCCTCTTTTCTTGTGACCGTGAGAGTTTCAAGTGAGGTATTATCTTGTGATGCAGTTGGGTGCTTTCCTCATTGTGCGTCCTATCCACTTCCAGCGCTTCTTCGTGACTTCTTCCTCTGATGGAATCTGGTTTGTTCTCTCCTACAGTAGGTTGTTGGTTATAGTGTCTGGTTAACGGATCCGAAGTATTTTATGTAGACAACTGTTACTGAATACTTAATATTTTCGGATGGTGGCTTTAGTAGTTCTCCAAGTATACCACGAGAGGAAAATGTTTAAATCCAGCCTTTATGCAGTTTCCTTACCGCACTGATTCGACGAGCTCCCTTCTTATTTATCAACTTGTGGTATGGGCATGATGTTCGTTGGCTCAGAAGTTCGATCTGTTTTACTCTGGTTACGAAACCTAGTTTTTTTGAAGAAAGAGGATATTTTTAGCTTACTAATATTTTATAATGATTTTATTCGAAGCATTGCTGATTGATATTCGGATCATTGAGGTATGCTGAAATCAAATCCAGAATATTAGATAAAAATGGCGAATCAGTTGGGATTATAGTGTAAGTTCATTAACTGAGATAATAGAGACATGTACTACGTGTGACCAACCACCACGTACTTCGACACACAATGTTAGCTGGCGAACAAATACGTCAGAAATAAGTCACAGGTCAAAAAATCTATACATGGCAATAATCGATAAAATCATTGTCTGCTGGACTGTACAATATAACTAATCCAGTCCCTCGTTATTATCACGATCATTGGTTGTATGTAGATGTCGTGTTGTGTTTTGCAATCAGTCACAATATGTTTGATCCACTCACTAATTGTCTTCCATTTTAAACCATCTTGTACTTTGCTAATTCCTAAATTTAGTTCTTCTTACAGTATGGATATAGTTTGGCAAGTTTAACTGGTATAAACTGTGCGAGGTATACATTGGGTATGATTGTTTGATTAATATTAGTCAGTCTAAACTTTGTTACATTATGCAATAAAGTTTTATTTTGTTTTGTTTTTGCCTTTACATTTTACAGGATGTAATGCAAACTCTTGATCATACTTGTCAAGAGGCGATTGTTTCTATTCCTCGGTAAGAAAATGATGTTCTGTTTTGGATGGTTTCAGTTACAAATTCAAATTCTAACGGCTTTTATTTATTAAGATTAGTATTTTACCATTATTGATATTTGTTATGAGCATATATGTTTATCTTAAGTAGATTGCCTCAATAACGTTATTTTATTTCAAACTAGTGCTTGTTATATCTGAATTTAGTGTTACTTAATCGATAATATTTTCGAAGCGTGAAGTACTACTTGATTCAAGTTTCAACGTGAACATCAACAATAGGATTGAGGCATTTTGATTTGAAGAGTTCTCATTTAAAACTATTTTCATATCTTTTAAACTATTCAGTCAGTCAGTGAGTCAGCAACAACGTAGAACTTCGTACGTTTGTACTTCAGTGCAAGTTGCTGTACCACATTAACACAGAGATGGAGTTGTCCATTCAAATTCCATATTGGTAGAAGTAGTAGAAGTATGAGCAGTAATCGGAAAGATTAGAATGTTGAATATATTATTCATGGAGCACAATCCAGTCAAATAAATTTGAGAAGAGGAAGATGCAGGTCATGAGGGATTTAGATTAGAATTTGTGATTCTAAATTCCTAGCTAAGGAAGCCTGTTTTCCTATTTGGCCTAATGTTTGGACACTAAAAACTGTAACATTTAGTTGAGAGCGTGGTTACAGGAGACCAGGAATAACGTCCCATGTACTCAAACCGTTTGCATTAGCGGTGCTAGATGATAAAGTTATACTAGAAGGGTTAGTCGTGGAGGTGAGAGTTACTAGGAAGTGTAGGAAGAATTCAATTGTAACCGATTTGATCTCGGGTGCTTTTACGGGTATGAGGGCGGATGTCACTTCCTGGCTGCCCACACCATGGAAGGGAAACTATTCACTATTAGTAAGTTACTATAGTGGGTTGATTGAATTGCATAGTGTACATCAAAAACTAATCTTTTATAAGTCTCTAGTTCTTGTGTGCACACTGCTGAGGATTTCCATACCATAATTGTCAAACGTTGTACAAATTGTAGATTTCTGCTGATAGTTGAAAGGCTTTTTTTCACTGCATAACCCCCTATAAACAAGGCTTTTTTTCCCTATCAATGGGGAAAGCTTTTCTCGTTCCACTTGCCCTAGTTTTTATTCATCAACGAACCATTTAAGAATCAATATCTTGAATGCGTTTAGTAAATCACAGTCAAAATAAACATTTCATGCCTTATATTCACTCCTAGACCCAACACTAAGTACGGTCTGCTTCAAACACCATTGCGTCACCCACTTACCTACTGAATACAGACAGCCACTCTTTTGTGCAACGGGTACTTACTTACTCCTGTTACCCCCAATGGGTCATAGGCCGCTGACCAACATTCTCCAACCTACTCTGTCCTGGGCCTTCCTTTCTAGTTCTATCCAGTTTTTGTTCATTCTCCTCATGCCTGTCTCCGTTTTTCGGCGTAATGTGTTCTTTGGTCTTTCTCTTCTCCTTTGGCCTTGAGGATTCTAGGTGAGAGCTTGTCTTGTGACGTAGTTGGCTGCTTTTCTCATTGTGCGTCCTACCCACCTGTATCGCTTTTTCCTGGTTTATTTCTATGCAGGAATCTGGTTGGTTCTCTTCCACAGTAAATTGTTGCTGATGGTGTCCTGGCCAACGGATCCGAAGTATTTTATGTAGATAAATGGTAATAAACACTTGTATCTTCTGGATGATAGCTTTGGTAGTTCTCCAAATGTTCGCCCCATACCATAGAACTTTCTTGACATTTGTATTGTAAATTGTGGCTTTGGTATTGGTTAATAGTTGTTTTGAATATGAGATTTAATCCAATTTATCATATACGTGCTATATCGAGACAATCCACATCCGATGCCTTATTGGCAACCGAATTTCATTCGAAATTATCAAGAACAGGATAATCCCAAAATCAATTAAATTATAAAATATTAAATCGAAACCGAATGTTAGATAAATTGAACAAATTGCAATTTATGTGTATATATCTATAATGATAAATGCTATATGGATTTAATGTGGGTTTCAGGAGCGCTTGTTAAATTTCATTGTTTACACCACGAACTCGAGCTAGTTTACAGAACCAGTGAGAATGTATTTGAATACCTTAAGGAATCGTATAATCAATTTGTTTGTTTTTTTAAGATTCGTATCAGGACTTTTCCATTAAGCGGTGCTTGGTTAAAAGTAGCTAGCTGTTTTAAACATCTCTTTGTCTTTGACATCCAAAGGTGTATCAGTTTCTAAATAAATGTACATGTTTTTTTAGATAACTAACGACGTGCTTTAATATTTTCTTTAAGTTCTTATCAATATTCAGTTTGTCTCCAAATGTCTTTTTACGTTCGAATGTGTTGAGAGTCCGTTCTCACTCTACAAATACTTTCATATGACCACGTGAGTATAGTCGCTACCAGAAAGACCTAAACACACTGTCTTCTTGTGTTGAATGCGTTATCTACGAAAGTGAAAGAAGGGGAAACAAATGTTCAGTCAACGCTTTAGCTTACTTGGTGGGTACACAGGATCCACCTTTCAGGAGAGTTCGAAAACCCTAATTTCAAACCTGTGGTTCATATGTGCTCCAAAATCCTAATGGAACAAATGATGTATGAACCTATTATTGGTCATCGGCTACCATGGGACTGCGTCTTGTGACATCGCTCCACCTCCGTTTGGATAAGACCTGTAGATCAAAGGCTCAATAGATTGTCTTCTAAAAAAACCATGTGCTTCGTTTTGAGCAGCCGGGTAGTATACCATCTCATTTACAAACTCAATGACCTGTGTAGTGTATAAATAGCTATGTTCATATTGTAAGAGATCTCCACTTTACTACTGATGAAAATAAGTTTTAATTTGTGATTTCTCGTTTTTATGTCATCCTCATCATCAGCATTCACTTAAATGATCCCATTTTCATTTTCATAGTGTTCTACGTGAAATCGATGCAGTGAGAATTGATGCTCTGACTTTAGAAGCGGATTTGAAAACATTACAACAGGACAATCTTCAAGTGAGTAATACACGACAAACTTTGCATCATCAACAAGAATTTTGTTACTTTAATCAATCAGTTTTTAGTGAATCATTGTGTCATTCAAGTCAATGGATTACATTGAGACTAAAACTAAAAATGTTTATTTCAAAGCAATCTGTAGACGATTTATATATTCCAATAAAGAGATTGGTCCGAATTCATCGTATTTGTTGAACAGGTTGGTGGCTGTACAAACGCATCCTGTCAGTAGCTGACGTACTGGACATTTGTAGCTAAGGGCATTTTGTTCAAGTTGTTGTTTTGTGATGGACATTATCGTTGAGATTGAATGAAATATGTATTGTGGATTGCAATGCTAGTCACACCTCATCTCTTATTGTATAATGAGTGAAAATATTGCTATCCGTAGAAGATACACATATATGCTAACGAAGATTGATAAAAAATTTATTTCTGAATAGTTGAAGACATAAGCATATGTACTAAGAAGCATCTAAATATTTATGTACCAGATAAATCATTTAATTTGTGAGCAGGCTTGGATGCCAAAAACGAAGAAAGGGGCTTTTCTTAATACAAAACTCATCGAGTCTTTGACCTACTGGTCCAATCCACAAGGTAGTGGAGCAATGTTGTGAGATGCAGTGGCATAGTAGTCAGTGACCAATAATTGGTTTATACGTCATTCGTTCCATCACGATTCTAGAGCCTATGTGAACCACTGGTTTGAAGTTGGAGTTTTCCAATTCTCATCCAAAGTGAATCCTCTGTAAACACCAAGCTGGTTAAAGCACTGATTGGACATTCACTTTTCGTCCTTTCAGTTTCGTGGATAACATCCTTGTCACGATAAGACAGTGTGCAGGTCTTTGTTGGTAGTGGCTATACACGCATGGTTATGTGAAAGCATTTGTAGAGGTAGAATAGACTCTCCATACCATCAGTTAATAAATACTATTTAAAAACACGCATTTATTCGAACACACAGGTCTCTCAGGGCGTCTAATAAAACGACTGGGATTTGTGTACGATGAAGGCTCAAAAGCAACCATTTATCTAAAGAATAATTCTATTATTAAGAAGTATTGATTTATGTTTTAGATTATTGACATTTCTTAACACGTGAACTATCTGTTGAGATTTATGCATTTGTTTGTATGTAGGGGGAAAGCATTTTTCTAGTGATAACATAAAAAATGAATTTAATACAAGATGGTATAGTCGATTCGCCAGCTGATTCTTTATTCTGTTAAAACCACTGTCAATGAAGAAAATGGAGACCAGAAACTCCCTAATATGAAAGATGTTGCTTTTGAACAAGAACTTAAAGTATGCATATAAAATGGAAATAGTTTTAACAAGAATTAAGCGAATGCATCTGTAATTATAAATACATTTGATCTTATTGATTTTTATAAGGTCTTTACAATACTAAATAACAAGTAAACGTCTTTTTATTCTTTCAAAAACTATGAGAAATTGATTCGGTTACTGAATAGCTTAAAAGTAGTATAAAGAAATAAGCATAAAATGAGTTCAGTTGGAACTAAACGTTCCTTTTTTTCATTTTGTATGTGTAGTTAAATGAAAAAAGTCAAAATATTGTCAATTCCTTAGTGGAATTAGATAGAACACGTAAAAATGCACAATCAGCAGCTGATGCACTACGTGAAACCGATCGATGGAATAATTTAATGCAATGTATTGATGATTTGTTTGAAATTGGTGATCTTGATCAGGTTAGTTTTTCAAAAAAAAAATTTATTCATCATATTTGTTTTAATACATTTTGTTGGTGGTGGGTGGTCATTGATGTAATCTAAAATTCAATATAAATGTGTTTTTTAAGTTCGGAATTCACTGTGTGTCTGCTTGGATTCATTACTTACCATGTTTCTACTTCCTTTTCAGTGACTGTCAACTTTATTCTTTCACAGTATATACTTACTAGAATCAGGATCCAGAACCTAAAGTCCACGTAATGAACTGTCCATAGTTAGATATAACCATTAAAAATGGCGGAGCGTTGGATAACTATTTCGTTCTGGTATTGAACTTCTCAACAGGTAGCATTTACAATTCTACTAGATGTTGAAGTTAGGACCTTCAGGTTTTGCGTTGACAGTTTAGTTTTTTTTAGCAGCTAAGCTAGCATTCAATATTTTATATGTCTTAATTTAATCAATGAGCGATATTTTGTCGACGTCTCCTATTGCTTTTGGTGGTTGGGACATGTGTTACCTATGGCTGACCACCAACTGCCTCGTCGAGCTATGTTTTGCGATATAGGAATAGGTTGGACGAAAGCTAGGGGCGGCCAGACCAAAACATGGCAGAAATCTATGAAGTCACTGACAAGTGGACTGAGTGATGTTGGTAGATGTAGGCTACCTGGTTGGCGTCCGCGAGACGAAAGTCACTAGCGGTTAGAGACCTTTAATGACATGGTTCAGGTGCATTTACTCTTTGTGTTCTATGAAATTCTAACTTTTTAATGCTTTCGCTAAATCTACTACTATGGGATTTGAATTGACAATTGCATCTCTGTGCTAATGTGGTATGGCAGCTTGTTCCGATGTACTTACGTACGAAGTTCTACGTTGTAACTGACTAACTGCTTTTGTTGATTTCACTTTCTAAATCATTTTAAATGCCACTGATCATTAATTGTTACTAATTATCTCTTAAATTATGTTATGGTTTATTTTTTCTCTTTTCACTATAGCTTTGCTCAAATATTGAGGGTATGAATCAATGCTTAGTAAGTTAACTTGGAAAGTTTACTGACTTAAATAAATACAAAATTAACTGTTAGTTTGGCCTGAATGTTTACTTTCTAATTCTTAGCTTTGCACTAGATGAAACACCCGTGGTTGATGGCCATCAGAGAGAGAGATTGGACTCAGTCCCATCAAGACTAATGATGTATTAGTTTTAGCCATTTTCATCATATTATGAATATGCACAATTTATACTTGTCATTGATAAGCTTAAGAATGGGTAATGATTTAAGGGTAACCGACAAATAAGCACAACTTATGTCATCTCTAATCTTTGCTGAATGCCTGTCGATAGGAAGAAACTAAACTTGGAACTAACACAAAGATCAAGATTAGATATAAAGAGAAGAGTGCTAGCTTCTGAGTGTTTGTAGCATTGAAACAATTTGTTCCGTGCATACATTGTAGATTTGTTGCACTGTATGCCTGATTCAAACCCAACTTCATTTATTTTAAACCAGGCAATCAAGTAGTCAGGAAGGATTTGATTTTGACCAATTTGGTCTCGTATGCTGATACGGGTATGAGGGGGGTTGTCACTTCCCGGCCGTCCACACCGTGGAAGGTTGTTTCTTGAGGGACCTGAAAAGGAAGGTAGATTAGTGTTGGTCTTAGAGACCAGGGTGCGTGACCGCAGAGCCCAGGAGACAACTGCTTGAGGCCGGTCACGCACGGCCTTTTGATGAAAGGCTTTTTTAGGATTAGCTCCGCTCTTAAAAGCCCTCATTGGGCAGCCCTTACCGCCGGAGACGGAAATCCGTGAGGTAGGGTGAGGTGTGACATTTTTAGGGTCGACCTTTTCTAACCCTTCTTTCCTTGTGAGAGGGCTGCATCGCTGCAGAAGCTGGTTGTCCGAGGGAAACACCTTACTGCTGTCACACCCCTCTACAGTCAGCAGTACGACTTCGCCCTCAGACCTTGAGTTGTTGCTTTTAGTTTGATCGTTCTCCAATCGACCTGCCTGGCATGGTAGAACCTTTAGGAAGATATGTTCCAGCCAATATAGCTCGGTTGGGTCATCACGATAGTAGGCAAGCCCGACCACCGCGTCAAGGTAGCAGCTATGGTCGGGCAATCAAGTAGTGTTATCACTAGCCCCATATATTTATAGTATGATTCAAAGCGAAGCATATAAATTTATATACCTGAGTAATATGAATTGTAACTGTGCTGTTGCTGTTAATTTATTTAATCTCCACTCTATCTTGTTCTCTCTCTCTTTCTCTCTACAGGCATCATTTATTCATTTAAATGATTACAATGAACGTGTAAAACAAGTTGATAAATATAAAAATAATTTTGAAAGTTTAATTGCACCAAAATTAATTCAATCATTAGATAATTTAAACAATTACATGATGTCCAATAGTAATACTTCGTACATTTTATTCAATCATGAAAATACTCCTCATCTTCCTATTAATAATGATGATGATGATATGAATAAATTGACAACAAATGATCATATTGAATTAACTAATCATTTAATTCATTTATTATGTCGTATTGGACGTGAAAATGCAACAAGAAAATATTATTTTAATTGGTTAAAAGTAAGTAAGCTTTTATTATACATAGTCTTAATGATACAATATTTCTATGTTGATTTAACTATTCTATCATACTTACTTATTTGCCGACTTACACCTGTTACTTCCAATGGAGAGCATAGGTCATCGATCAGCATTCTCCAACCTACTCTGTCCTATGCCTTATTTTCCAGGTCTACATTAATTACTGTTCATTCCTTCCTCATTCTACAATAATTGGATATAATTATAAGACTAGAAATAATAGAGAATTACAAAAACCATCATCCATAAGATACAAGTGTTTATTAACAGTTGTCTATGCAAAATACTTCAAATCCGTTGACCGGACAACATTCAGTAACAATATAATGTGTGCGAGAACAAACTAGATTCCATTTGAGTTGTATCTTAATTAGCGTAAGCATAGCATCATGATATTACACGTCTATCATTCATTATGGTCTAATACTGATCAGTTCATGATCCCAATAAAACTTAACAGTTTCCACTATCCGATACTGATTATGTTGGGGATCCCCGGAACTCACTTGGAAAAGATCCTAATTTTGGATTTTTTTTGGGTTTTCACGCATAGGCTGCTCACTTGACTTTGACGTTACATTCCCCATTCGGCAAATTCTTGACTCTCATTGGTTGATGTTTTATTTTGGCATGCTATTTTTGTGTCTCTCCCGAGTATGTTTCTGTCATGTATAAATAAGCTCCGTTTGTGTACTCGTCAACTTCGTGTTTTCTGGTTACTACGCCTTATCAAGATTTCTTGCTATAGTTAGCAAGGCTAGGGACAAACGAATCAGTATAGCCTGTCATATCACTGTATCATTGCATTGCTCTCGTTTACTAAGTAAAGTGAACTCGTAGTAGTTTCAAGCATATCAGATTATTATGTAATTCCATCTATCCCATACAAACTTGTGTCACAATGACTATATCGAGGCTACTCGCTCATATTCTAATGGAACAAAGTTCAAGAGATGTAAATATATATTGGCTTGGTGTAGTCTATTTTTCAATAAACATTTTATCTTCATCAACCCCTTCAAGTCTTCTCAATAAGGCAGCTATAAAATGGATGCTGTTATAGTATTCTTCTTTTGTGGAAGTAACTGCTCACTGAACTCGTTTTTTTTTGTCACTAGCACTTACAATCCTGTTACTCCTTGTAGAGCTAAGGTCGCTGACCAAGATCTTCCAATCAACTTTGTCCTGTTTCTATCACAATTAGTATTATTTTTTAAATAAATGTAACATTATTTGCTTGGATTGATTCTAAATAGAGTAGCTGATCAGACTGTACGGTGTTGACACTTAGCTTTAACATTATTTAAAAAATGTGTGAGAAATTTAAATCTGTTATATTAACCAACCAGATAACGGTTATTTAAAATGTAATCGATTTTGAAAGAAAACTGTTAGTGGCAAGAATAATAAAATACAATAACAAAAGTTTTTGTCAATAATTCACCGTTAGAAATAGTAGGTCTTACTTTTACTTACTTACTTACTTACATACCCTTAATGGAGCATAGGTCGCCGACCAACCAACATTAGGTCAAATTTGGATAAATAGATCTAAAATAGTAATGTCAAAGCTCTATTCTAATTACGTAATAGAACGTGTGTAAAATAATTAGACAGTAAACAATATAAACGGAAAGAGACAGAAAATTACCAACAAATACGGGACGTGAAAATAAGATAATGATAACAAAAATTTTTAAAAAAATCGTTTATTGATTTATATCCAACCAAAGAAGAGACAGGGGTGTGACGAATTTCTTCTGCTTATATAAACTGAGATTGAATGTTCGAATTCCTATGACTTTTGCTGTATGCAGGAGACGGGATCAAACTCCATTGAACTTTAGTGATTGTATTTTTATTATTCTTACCATTACTAACAGTACACCTACTATCAACTTGTACTTTTACCTAATATGTGTAGTTACATAATCTCTGTACTTCATTGTGATTATTGACTTATAGTAAAATAGTGTTGATATCGATTGAACATTTTCATTTAAAAATATTCATGTATATTAATTAGCCTAAAGCTTGATGGAGATTCTTTGGAGGACGTTAACATCTTGACATATCTGGGCCCGACCGAAGCTGCTACCTTGACGTGGTGGTCGGGCTTGCCTATCGTGATGACCCAACCGAGCTATACTGGCTGGAACACATGTTCCTGCAGGTCCTACCATGCCAGGCAGGTCGATTGGAGAACGATGAGACTAAAAGCAGCTACCCAAGGTCTGAGGGCGAAGTCGTACTGCTGACTGCAGAGGGGTGTGACAGCAGTAAGGTGTTTCCCTCGGACAACCAGCATCTGCAGCGATGCTGCCTTCTCACAAGGAAGGAAGGGTTAGAAAAGGTCGGCCCTAAAAATGTCACACCTCCCCTACCTCACGGATTTCCGTCTCCGGCGGTAAGGGTGCCCACTAAGGGCCTTTAAGAACGGAGCTAATCCTCTAAATACCTCTCATAAAAAGGCCGTGCGTGACCGGCCTCAAGCAGTTGTCCCTTGGGCTCTGCGGTCACGCACCAACACTAATCCATCTTCCTTTTCAGGTTCGTCAAGAAACAACCTTCCACGGTGTGGGCAGCCGGGAAGTGATAACCGCCCTCATACCCGCAACAGCACGCGAGACAAAATTGTTCAAAATCAAATCCTTCCTACATTCCCTAATACCTCTCTTACCTCCACAACTAACTCTTCTCACATTCATTTATTACAGTGCACAGCTAATGCAAACGATGCGAGTTTGCGAAACGTCGTTCCTGGTCTCTTGAAACCCCGTTCCAAACTACATGTTGGAGCATTCAATGTACGGACATTGTGTCAAATAGGGCAACAGGCATCATTAGCTAGGACTTTAGAATCTCGTTCCATCGATGTGTGCTGCGTCTCGGAAACGCGCATACAGGATCCGAGTAGCATCACTCATTTGACCTCACCATGTCAAGATAAAGAAGCAGCTCGATTTACCCTTCGTGTATCCGGTAGCCCTGATGCTGCTTCTAGGGGCCTCGCCGGTGTAGGTATAGCATTGAGTCGTAGGGCAGAACAATCTCTCCTTGACTGGATCCCTGTAGATAGTCCCTTGTGCGCCGTCCGACTGAACGGGACAGTAAGGACTCGGAAAGATAGGGACACTCGCCGTTGCCTCTTCGTCATATCAGCCTACGCCCCCACTGACTGCAGCCCAGATGATGTAAAAGATGAGTTTTACAGAAAGCTTTCGGACCTCCTCCAAAAAGTTAAGCGCTCTGATATAGTTATAATGGCTGGTGACTTCAACGCACAAGTAGGTAGACTAAGTGAAAATGAAAGACACCTAGGTGGATGTTACGGTCTCGCGGCTCAAAGAACAGACAATGGCGACCGTCTGTTGCAACTGTGCTCAGATAACCAACTATTTCTAGCAAACACTAATTTTAAGCATAAGGAAAAACACCTTTTGACCTGGCGACCCCCGAAGTCGTCTCAACGTTGGACCCAACTAGATCATATCGCCATCAGCCACCGATGGAGGGGTTCGATAGAGGACTGTCGATCGTTCTGGGGCACATGTTTAGATTCAGATCATGCCCTAGTGCGAGCACGTATTTGTTTGAGGCTTGCTGGACGTAGGAAAGACACCGTAAGAAAGCCTCTTAGGGCTTTACTTGATGATAATCAAGCTAAGAAAATATTTCAGGAGGAACTAGAAAAACAGTTGGGCGATCATGCAAGTGATTCCCATCCGGAGTCAGGTTGGAATGATATAAAGAAGGCTGTGGAAACAGCAGTGATATCTGCTAGCAAGGTAAACCATAAGGCTAGGATGAAGCAGTGGATTTCAGTCGCATCCACCGAACTGATGGATGCTCGAAAACGCATCCCACCTAACTCTGAACATGATGAAGAGCGTAGTCAGCTTAGGCGCAGACTTATAAAAAGCCTACGTAACGACCGTGAACAGTGGTGGGTGGCGAAAGCAATAGCGATGGAAAAGGCAGCGGCAATAGGCAACACTAGACAACTTTTCCGCCTTATCAAAGAAACCGGTATTAGGAACCCGAATGTAAGTGAGACTATCTCGGAAAAGGATGGTCTTATTATCCATTCTCAATCTAGGAGGCTGGACCGATGGGCAGAACACTTTAGGGATCAGTTCAACTGGCCTTCAGCCACTCTTCGGTTGCCCACGATCTCCAGTTATCCTGAATGGCAAATCGATTTAAGTCCTCCCAGTTTACATGAAGTTGAGAAAGCTATAGGAAATCTAAGGAGAGGTAGAGCGGCAGGTCCCGATAGGCTTACCCCTGAGATGTTTAAGGATGGTGGTCCAGTTTTAACGGTTAAACTGACCGAAATCCTAGGTAGAATCTGGGAACTGGACGTAATCCCATCTGACTGGTCTCAGTCGCTAATTGTCCCAATCTACAAGAAAGGACAGAAGTCCTCTTGTGACAATCACAGGGGAATAAGTTTAACTAATATAGTTTCTAAATTGTTAGCCTCGATTATACTTAGACGTCTAACTAGAGCTCGCGAAGAGCAGACTCGAGAAAACCAATCTGGTTTTCGACCTGGACGTGGTTGTATAGACCACATCTTCACACTACGACAGGTCCTGGAACACAGACACACATTTAGACGTCCGACAATAGTCGTGTTCCTGGACCTTAAGGCGGCATTCGACTCAGTGGATCGTGAGGTTCTATGGCAGTGTCTGTCATTGAAAGGTGTACCAAAGAAGTACATTAACCTTATACAAGCACTCTACTCGAACACCACTGGTCGGGTGAGAGCATATGGCGAACTGTCATCTGAATTCTCTACATCAAGTGGTGTCCGTCAGGGCTGTCCACTCTCTCCATTCTTGTTCAACTTTGTCGTAGACGTCCTCTTAGAGTTAACATTAAGCTCGTCAGATTTTTCAGGGGTTGACCTTCTACCAGGAAAGTCGCTTACTGATCTAGAATATGCCGATGACATAGTTCTATTCGGTGAAGACGCTGACAAAATGCAGAGTCTTCTGACTACCATAAGCAACAATGCGAGCATGTTCGGGATGCGGTTTTCCCCCTCGAAATGCAAAATGTTGCTTCAAGACTGGGTTGCTTCGGCACCTGAACTAGTGATAGGGAGTGAAGTAGTCGAGCGTGTAGATCACTTCACTTATCTTGGGAGTCTCATCAGTGCTGACGGTCTGGTGACTGACGAAATCTCAGCTCGGATACAGAAAGCTCGATTGGCTTTTGCCAACCTGCGTCACTTATGGCGTAGGCGTGATATCCGTTCGCTAACCAAAGGGCGGGTGTACTGCGCAGCAGTTCGTTCCGTTCTCTTATATGGCTGTGAAACATGGCCGTTAAGAGTAGAAGATATTCGTAGGTTACTAGTATTCGATCATAGATGTTTAAGAAGCATTGCTCGTATATCGTGGGACAGCCGAGTAAGCAATGCTGTCGTTAGGAAACGAGTACTAGGTAAGGATGGCAGATCAGTCGATGAAGTGGTGAAACTTCATCAGTTGAGGTGGCTGGGACATGTGTTACGTATGCCTAACCACCGACTGCCTCGACGAGCTATGTTTTGTGGTGTAGGAGTAGGTTGGAAGAAAGCTAGGGGCGGCCAGACCAAAACATGGCAGAAATCCATGAAGTCACTGACAAGTGGACTGAGTCATGTTGGTAGATGTAGACTACCTGGTTGGGGTCCGCGAGACGAAAGTCATCAATGGTTAGAGACCTTGAACGACATGGCTCAAAATCGTTTGCAATGGCGCAGGTGCATCCACTCTTTGAGCTCTCTCAAATCCTAATCTTCTGGATTGGTCAGCACCTCTACTTTGTCTTTCTAACCTTATCTCACTGAATTATATTTTTTGAATAATATCTTAAACCCTAGTCTTCTTTATTATAACATTAATACCTCTACCATCTTTATCACTATGGGATTTGATTTGACATTTGCGTCTCTGTGCTAATAATGTGGTATGGCAACATGAACTTATGTACATACGTACGAAGTTCTACGTTGCAACTGACTGACTGACTGACATATCTGGGCAGCATCATTGACAATCAAGGTGGATCCGATGCAGATGTGAAGGCCCGGATTGGCAAAGCGAGGGCTGCATTTCTACAACTGAAGAACATCTGGAACTCCAAACAACTATCAATCGACATCAAAATCAGGATTTCCAATACAAATGTAAAGATAGTTCTACTGTATGGAGCGGAAACCTGGAGAACTACCAAAGCCATCATCCAATGATACAAGTGTTTATTAACAGTTGTCTATGCAAAATACTTCGGATTCGTTGGCCAGACACCATCAGCAACAACGTACTGTGGGAGAAAACAAACCAGATTCCAGTGGAGGAGGAAATCAGGAAGAAACGGTGGAAGTGGATAGGACACACACTGCGAAAAGCACCTAACTGCGTCACAAGACAAGCCCTCACACTTGGAACCCTCAAGATCAAAAGAAAAGAGGAAGGCCAAAGAATACATTACGCCGAGAAATAGAGAAAGATATGAGAGGAATGAACAAAAATTGGACAGAACTGGAGAGGGAAGCCCAGGACAGAGTATATTGGAGAATACTGCTCGGTGGCCTATGCTCAATTGGCGGTAACAGGCGTAAGTAAGTTGATGATTGGCGATAATTCAAAACAGCAATATTGTTAGTTTGCTTATTAATTGTACTGTTTTAAGCATAGTTTTGTTGTTGTTTATTTGGTAATTAATTCCATTCGAAAAATTCACTGCTTCAATTGTGATTCATTCATTTGTATAGCGGTATAATTTATAAAGGGATAGTTCATTTTTTTATGTAATCAAATAGTGTTTATTATTACTATTATTATTATTATTAACCTAAAGGAACAAGTCAATGGATTTTGGGATCGTAGCATATGTCAATCAACAGAGACTGCTACTACTACTACTACCACCACTAATACAACCGTTCAATCGGATTCTTTACCATGGATGGTGGTAGCATTACCATTTATCATACAAAAATTATCCGCTTATCAATCCAAATTATTTACAAATAATCAACGAACAAAATTGAATTGTTTGCCAATTTCACATGATCATCAATTGAATTCTGATCAATCATCAATCATCAATAATATTATATATTTTTATGCTTTATTAATATGCTTTTTTAATGGACAAGTAAGTTTATGAGAATGTAAAAAAAAATTATTTTCTCCTTTTTCTTTTTTTTTAAAAAAAAATAATATTTTGTTAAGTTGATAGAGAAAATTTGTAATATTAGTGAATGAATAATCAGTTTTCTAAGTCTGGTACTTCATTCATCAAACGTGTGTTTGTTGATAACTGTGGACATGCATTTAAAATGGGGGAAATGTTGAAATTACCGGTAGAGGATATACAAAGATCAGGGCATTTTTATTAGCTAAACACTTAGATTACTCAGCTATCAACAAAGCGATTAAATTCAACAACCAATTCATTGACAGTGACAATGAAAATAGAAATGAAGACACAGAGTGGTTGGAAGTGAATAAATATTTAATCGAAGTCGAGATCTAGAGAACAGCTCCCAAATGACCACATGCGTATAGCCACTACCAAGAAAAACCTACTCACTACCTTATCATGACAAGTATGCTACTCATGAGATTGATAGGACGAAAAGCAAATGTTCGTTCAGCGCTTTAACCGAGTTGGTGTGTATGGAGAATACACCTTGGAAAAGAGTTGGAAAACTCCAATTTCAAATCAGCAGTTCACATGTGCTCTAGAATCGTGATGGAAAAATTGATGTGCGAACCTGTTATTGGTCACTGGATACCATGGGACTGTATCTCCTGATATTGCTCCACTGCCGTGGGGCTAAGACCTATCGGTCAAAGGCTCAGTGAGTAGCACTTTAAGAAAATCACCTACAACTGTTTGTGCATGCAGATAGTAGTATCCTGGTCAACTCATAAATTCCATCATTTATACAAGTGCTTATATGTTTAAATCATAAAAATCTACAAGACAAATTGCTAGTCATCTATGTCGAAATTTTAAAACTTCATTCCTACCTAAAATTTGTGCTGGTGTTGTTGTTGAGAAAACTTAAAAAGACTCCACAACTGAGCCATCCGACTGAGAAAACGAAATTCCATAGAAATGAGCAATGTAATTAGTACAGGGGGAATGTTTTGAGGATGGTTCAATTTTCAGTTTTTTTACATCAAGGACAGTCAGTCAGCTGCATAGTGTAGAACTTCGTACGTACGTATAGCAGTACATGTTGCCATACCACATTAGCAGAGAGAGATCGAGCTGTCAACTCAAACCCCATAGTGGTAGAAGTTCTAAAAGTATTAGCGGTATTGGAGAAGATTAGGGTTTGAAGATATGATTAGAAAAGCTTGACCCAGTGGAATAAATTTAAAAAGATAAAAAAAACGGTCATGAGGAATTCAGAAGATTAGAATTTGAGAGAAGATAATGAGTAGTGGCTCCCACACTATTGTAAACGATTTTGAGCCACGTCATTCAAATGCTTAAACTATCGGTTACTATTGTGTCGCGGACCTAAACCTATTAACATGGTTCATTCCAGTTGTCAACATCAAGGACTAACTGTAGCTAAACAGTAAGTTATATCTAGAAAGCACGAGACAACTGTTCCGTCTTAATATAGGACTTTCCAATAGTACCCAAGCTTTGAACCCGTTAGCTTCAGGTCCTGGGTCCGTGATGGAAAAGACAGATTTTCCCTATTGTTGAATCTGTTGCGTTTTTCGATGTCTCTGTTTCTATCATTTGCTAATGATTTCCAATACAATGATTTTTGCAGATTGTTTAATACACTTGAGATCATTTACTGATTCAAGTTAGATAATTATTGACATTCAAAAAGCGTTGAACAACTGTTTCTTCCCATTGTGGGATTCTTCAGCGTCGTAAATTCACGAATCAATTGAAGTTAGTCATGTAAACTCTGAAAAGCAGACTCAGCAGTCTGCAGGTCAATTCATCACCGCAAAACCTAAACGACTTACGTCCAATTATCGATTGGGTAGTCGTTGTGCATTGTTAGGTTGTCTTATACTAGTGAGGCTTCCTAGTTTTCAAAGGTTTCCTATATTAGATCAGTTCATGATTTCAACAGCTACTTCTGATGAGCACTATTCATGTATAAGCATTTATTGAATAGAGTAGTAGTGTGGTGTGAGCTACTTATAAGTAGTATATGACGTGAGTGTCAACGTAATGTCTGGCAGCAGAAGATGGGGGAAGATCAAGAAAGGAAGAGCGGGAACACAATGGAATTTGTATGAAACGCATGAATAGTGACAATGGATTGATGTTTTGCAACAGGAACAGTGCAGTTCGATATGATGGACTGATATTTTGCAAATGAACGATTTACGATATGGTTTCCCGATTTTACTGAGTAACTCTGTAATTTTCGCTAACTGCAATTCGGTTGCCCCACCTGTGTTCTCTTTCACGACACTAGTATAATGATTTCAAGATTAGAAAACAGTTTACTAACTAAGACTAAAATAACGCCATATCTGTTTCACTTTCATTAATTTTCAAAAATGGTTTCCTAATTTATCCAGTGCATCTTATAAAACTGATCAATGATAACAGTTCCGGATAAATTTTGATTATCATTCTAAGAGAGTCAGAATTCGAATTCTTCCATTTAGTGTAGTTTTACCTTGTTACAGTTGCAAAATATTTCTTTTTCTTTAAACAGTTATCAGTCCTATACAACTTGAAGATGGTGTTCTAATACCGAAACGATCCACTCATAATGCACATACACCAACTATGACTAACCGAAACTATGTTGAGTGTGAGGCAGTTATCCACCGTAGACAATGAATAATGGTCGCATATTATTGTGTATTGTTTGAAGTTAGACATGTAAAACGATAGGTTCCAACTCAGTAATACTCTGAAGGGTAAGCATTTGCTCACTGGACAAAAGATCCTGGATTTAATCCTTGCTTCCGGAATTCTAGATGCACACTTCTTAGAAGTCTCATACAAAGACAAAACGACTATTCAGTGCATCCAGGTCTTTAATAACATGCTAGCCTAAACTATCGTGAATTGGATGAATGTTGTTATGTAATTCACTGTAATATAGAGTCTTATTACCGTTAATATTTCGCTGCAAAATACATTATTTTATGAATTATTTATTTCCAAATTATAGTTGAATGCAAAGCTATTTTTTCATTCTGAAGAAGATCAATTTGATCATAGTCAGCAGCAGCATCAAGAAGAGGGAGAACAACACCACCAACAACAACAAAAGACAAGACAATCTTTTCCGATTGATCTAATGACAGCTTTTATCAATTCATTAGAATCATGTAAACCATTTCAAACATTGACTAACACGATAACCGATTATCAATTAATTGGATGCTTATTTCGAGTAAGATGTGTTATTATTATTATTATTATTATTAATGTCATTATTACATGCTTAATTGATTTATATTTTCATGGTAAACCTAGATTTCATAATGTTTGTGATGTTGTTTGTTGTAAATATGATCAATTTAAAGTAAAGAGTATGCTATATCAGCTCCGGGATGGATTGTTTGTACATCTGGGAAACTTCTGAGATAGTCGAAGCTTGTTTGGGTTAGTAAATGTCATTGCAAAAAGAGTTGATAACTTGATGTACATGACTGATGTTTGAGGGCAATGTTTAATACAACATGTAAACCATATTCGGGATAGACGACTAAATTTGACTGGAAGACTTCCTGGCTCTAACTTACCATCAAATTGCCTGATTCATGCAGTTAGTCACGAGCGTAAAAGTCAGTGCAAAAAGGGATTAACAGTGAAACAACGACAAGATCACTTTTAAAATGCCAATTTCCTTAGCGCGCCTTCAGATAAACCCTAGAAGATCGATTTATTTCTGAGTAGGGAAAGGTGTTACAGCCAGCTAACCACCGACTGCCTCGACGATCTATGTTTTGTGGTGTAGGAGTAGGTTGGAAGAAAGCTAGGGCTGACCAAACCAAAACATGGCACAAATCCATGAAGTCACTGACAAGTGGACTGAGTGATGTTGGTAGATGTAGGCTACCTGGTTGGGGTCCGCGAGACGAAAGTCACCAATGGTTAGAGACCTTGAACGACATGGCTCAGAATCGTTTGCATTTGCGCAGGTGCATCCACTCTTTATGTTTTCTCGAATTCTAACCTTCTAAATTCTTTATCACCTCTTCCTAAATTTACCTCACTGAATTATACTTCTTGAATAACATCTTCGAACCCTAATCTCTCCGACTGCTGCTAATACTTCTACTATCGCTACCACTATTAGATTTGAACTGACAGTTGCATTTCTGTGCTGATGTGGTATGGCAACCTGAACTGATTTACTTACGTACGAAGTTCTGCGTTGTATTGAATTGATCTCATATTCTGTTTCTGTTGTGAATTCATTCTTCCAGAATCTTATTATCGCTATCTGTGGTCTCTCTTTTCCACTACACTGATATTTGTCTTCGTTTCATCGTCACACTGTATATTGATGTGATGTAGTCATTTGAATTGATGCATGAATATCCTAAATGAACTGTATTCTTTGAATTTTTAAGTGGTCTCTGATGTTTTTTTTACACTATTTATGTGTTATTCAATCACATCAATAAGATTTTTCAATAGACTTAAGTAATAAGTGAACATTTGTGTAGTTAGTTAAAGAAACACATCATAGTTTCCTTTACAGCTCGTCGTCTTGGGTTAATTCCTAAATGTTGACGTGTTCTATGCCAACTTCAATAAGACTTTTCTCATTAGACTATCTCGATCGGTCCTTAATTTTCAAGTGCTTCAAATCAAATGAAAACCCTAATACATTATCGTCTCTTTGTTACAACATCATAGTAAACTACCAGTATTTAGCCTCGGGTGGTCGCGTATATCAGCACTATCCAGTGAGTATTATTGCAGTAATGTATAAAGGGTTTTATTTAAAATTAACTAAACTATGACTTGACCACACATTCATCCTTACACTGAATGCTTGTTGGTCTAGACAGAGCCAAGTAGGATGACTTTACGAGTTTTTGTCAGTTCAGTAGATGCTGCTGAGAGCCACGGCTTCTTCCTAGCCTTATGGTTTACCTTACTAACAGATATCCTTGCTGTTTCCACAGCTATTTTGATATCATTTCAAGCTAGTTGGTCTACGATTATATTTAAAGAAAGTTCAAAAGCAGTTCAACCAAATCAGTACATCATTCAATCTATGTCGTGAATAATTTGTTGTTAGTTTAAACTGCATTGATAGGTACAAACTACATGGAATCGCTATAAAGACATGTGAGATAATTGTAATCGATGATAGTCTTGGATTTTGGTTGACTGATTCTTATTATTATTAGTTGCCATAAAATAAATGTATTCGTTTACGTTCTATTTTCTTTCTAACTCTAATTCTCAGCATTATTCCATACATTTTATTAGGGAAATTGTTTAGTTGTATACTTTTTCGTTGTAAATATATTTATACTTCTAACATTCGAACTTGTTTAGTAAATTCATGTTAGTGATTAACTGCATTAATTCATTGTACCTAGTGTATATTGTGTAACAAGTTGTATTGGATGAATATTTGTGCTCACATCTCGTATGTCTGTTGTTCCTGACTGACTGACTGACTGACTGTATATATATTTCTAATCTCTAAAAAATGGGCGAAAGCTTAAGTGTTCGTGCGTGATACCAAAGTTCTGTTTCAGTTTCCACCTTCTTGGGGTCATGGATATACACACACTGCCGAAGAGTCTCATACTAGGACTAGACAGCTAACCACTACTTTTAGATCTTCAATAATGTTCTAACCTTGATTGATCTATGATTTCGATGAAACTCGACAATCTTCATAATCCTATCATGTCACTCACTCATTTATGTTGACATTTATTTTTTTTCATAGGTAACTATTGGATGTTTACAGTGTTTAGAAGAATTATTAGTTCCTTTTTATTCGGGTAAGTAATTTTTTATAACCGATTGTTTACTGAGTAGTGAGTGATCAGTGATCAATGTTGCCAAGTGGTTATTAGTATTGATCAACCAAGTTTCAACATGATCACTATAGTCTAAGTTACTTATTATCGTATGCAATATGTTGAGATGTAGGATAGTGATTGTAGGAGGAGTCAGTCGAGAGGGAACTCTGGAATCGGTTATCATACTATTTAAGACTTGTCAACAAGATGTATCTGTAATCTTGAAAGAACTGATGCTCCCTGGCATATTCAATCCTATTTCACTTAGTTTCATTGTCAGAGATGTTACCACTGAGCTATTTGGGTCACAACTAAAACCTAGTCTATAACTGAGTAGTGACCAATGTCATGTATGTCAATTCCTTTGTATGGGAAACATCAGATAATTGTTTTATGTAATAAGAAGACATTCGGTCTTGTTCACAAACTGTTGACCTGTGGACTACTGAGCCGGCACCTGATGGTGTTAATATCTAACTCTAAGGTGTCTGCGAAACCTCACCCATTGTCTTCAGTAGTTACTGCCTAAACCTGACAGGGTTGAGCTCCTCTGGTTATGTCCTCCTCCCATTGACGGTGGGTGAGGCTGCGCGAAACCTTAGATTGATTAAAGCTAGACACTAGCACCGTCGGGTGCTAGCTCAGTAGTCTGGAGCTTAAGCATTCAATCAAGTGACCGAAGGCTCTGGATTCGATTCTCGCGGGCGGTGATTGTAAATACGCACTACCGAGGAGTCCCATACTAAGATTAAATGGCCGTCTAGTGCTTCCAGATTTCTAATGATGGTCTAACAATGATTCATTCATGATTTCAACATAAAAGAGAGTTTAAACTTTGTGTTTAGTCAAGTCTTCAATCAATCGTAGTTTACACTTGTTTAACACTTTTTGTACAACACCCATATAGCTGAGTCAACATCAGTTTCATGAACTATATGTTTAACAATAGAGTACGATAAGTGCCTATCATCAACTCTAATTTTATTGATTTTTTTTTCCAGAAGTGACAAAAAGAACTTTGAATTCTAAAAATACAACGCCTTCATTATTGATAAATACCAATGAAATTAATCATCATGAGAATGATCAGAATATCAACATCATGGATAATTATTTCAAATCAACTTTTATTCGATTAATTCAAGTATTTATTGAACCATTTAAAAATTTACCAGAATTATTTACTAAATTTATACGTGAACAATTTGATTGTAAACTGAATGAATTGAATATTGTAAGTGGTGTGTGTGTGTCACATATGTATGTGTTGGTGTACACTTTTTTTATCTTTTGTAATAATGATTCATTGCTATTCGTTAATATATTTATTCTATTAGCGAAATGATATTTTGACAAGTAGTTGAAAAATGAGATACCTAATAACATCTGTTACTCCTTGTGGAGCGCCATCTTCAACTAACCTTGTCTTTCCAATTGTTCTCAAGAGTTGTTTATTTGTTTGATTACTTATTTACTTACTTACGTATGCCATTTTACTCCTAATAGAGCATAAGCTGCTGTTCAACATTCTCTAACCTACTCTATCCCGGGCGTTCTTTTACACTTTAATCCTATTGCTGTTTATTCCTTTCGTGTCTGTCTCTAATTCTCAACGTAATGTGTTCTTTGGTCTATTTTCTTTTGGCTTTAAGAATTCCAAGTGAGGGCTTGTCTTGTGACGCAGTTGGATGGTTTCTGCAATGTGTGTCCGATCTGCCTCCAGCGCTTCCTGATTTCATCTTCTGCTTGAATCTGGTTTGTTCTCTCCCGTGGTAGGTTGCTACTGATGGTGTCTGTTTAACACATCCATAGTTTCTTGCATAGATAACTAATAATAAATCCATGCATTTCATGGATGATGACTTTTGTGGTTCTCCAAGTTTCCGTTGTTTGTTTTATGTCCGCCTCCTATTCCTCCACACAATACATCTTCTTTGGTTGGCATCTTTTGCCTTATGATTCAGTTTGATGACTTTCTCAATGTGTTTACTATCCACCTCCAGCGTTCTTTCCTAATTTCTCCCTCAACTGGAAGCGAGTTTGTTTTCTACCATTGTAGTTTTTCTACTGATGATATCATGCTAAATAGATTTGTAGTATCTTGTTTACACAACTGTTTATAATATCTGTATCTTTTGGCTGATGGCTTTTTGTAGTTCTTCAAGTTCCAGCTTCATACAGTAGAACAGTTTTGACGTTTTCATTGAAAATCCGGGCTTTTAAGTTGAATGAATGCTGAAGGTGTTGTTTCCCCTAAACTGCTATATGGTTAAGCGTTGAACTTTTCATTATCTGTGTTACATCCCGGCTGCCCACACCGTTGAAGGGTTCTGGTTGTCAGAAAGGGGAGGCATCGGCCTCGTGACTTCCGAAGGGACTCGGCTTTCATCATGACACGTTATAACTCTTCTAAATGAAGACCTAACTCCCAGAGCAGAGTTCATATGGTTTGAATTATTTTTTTGTTGTTCCCTATTCAACCTAACTGTAACGTTTCATGACCCGGACCTGGATCCCTAGTCCGGGATCCTGGTTCTCTTCTAGACTCGGACGTCGTACTTTCTGGATGCTTGTAGACCACATGTTCTACTTCATATCAAGTCTTCTTTTTTACTCAATGGGGGTTTGGGACAATCGGATTAGAGTAGCCTGTCGTGTCGCCGGATCCTCGCTCTCGTTTTCCGACATTTTTACGTGCATTCGTAACAGTTGGATTGAACAACCAGGTATAAAGTACCATCAACTCGCTTACTTTAATGTGTGACAATATATCGAAGTAACCTGTTGAATGAATTGATAAATTATTATATCAACAGATAATTAGAATAATATTCGACCAAATTATCAGTAGTTTAAATTTTTACTTTTCTCTCTACTTTTTCTATTTATATGCTCATATTCATTTAGACTGTAGATAATACTGATCCATCGGATCTTTTAGAGAAATTGAACAATAATATTGTACAACAATCGATTTCATTATTTTATGATACAATCCATTTATGTTTCGAAGAAACTGGTGCTATTGCTATTCCTTCTATTTTGGATATTATTCAAGTAAGTGATTTTCTGAATGGGATTTTGTCATGTAGAGATATACGAAAAGTTAATCAATTTTCAGTTATGAAATGTCTGAAAAGACTCACTAGTGACAATAGGCACACAGTCTTTGCTATCTGCAGATTTTGCATGAACTCAATGTAAATATCTCATTCCTACAGGATGTCAGTTACAAGCTGCATAGATCAAATAGTAACATTTTAGGCTTTGAAACTTAAGTGTAGAAAGAATTTAATAGTGACCACTTTGGTCTCGTGTGCTGGTACAGGTATGAGAGGATAAGTCACTTCCCGGCTGCCCACATCGTGGAAGGGTGCTTCTTGAGGAACCTAAAACGGAAGGAAGACTAGTGTTCGTCTTAGAGACCTGGGTGCGTAAACGCAGAGCCCAAGGGACAACTGCTTCAAGCAGGTCACGTACGGCCTTTTTATGATACGTTTTTGAAGTGTTAGCTCCGTTCTTTTTAAAAACCCCTACCTCTGGAGACGAAAATCCGTGAGGTAAGGTGAGGTGTTACATTCTTGGGTCGACCTTTCCTAACCCCTACCCTTCCTTCCTTGTAAGAAGGCAGCATCGCTGTAGATGCTGGTTGTCCGAGTAAAACACCTGATTGCTGTCACATCCTTCTGCAGTCACCAGTACGACTTCGCCCTCAAACCTTGGGTAGCTGCTTTCAGTCTCATCGTTCTCCAGTCGACCTGCCTGGCATGGTAGAACCTTCAGGAATATATATTCGAGCCAATATAGCTCGGCCGGTCATCACGGTAGCCAAGCCCGACCACCACATCAAGGTAACAGCTACGGTCGGGTCACAATTATATAAAGTTTCCCTCAGTCGGAAAGAGTAATTTTATATTTGTTTCCAAGGGGACCAGACACTGTGCACATGTTAATACTATGTCATAAACAGCACAGCGCAATCCTATGGTGCAACCACACAGCTACCTGATACCTGACACCCTGCTGGACCATAGCTGTGATGCTTTGCTAGCTAAATTCCAATCGGTTGGCGAGCACCAAAATTAATTACACCTACTGCTTGATATGTATCAGCTAAAACAAAATATAGGTTGAGAATTTCGCACCAACTACCTTACCATCAACCATTTTTATACTGTTTCTCATCATCGTCAGAAACTTTCAGTTTGTTTTAAAAAAAAGTAAATCAATCAATAAATCAAGTTAAAAGTACATCTGAACTCACAAAAAAAAGCAGTCATCAATTAATTTTTTTCTCATTTGTGTTTTATATAGAATTATTGGGATACATTAATCGCTAAATGGATCATATGGAATACATGGATTGAAAAACTATTAACAAAAATTGATATGGAATCAAATTATCATCAAGCTTATGGTTTTATGTGGATTTTAAAATTTGCTCATTTAACAGGTATAAAATTACAGTTGGTGATCGCATTTTTGATATATATATATATATATATATATATATATATTAGACCACTATTGGAAACGTGGAAGCACTGGACGACTGCCGTTTCGTCCTAGTATGGAACTCATCAGTGGCAGTGCGTCGCGCTCGAACGCTTAGGCTCTAGACCACTGAGCCAGTCAGTATTCAACGGCGTTTTAATATCTAACTTCAACCAACCCACGATATTATGTGACCATCATCCATTGTCTTAGGTAGGAAACTGCCTCACACCCGACACGGTTAAACCCTACTGGTCACAGTTTTTCACTAGAACTCGGAGAATTCCCCGGCCAAGCTAGTCACTTATGAGTACATGATGATTGTCAGTTAATAGTTGTAGAGATTGTTTAGTATCATTGGAGCAATGAATCAATCAGTGTTAGACCGTCACTAAAAACCTGGAAGTTCAGTTCTCAAAAGGCTAAGCGTTTGCGTGCGAGACTGAAAGCTTTGAGTTTGATTCCTACTTGCCGGGTCGTGGGTACACACTATTGATAAGTCACAAACTAGTAAAAAACGGCCGTCCAGTGACTTCAGGTTTCCAATGATTGTCGCATCTATATATATATATATATATATATATTGATCAGTTCCTGATTTCAATGAAACCTAACAATCTTCACATCCTTAGATTGATAAATAAGATTGATTGGTTGGTTTATCTTCTATGGTAGAAAGAGAGATCTGATATAACGGGAGAATAATAATAACGGTTTATTTTCATACTATATTACTCCAGTGATTTTAATTTAGCTGGTGACTGTGATTATTCAGCTATCAACAAATTGAATACTCGGTCGATATGCTATACACAAACTGGATTATGTTATGTAAGATTTGCGATTCACAACCGAAATAGGGCACCAAAGTATATAACGCTAAACAATACTTTATTGAACGCAGTTACAAGTTGTCACATTTAGTAAATAGTAACATAGTAGAATACAGTGATAGAACTCAAATCGTATGCTTATAATGTTTTCCTTGTTAATCTTCAATCTCACTGGTCAATCATATCTTCCTCCAATTAACCACAGATTAGTATTCCTTTACGAGTGGACAGTCATTCTGTATATCAGTTGATTATTTTGAAGTCATAACAAGATAACAACTGTCTATTACGCTCTGGTTTTCTAATGACTTTCTAACTGAAAATGTGGATATGTGGATATTGCAGTAAAGAATTCTCAGAATAAAATGTTATAACTGGAAAAATATTGATTATTATTATTATTATTATGACTCATAAACTTTGTACTCTTTGTTCCGCCCTTTATTACTTATGGTATAATTGCGTTAAAAGTGCAGTTTCTTTTTTATTCATTGTGCTTTGTGATCACTTATTGCAAGCAAATTATTTTATGCGTTTCTAGTCATGATTGAATTGAGTACAATTGGAGAAGTAATCTTATTCCATTGGGTTAAAGGTAGTTCATGAGCCAGTCGACATTAAGGTTTTGACTATTGTTCACTGATCAATATGTTAATTGGTTAATAGAAGTTGACAGATCCAACTGGCATACGAGTGATCGGTATCCCAATCGGGCAATATCATACGATCATAAATCATAACAAAAAGTATACAATATTATTATAAATTTCCCCATTAACATATATGCACACACAAATATATTATGTGTAAATAGATGAATGAAAATCTTGAAGTGAGAACCCGTAATCAATAGATCGTTCAACTCTGTTGAGTGTTACACACAGACAGGTATCGTCGATGTTAATCAATGATGATTAGGTTATTAATGTGAATTAATTGAAATTAGAAATACAAATTATTAGATTATCAATTCAATAATTTAAATATAACTAGCTCAATGAGAGACTTACAGATCTTGTGTTTCAACTATTCGAGGTTCTTTGGTGGACACTGATGATTAGAAGTCCCATACTCTAGGACTTAGCTTTTAGTATCTATTTGACGAAAATCATTTTGTAGCGTAGCCCATTTTAAAATAATTTGCTTACTTGAGAAGCGATAAAAAGATATGTGTGTAAAATAATATTGGAGTTCAACATCTAGAACAAACTGATGAGTGTCTGATTTTGGACAGTACTACTGTAGTGAACGAGAACACAGGTGGGGCAACCGAACTGTATTTAACGAAAATTACAGAGTTACTCAGTAAAATAGGAAAACCATATGGTAAATCGTTCATTTGCAAAATATCAGTTCATCATATCGAACTGGACTGTTCCTGTTGCAAAACATCAATCCATTGTCACTATTAATGCGTTTCATACAAATTCCATTGTTTTCTAACTCTTCCTCTCTTGATCTTACCCTATCTTCTGCTGCCACCAGACATTACGTTGACACTCACGTAATATACTACTTATAAGTGGCTCACACCACACTACTACCGAACGTCTCAACACAACTGATAGCAATTATTATATGAAACCCAACCATCCATCAAGCATGAATCAGCGATGTCATGGACTACGTAGACATGAGTGATTAAGAATTCTACACATCACTCTTCTATTTTTTTTTCTATTCTTTTCTAAAATAGGTGAATTTACTGCACAATCTAATGTGTTTGTGGAATATGTCATGTCAAAATGTTCTGATTGGCTATCGTTTATTCTTAATTCATCTGATAAGTATGATATGATGAACTTTATCAAAATATTTGTATCGTTATTATTAAATAATTTGGATTATTTTTTGTGTTATGTTATAATTCTCTCTTAGTAGAACCCAACTATTCCTATTACTTAGTATTCTGGGATACCAAACCACTTGACAAGTCCTCAAATTAGAACACGGTTGAACAGGGAAGAGATTGATTATATTCCAAATAGCAAGGTTGAATGGAAGTAAGAAGCCGATGCGAAGGCGAAATAGGGACTACGATAGTATCTTTATAGTTTCTACATGAGAACCTCCTAGAATGTTCTCCAAGTAGGATAAGAATTAGCCAATCAGCGCGCAGCTAACGCAGTCATACTTTAATCCATCTATGTCCCACTAACATGTTGTATCTAATCTTCGCTTTGTTTTGAACATTATCACTGGGTGGTAGTACATTTCAACAATCAGAAATCACTAATCATGTTAACGTTATACTTGCAATGCGCAATAAACGGCTGTTTCGTCATAAATGATAAAAGACTCATCAACGATGCACCTCAACGACTTTGCACTCTGGAATCGAACCTGGGAGCTTTAGTTTCGCATGTGAACGCTTAACCTCTTGACCGCAAACGATAAGTTTACATGATTGGCCAAACAGTGGCTTTCATTTCCTGGGAATGAGACAGACATACATCATTTATATATGTATATTGTGTATGCATATCAACTTCGGCGACTATCTCCTACAAGTTTTCTGACAATGAGGACTTGTTTTAAACCTAGGCTCTGCAACCTCAATTTATTTGTATTTTCGATGCATTTTTCATTACATCTAGTTGTCTTTTGGCTTCTTAAGATTCTCAACTTATAATTATCACAAACCGTGATATGGTTAATTCAAAAAGTATTTCCAGTCATTATTTGTGTTGTATGTAATTGGACTGTCTTCACCATACTTTGGTCTCCTTCTATAAAAGTCCTAAGTTCTACGTTGCATCTGACTATAAAAGTCCTACTCACTACCTCCTCATACCGGAGGTGTTATTCATGAAATTGAGAGGACGAGAGGCAAATGTTCAGTCAGGTTTTAAATCAAGTTGGTGAGTACGGAGGAACCATCTAAGGCAGTTGGAAAACCCTGATTTCAAACAAATAGTGCATATATGATCCTGATAGGACAAGAGACATATTGACCTGTTGTGGATCAGGACGACCGTGGGATCGCATCTATCGACGTTGCTCCACTCCCTTGAGTATTGGAGCTGTAGTTTAAAGGCTTGGGATACGGGTTCCCTGAGAAGATCATTTGCTTCAGTTGGCGCACTCTAACAGTATCCTATCCCACTCACAAATTCAGTGATTTGTGTGACGCATTTTTATCATGGTGCCCCTTTGTAAATGAATAATCGGATCTTACAGTTTTTGTTGCCTTATCGTAAAATTAGCATTTTGATAATTTTATTTATTAAATTCATTAACTTAATTAATAATTTAAAAACTAAAGAATTCCAGAACTCTTATCACATAACTCATTTGTATAAACATTCCAAATATTTGCATTCAACTTTGTATATCCACGTCATTATCAACCAGATTCGTCCGCAGAGCTTCTATACTGTATGTAGGATTCAGATTTTGTCTACATGATAAAATAATTTTGTTAGGATATTCATCAAATTATTTTTGGAAGTCTAATTCTATTGGTCAATGCCTACTGGTCAATATTATGATCGTCCTAACTATCAATGTCACATACTTCAATGTTTTTTCCCATCGGTCGTCCTGACTAACAGTGTCACTTCAAATGTTGTTTCCTATTTGACCTAACTGTATAAATACGCATTATCTGTAACGTTTTATGACCCGGACCCGGATCCCTAGTGCGGAATTCTGATTCTCTTCTGCACTCGGACATTGTACTTTCTGGATACTTGTAGACTACATGTTCTACTTCACATCGAGTCTTCCTCTTTTATTCAATGGGGGTTTGGGACGCTCGGATTAGACTAGCCTATCGTGTCGCCGGATCATCAATCCTCACTCTCGTTTTCCGACTAAGGTGAACTTGTAATAGTTCAAGCATATCAAGTGACGTGGTTTACGTGCATGCGTAACAAATTTTATCATATCTAAGTCACACCACAAGTACAAAAGTGATAAGCCTGATTTATTGGCACTAAAACGGAATTTATAAATGTATATATATATTCACGGTTGGAAATCCTTGGCGCCTCTAGGCAACATGAACCCTACGTACATGCTTGTCTGGATCTCGTATCAAGCGCGTTCCAATTGACCTTTACCAACAAAAAATTCACGATTGATCTAAGCAAACCGCCAAAGAAATCTACTGTGCACCTTCCTTATTTGTACTCTCCTATTGAAATTAAGGTTGTATTATACTGTTTCTGTCAGTGATATAGTGTAAGCATGATATCAGAAACTGAAACTTATACTTTAATTTCACTGCGATAACTATTGCAGTAAATGTGAAAGCATTTGTGACAATTTGATCTAGCCTGTAAACTGGCATACCTCTTGTAATGTTTGGCTATATGAGAATAAATATTATTATTATTATTATATATATTCTCTTTATCATATTTCTTTTTCCAGTATATTCATTCATGATCGAACAATTATCAACCACATCCCTAATACCAATCAAATTAATATCAATGATGAAGATACTAATTGTATGCCAATAATATCTGGTTGTGTATTGTATCAATTAATTTTAAAACAATCTATTGATTGTCAACAAGCAATTCAATCACTTGTTCATTCATCATCTAATCTGCTCAATTCATTGAATAAATCCAAATCTCATGGTAATTTAAATGGTGTGCATAGATCAAATGCCATGTTATGTCGATCTACTATTGGTGTAGTACGTGAAATTGCATTGAAACCAATACGTTATTATTTAAAATCAGTGCCAAATTTAAATATTTGGTTTACATATCCAAATAATGGTGAAGAATGTTTACCGGATTTGGCTTATTTACCACAAGATTATATTACACAAGTAATTGTTTGTGTTTTTTTTTAAAAAAATTATTTTTTTATTTTTCATTATTATTTCAACAATGAATGAATGAATGTGAATAAGTTGAATTTTGCTTTTGAAAGATTAATTTTCATCTCTAACAACTGATGACTCTGTGACTAGCAATGGAAATAGTAGTCATCAGAATCGTAGTAGTGGTAGCGATGGTGAAGAGACAGAAAGTGTGAGCAGTCCACCTATAGTGACTAGTCGATCTACTTCATTGAATGAGCCTCCTAGTGTTTTGACATCATCGAACCCTGCCTCGAATGTTAAGTTGATTGAAGATGCACAAGGTTGTGCAACTGTAACTGTTTCTACTCCGGTTGACTATCAGTCGAGTGACGATGAGAAAAATGCGTGTGATGGTAACAGCCAGTCTACAGTGTTGTGTGATAACGATGCTATTGATGTGCATATGTCTTGTGTCTCTGAAACGGAACATGAAGAACAACAAGTGAGTTTATCGGTTTTGGATTGTGACACTAATGCTGTTCTTTCATGTAGCGAGATGAGTTATACAATTATGGAAGAGTTTCACGCTACGGATGCTAGTGTAGACAGAAACAACGTGACTTGTCTGACAGAATGGAATCATGTTGACGATGATAATAATCTGGATGTCACTGATGTGACAAATGAGTTGGCGACGATGACGATTGCTGATCAAACCTCCTCTGTATCAGGAGATGGAGAGTTAAATATTATTCCTACGCTATGCCATTTGGAGTTTTCGGAAGACGATGAAATATCAAAATTGGAGATCCCACCCTTGCATATTATCTATGGGTCAAGAACTTCTGTTGATAAGTCAGCATCACGGACTTCATCGTATCTGCCGTTCGGAGCAAGTGGTGCTGGATTGACTACTCATCCTCATGATGTGGAATGTAAATCCCGAATAGGATATGACCAGCGTTACGACGTGTTATACATGTTCATTATAATTATTTCAACAATGAATGTGAATAAGTTGGATTTTGCTTTTGAAGAATTAATTTTCATCATCAACAACTGATATTTGTTACATATAACTTTCATTAAAATCATCAATCAATCATTGTTGTTAGAATACTATTAGAAATCTGGAAGTACTGGATAGGCGTTACGGATGTAGGCAGTTATTACCAAAGACAATAGGCGTGAGGTTACGCAAAGTTCGTAGATCGACTAACACACTGTTGAATGATGGCGTCTATGTGTGAGATTGAAGGTTCTGTGTTCGATCCTTGCGATCGGAGGTCATGGATACGCACTACTGAAAAGTTCCATACTAGAATGGAATGGCCATGCAGTGCTTCCAGGTTTTTAATGATGGTCAAAGAATGATCAATTTATGATTTGAATGAAAAACAACAATCTCTGTAACATTGTAATGAATGTTATAACTTTATTTTCTATCTAACCATGTCAGTAAATTATTGAGTTCGCTTGAAGTTAATATACGCAAATACCCATTAAGTATTCTGATTATAATTGGCTTACTCAAATTCTTTCCGCAGTTTAACCTTCTCAATCAAAATATGAGGGTACTTGGCCGATTAGAATTGAAAAAAACTTACTGGATTGTCTTCATTTAATTAGATGGTTACACTGCCTCCATAGATGAGAAATTACAATCTGTACAAAACTGGGACAATGGTACTACAATCTAAGTAACAGATACATAATTCATTTTCAATTAGATCATTAAACACCCGGAAGTACTGGAATGCCATTTTATTTCTAGTTTGAGACTTTTCAGCAATGCTCATACACGACCTTACCACAAGAGATTGAATACGAAACCTTTGGTTTCACTTGCTAACTCTTAGCCTCGACGAGCTATATTTTGTGGTGTGGGAGTAGGCTGGACGAAAGCTAGGGGCGGCCAAACCAAAACATGGCAGAAATTTATGAAGTCACTGACAAGTGGACTGAGTCATGTTGGTAGATGTAGACTACCTGGTTGGGGTCCGCGAGACGAAGGTCATCGATGGATAGAGACCTTGAACGACATGGCTCAAAATCGTTTGCAATGGCGCGAGTGCATCCACTCTTTGTGTTCTCTCGAATTCTAACCTTCTGAATTTCTCATCACCTCTATCTTTCTCTTTCTAAATTTACCTCACTGAATTGTACTTCTTGAATAACATCTTCAAACCCTAATCTCTCCGATTACTGCTGATAGTTTTACTACCTCTACTACTCAGTCAGTCAGTCAGTTGCAACGTAGAACTTCGTACGTAAGTACATCAGTTCATGTCGCCATACCACATCAGCACAGAGATGTAATTGTCAGTTCAAATCCAATAGTAGAAGAGGTAGTAAAGGTATTAGGAGTAATCGGAGAGGTTAGGATTACAAGATATTATTCACGAAGTATGATTCAGTGAGAAAAGTTTAGAAAGTCAAAACTAGAGGGGTTGAAAAATTCAGAAGATTAGGATTTGAGAGAACACAAAGAATAAATGCACCGGCGCCATTGCGAACGGTTTTGAGCCATGTCATTCAGGGTATCTAACCATCGATTATTACCATCTTGCGGACCCCAACCAGGTAGTCGACAACTACCGAAATGGCTAAGTCCACTCGTCAATGACTTCATGGATTTCTGCCATGTTTTGGTTTGGCCGCCCCTAACTTTCTTCCAATCTACTCCCACACTGCAAAACAAAGATCGTCGAAGCAGTCGGTGGTTAGGCATACGTAACACATGTCCCAACCACCTCAACTGATGAAGTTTCACCACTTCATCGATTTATCTCCCATCCTTACCTAGTACTCGTTTCCTAACGACAGCATTGATTACTCGGTTGTCCCACAGTATACGAGCAATGCTTCGAAGACACCTATGATTGAAAACCAGTAACCTACGAATATCTTCTACTCTCATTGGCCATGTTTCACAGCCATAAAGTAAGACGGAGCGAACCACTGCACAGTACACTCGTCCTTTAGTCAGCAAACGGATATCTCGCCTACGCCATAAGTGACGCAAGTTCGCCATAAGCTCTCACTCGACCAGTGGTGTTCGAGTAGAGAGCCTTTATGAGGTTAATGTACTTCTTTGGTACACCTTTCAATGACAGACACTGCCACAGAACCTCACGATCCACTGAGTCAAATGCCGCTTTCAGGTCCAGGAAGATAACTATTGTAGGACGCCTAAATGTGTGTCTGTGTTCCAGGACCTGTCTGAGTGTGAAGATGTGGTCTATACAGCCACGTCCAGGTCGAAAACCAGACTGGTTCTCTCGGGTCTGCTCTTCACGAGCTTTCGTTAAGCGTCGAAGTATTATTGAGGCCAATATTTTAGATACTATATTAGTTAGACTTATTCCTCTGTGATTGTCACAAGAAGACTTTTGTCCTTTCTTATAGATTGGGACAATCAGTGATTGAGACCAGTCAGATTGGATTACGTCCAGTTCCCAGATACTACCTAAGATCTCGGTCAACCTAGTTTCTAAAACTGGACCACCATCCTAAAATATCTCAGGGGTCAGTCTATCAGGACCTGCAGCTCGTCCTCGCTTCAGATTTCCTAACGCTTTTTCAACTTCATTAAGACTAGGGGGACTTACGTCGATTTGCCATTCAGGATGACTGGAGATCGTGGGTAACCGAAAAGTGGCTCGAGGCCAGTTGAACTGATCCCTAAAGTGTTCTACCCATCGATCCAGTCTCCTGGATTGAGAACAAATAATAGTCCCATCATTTTCCGAGATAGTCTCACTTAAACTAGGATTCCTAATACCGGTTTCTTTGATAAGGCGGAAAAGTTGTCTAGTGTTGCCTATCGCCGCTGCCTTTTCCATCGCTTTTGCTTTTGCCACCCACCACTGTTCACGGTCGTTACGTAGGCTTTTTATAAGTCTGCGCCTAAGTTGACTTCGTTCTTCATCATGTTCAGAGTCAGGTGGGATGAGTTTTCGGGCATCCATCAGATCGGTGGATGCTGCTGAGATCCACGGTTTCATTCTAGCCTTATGGTCAACCTTACTAGCAGATATCACTGCTGTTTCCACAGCCTTTTTGATATCATTCCATCCTGCTTCCGGATGGGAATCGCTTAAATGGTCGCCTAACTGTCTTTCTAGTTGTTCCTAAAATATATTTTTCGCCTTATTATCATTAAGTAAAACCCTAAGAGACTTCTTTACGGTGTCTTTCCTACGCCCAGTAAGCTTCAAACAAATATGCGCTCGCACTAGGGCATGATCTGAATCCAAACATGTGTACCAGAACGAGCGACAGTCCTCTATCGAACCCCTCCATCGGTGGCTGATGGCGATGTGATCTAGTTGCGTCCAACGTTGAAACGACTTTGGAGGTCGCCAGGTCAACAGATGCTTTTCCTTATGCTTAAAGTTAGTGTTTGCTAAGAATAGGCGGTTATCTGAGCCGCGACACCATAACATCCACCTAGGTGTCTTTCCTGCTCGCTTAGTCTACCTACTTGAGCATTAAAGTCACCAGCCATTATTACTATATCAGAGCGCCTAGCTTTTTGGAGGAGGTTCGAAAGCTTTCTGTAAAACTCATCTTTAACCTCGTCTGAACTGCAGTCAGTGGGGGCATAGGCACATGCGATGAAGAGGCAACGGCGATTGTGCCTATCTTTCCGAGTCCCCACTGTCCCATTTAGTCGGACAGCGCACAAGCGACTATCTACTGGGAATCAGTCAAGGAGAGATTGTTCTGCCCTACGACTCAATGCTATGCCTACGCCAGCAAGACCCCGGGAAGCAGCATCAGGGCTACCGGATACACGAAGAGTGAATCGGGCTGCTTCTTCGTTTTGACAAGGTGAAATCAGGTTAATAATTTTACTAGGATCCTGTATGCGCGTTTCCGAGACGCAGCATACATCGATGGCACGAGATTCTAAAGTCCTAGCCAATGATGCCTGTTGCCCTATTTGACACAATGTCCGTACATTAAAAGCTCCAACATGTAGTCTAGAACGGGGTTTCAAGAGACCAGGAACGACGTTTCGTGATCTGGCTTCGTCTGTATTAGCGGTGCAGTGAGATAAGGGAGTGTGAGTAGAGTTAGTCGTAGAGATAAGAGAGACATTAGAGGGTTTAGGAAGGATTTGATTTTGACCAATTCGGTCTCGTGTGCTGTTATGGGTATGAGGGCGGTTGTCACTTCCCGGCTGCCCATACCATGGAAGGGACCTGAAAAGGAAGATAGATCAGTGTTGGTCTTAGAGACCTGGGTGCGTGACCGCAGAGCCCAGAGGACAACTGTTTGAGGCCGGTCACGCACGGGCTTTTTATCAAATGTTTTTTTGAGGATTAGCTCCGCTCTTAAAGGCCCTTAGTGGGCACCCTTACTCAAGGAGACAGAAATCCGTGAGTTAGGGGAGGTGTGAAATTTTTAGGGCCGACCTTTTCTATCCCTTCCTTCCTTGTGAGAAGGCAGCATCGCTGCAGATGCTGGTTGTCCGAGGGAAACACCTTACTGCTGTCACACCCCTCTGCAGTAAGTCCGCAGTACGACTTCGCCCTCAGACCTTGGGTAGCTGCTTTTAGTCTCATCGTTCTCCAATCGACCAGCCTGGCATGGTAGGACCTGCAGGAACATATGTTCCATCCAATATAGCTCAGTTGGGTCATCACGATAGGCAAGCCCGACCACCACGTCAAGGTAGCAGCTACGGTCGGGACCTCTACTACTATGGGATTTGAATTGACAATTGCGTCTCTGTGCTAATGTGGTATGGCAACTTGAACTGATGTACTTACGTGCAAAGTTCTACGTTGCTGTCGATGATGAAAATCAATGTAAAACTACCCTAACCCATTGAGTTTGTCGTAACGCAACCTACATAACTCGCGCCATTTATTGTATTGTACATTACAGAATTCGAAACATTTTTCTATAATTTTATATGAAAAAGCCAATGTATTTTGTGGAAAATTAATTTAACTGAACAATTTCTCTTGGAATGTATGTTAGCAATTTTAACATTTTAATCTTACCTGTAAATTGGCATGTCTCTTGTAGTATGTTGTTATTTCAGAATAAATTATTATTATTATTATTATTATTATCCAAGTAGATTTGTAGATGTGTAGTTGTTACGAATACACGTCACTTGATATACTTGAACTATTGCGAGTTCACCTTAGTCGGAAAACGAGAGTGAGGATCGATGATCCGGAGCCACGATAGGCTACTCTAATCCGAGCGTCCCAAACGCTCATTAAATAGAAGAAGAAGACTTGATATGAAGTAGAACGTGCATTCTACAAACATCCAGAAAGTGCGAAGTCTGAGTACAGAAGAGAATCAGGATCCCGGACTAAGGATCCGGGTCCTGGTCCTAGTCATAAAACGTTACAGATAATGCGTATTTATACAGTTAGGTCGAATAGGAAACAACATTGAAGTCTGTGACATTGACAGTTAGGACGACCAATAGGAATTAACCAATAGAATTAGACTTCCAAAAATAATTCTCTTAGGATATTTACTGAATATCCTAATAGTAGTACCATATTTTTTTTCTCCAAAAAAAAATCTTTGTCATTTTCTTTTCCTTCATACACCTACAATTATACAGATTGGTCAATATTTATTCATGTTACCAGCACAATTAGAACCATACATGTCATCAATGAATGATTTAAATCTTGTCACACAATTAACAACAACAACTACTACTGATCAAACAATCATGCCATCAATATCATCTATTAGTAATAATGATAGTGGTGGTGCTGGTTTAACATATTGTTTTCAATTAGGTGATTCTGATGTTATTTACTCAATGATTTCGCATAAAATCAATCAGAATACAAAACATCAACAACACGATCAAGAAGAGGCAGGAAGTAATAATGCACAAACAAAATTAACAACCATATCAACATCATCCAATAGAACACGTCAATTAAGCAATAATTTTAATCAATTCAAACAAACAATACTAACTGGTGATGAGCATAATAATAATAATAGTAAGAGCTCAATGGAAATCTCATCAATCTATTGTTGGTTAGAAAATTTAATATCTGTCAATGTATGTGATTTGATTGTGAATACACTTTTAAAAATTGGAATGAATAAATCGACAATTAAATCGTCAATGGCATCTACAACAACAACGACAACTACATCGTCTAAATTGTCAAAATCTGCAAAGGGTCCTTTGAAAAGAAACACCAATGTTCATGATACTGCCAATGAAAGTGATGATGACGATGATGATAGTGTTGAAGATCAACCATTACTTACTAAACATGGTTTAAAACAACTGGATATTGATCTTGGTAAGTTTACATTGGTTGTTGCTGTTGATCCAAGCTATCATACATAGTTTGCCCCTAGAGTAGGACTATCTAGAAATGACCAATCGATCAATGTGCTTGTTAATTTTTATTGATCGGGCTGACTGACACATCTTGTTATAAATGTGTCTAACCACCTCTTATGTCAATGAGCCATGTTAACAAGTGTAAGTAAGATCAAGTTGGATGAATGCTAGAGTTGATCGAACTAAAACAGCATTAGTTCAGAAGAGGCATCAGCCTCATGATTTCCGAAGGAACTCGGCTTTCATCATGAGACGTCATAACTCTTCTGAATGAAGACCTTCTAATTCTCCAGAGCAGAGTTAAAATTGTTTGAATTATGTTTTCTTTCCAGCGTTTTCAGCGAGTTAGTTTTCTACAGAGTGAGGTTACTAACCCTATGCTCAACCCTACTCCTTTCTTTATTCAGGCCTTAAATCGGCAGTAATCTCAGAGAGTCCCCACGCGGAGACTACTATATATGCTGATATATGTATACTAGTCGAATATATTAACTTCTGAATGCCACTGAGATTGAATAATATGCAGACTTTTGATTTTCAATTAACGCGTTCGAGTTCCTATATTATACTGGGCAAGTATATTGTTAAGAGAATTCACAACTATTGTCCAACAACAATATATATATATATATATATATATATATATATATATATATACATATATATATATATATATATAACTCACTATTCAGTTATATTATTGTATTTTGTCTGTTCTTTTTACAACTTATTTTTCAGGTTATCTATTTAGTATGCTGCATGATTTAGGTGTCAATGTTCCAGGCAATCTACAAACATTACGTGATTTAATCAATTGTGATATAGATCAATTTCCTAGATTATGCGCTGATCGTCCACCAAAGATTGTAAATGCTGTTGCTAATTTTCGTGGTTTTTGAATACATTACTTCATTGTGCTTGTAACTTTTGAGAAAAAAAAAGAATGACAATGACATATCATAATTTTTAATTTTTACTTTTTTTTAGTGTTAGTGTTATTTGTATTCTTTGTTCATTCTCTCAGTTTCTTTGAATAAATATTTGTCTGTGTACAATAAACGAATATGATTTACTTTTGATGTAGAGTATTCCAGTGGATTCATGAAAATATCATAATCTTTACTATTATCCTTAAAACTATTTTGTACAGTGTGTTGGTTCTGTTGAGTTGCAATCATGAAAACATTCTAGCAAGCTTAAAATAAGTGGAGTTGTTTAGTGTTACAAGAGAGTAAAAGGATCTCTTTTCTTATAAATTCAAAAGTGTATTATAGTTCACGTCTACTCGATTGTCGTCCAGTTTTGTTTTACTTTCTTAGTTAATCTGAAATTATTTTGATAATTGGTAAAAACTCATACTCGTACGTGGTTTTGTGTTTGATGGTGTATATCAGCTCTCATAAGAGTAAGATGTGATGTGGATCTTTGTTTGTCATACAAAAAAATCTCTACGATTGATACTCAGTTATCATAGATTAAAGTCCTGGTTAAATAGCTGGCTATGTAAGGCTAGAGTTCATTCCCCATCGTATTGAACGGAGGATAATCTTTTGTGATCCTCAGGTCTTCAGTACTAATTCATCTCATTTCAAGTTATATCTAAAATACTATCTGACTTACATAAACCAGTCACGTCGAGGGCCGATTAGCACCTCAGTAGGGTTTTACACTCCTTTTAAGTTAGACGAAATGCAATGTACTATGTCTCAGCGCTACTTATAAGTAGTATTAGACGCGAATGAAAACGTAATGTCTGGCAGCAGAAGATGGGGGAAGATCAAGAAAGGAAGAGCGGGAACACAATGGGATTTGTATGAAACGCATGAACAGTGAAATGTCAGACAATGGATTGATATTTTGCAAATGAACGATTTACTATGGTTTTCCTATTTTACTGAGTAACTCTGTAATTTGTGATGAATACAATTCGGTTGCCCTCACTTGTGTTCTCCTTCACTACATTATGTTTAGTGTATTCAAGGTACAACAGTAATAACACAACTCTAGTGGTCATTTTTTTATGCGCACATTAGGGCGGTCACGATAGTCAGTGCTGAAATCCTCTTGAAAAAATAGTTGCCACACATTTCTTCCAATTTACTTTTCTGCAAGACCTTCGCCTTTTAGTTGGAATTTCTTGTTTCTGTACGGTAGTTACGCAATTTTACGAATTGGTTTTGTGCTGTTTATCTTGGCTTGAATTTTAATTTCCGTGCAATTCCTGTGTTAGCTGTAAAACCTTGTATGTAAATGATTTTTATCTACCTTAAAAAAGGGCTGATAGCATTAGAGTAGCTCAGTTTTTACCCATAGATCTGTAAGTGTTGTAGGCTCTCACTGAAACGTGATAGAATAATACAACAGGTTGTCACTACAAAAAACATCGTCTTCTCTCCCGACGATCTAAATTGTAGTGGTATGTTGTTACGAAGAGAACACAATTGATGAAGTGGAAACACTTGTTATTGTAAACAATTATAACTATAAGTGTTCTATGGTACTCCTTTTTGTTTACCTTTGCTAAAGACAACTCACGCGGCAAATGTGTTACTCCCATTCCTTGTTTCTCCTTGGTGGTTGTTAGCTGCTGCTTTATTCCGGTCTTGATATCATTTCGATATCACGAGACCACGAATCAATACACCCTGTCATCCAGTCATAGTCTTCCTTTTGATTTCTGGATTTAACGGGATTTTACTTGGTAATCTCATGACTAGTAGTTTCAATCTCACTACAAAAGCATATGCTAGTGATAAAAACAACTTCTGACCCAACCTTGGACCATTGGAATCGAGGTAAATTTTTGGCCAGTTTGGTGTCACTTTACACCTAATTTTTATGTTTTAGTCGGTCTCAGAATATAAAGACGAAGTGTTTCTTTCACTGCAAAAAGCTGAGAAATATCCAAGCTTTTTATAGTTGACATATAAATGGATTAGTTAGTCTTGCCTTCGAAACCTTTATGTGATGCTTATGAACTCTGAATTGCTGAACACAAGAGAGTTAGACTGAGTCACGACTTATAGCATCCTCTAAGGTACTTAGTTTCGCTCAGCTTTGGCACAAACATTCAAGGTATTCCTGGAAATTCGCGGCATAGTTAGTTGGATTGTGCGCTTTCTTTATACACTTGATTGTTGGACAAAGTTTGAAATTCCTTATAACTTGAAGTAGTCTAAGGAACTTAAAATGTCCTCTGGAAAAAAAATCTAATATTTTCTTTGCAATTTTAAACGAATGTCTTAATAGGATTTCATTTGCTTCCAGTTCCTTTGTATACACTAATTATAACCTACAAATGTTCCTGGATAGTTGCAGCTAGACAGGAAAATTCACTATGTGAAGGGTTTTTTCTTACGTGAGACATTGTTATTCCAAGTACACTTTTCGATATCCTGTAGTTTTTACTCCTTTAAAATTCTTGTTTGTTCAAGCTATCAGTTGAGCCTGTTAGATGAGTTTGAATGGAATGGCTCCAACTTCCTTAAATTTCTTCAGACCTAAATTCCAGATAGCCAACTATCATCATGGATCCAACAAATGAAGTCGTCTTTTCTAGAAACGCAGTCTAATTTATCCGTATGGGATCCTAATGGACAAATCCATAGACTAGATTATACGTTCCCTAACCGTCTGATGGGAGCACCGGTGTTATTATTCATGTGTTCACCCTAATAAAGTGATAATCTCCTGTTCTTTTCCAATTCTACAATTCAATTACATAAATGACCTGACATAGTGTCAACCACGAAGTTGTTACAAAACACCTTCGCAAAACATATTGGCTGAGCTAATGTGACACAGTCGACGTGCGTGGATGGCGTCCCAATCCATCGATTATTAAATATTCTACTCTGTGCGTTGACTACAAGCTTATCCCATAGAATCCTGATTTTGGCTTGCCACAGCAAAATTATGAGCAACCAAGCAGCTTAGAAGTGATGGCATCTTTCCAGCAGTGTCAGTTACTTTTTGTTGATTAAGCTGATGTTCAGAGAATATTTCCTAAAGATGAAATTGTTTGGAACACATTATCAGTCCCGTTACCTGGAGTTTGTGAGTAGGAATATTAGAATTTCCCAAACCTTTATCGATGTTCAACTCAGCCTGTAACCCCTCTGGGGCTACTACCGGTCCCAAGTCCGGATGGAGGAGGAGGGTTGAGCATGAGGTTAGCAAACTCATTCCGCAGAAAGCTAACTCGTCAAAAGGCGCTAACCAGAAAACATGATTCAAACCATTTTAACTCTGCCCTGGGAGTTAGCAGGTCTTCATCCAAAAGAGTTATGACGTCTGACGATGAAAGCCGAGTTCCATCGGAAGTCATGGATCACACTACTCAGAACCAAACCAACCACATTTGTGTCAGCAAAACGTTCAGAAGGACGATGGAGGTCGTAAGAACCAAGAGAGGGCCTGAAAAAGCTTCAGATCATTCTTCGGTGGTAGGCGAAAAGAAGCTGAAACTCAAGGATCACTGAATAACGGGGCGGACAACACCACAAAAGTTTGATACGACCCTTCTTTGGTATACTGAAAAACTTAACGAATATAAGATAGCCCTCACCAATAGGTTCCAGGCCTTGCACGATCTACTCAATTGAAAGTAAACCACCATTGAGTCATGAGGTTTTGGTTGACAAGAAGAACCATCACAGGGAATGGATCACTGTTGATACACTGGAAAAAATTCGAGAAAGGAGGAACAAGAAGGCAGCGATCAACATCAGCCGAACAAGATCAGAGAAATTACGCGCCACAAGCTGAATACACAGAAGCAAACAAACAAGCGAAGAGTAGCATCAGAACTGACAAACGGAAATATGTGGAAGATCTAGTAATGACGGCGGAAAAGGCTGCAAGAAAGAGAAACATGAGACGATTGTATGGTACGACAAAGAACTCCCTGGAAATTATTGTAAACCAGTATGACCAGTGAAAAGCAAGGAAAGCAAGGCAATCACCAACATTGAAGAAGAGCGAAACAGGCGGGAAGAGCAACTTAAGAAACTCCTGAATCGGTCAGCCCCAATTAACCAACGCAACATCGAAACAGCATCCACAGACCTCCCAATCATTATTGGCCCACCAACAACTGAAAAGGTCAGTATGGTCATTATACAAATCAAGAGCGGCAAAGCAGCATGATCAGACAACATTTCGTCAGAGGCACTGAAAGCAGACGTAGCAGTAACTGCAATGATATTCCACATTCTCTTCAGTAAGATTTAGAATAAAGAAAAAGTACCGACAGACTAAAAAGAAGGACATCTCATCAATATACCAAAGGAAGGAAATCTCAGCAAGTGTGGGAACTACAGAGGCATTACTCTTCTCTCAATACCGGGAAAATTCTTCGGCACAGTGTTGTTAGACCGAATGAAGAACTTCTTAGACGCCCAACTTCGCCATCAACAGGCTTGACTTAGTAAGGAACAGTCGTGTACTGACTAATTTGCAACACTACGGATCGTTGTGGAACAATCAACTGAATGGAATTCTTCACAACACATTAACTTCATTGACTACGAGAAAGCATTCATCAGAATAGACAGGATGACATTTTGGGGGCTCCTTCGACACTACACCGCAACCGAAAAAACAGACAACACCATACAGAATTTTGACGATGGACTAAACTCAAAAATAGTGCATGGAGGACAGCATGTAGATGCATTCAAAGGGAGCACAGGTGGAAGACAAGCCTGCCTACCATCATTCTTTCTCATTTCCCCGCTGATTGACTGGATTATGAAGACATCAACATCTGGAAGAAAGTACAGTACACATTGGACAGACATGATGCAGCAGAACTATCTAGACTTCGCAGATGATCTTGCTTTTTATGTCGCACACGCAACAGCAAATGCAATAGAAGAAGAACCGTTTAGCAGCAGCTCCACCAGCAGTAGGTCTCCAGATACGAATAGCTTTGAGACAAACACACGCTCAAATCCAAAGACATACAAGCCCATTGAGAACCACCAAACTAACTAAGATTAGCGCATTGGATTGCTTGAAATTCCATCCACTGAACATTACCAAATAGCTAGTGAAAAAGATATTAAAGATACTAGAGATCCGAACTTGTTGACTGCTTTTCCCACTTGTTTTTACTACAGCTAGGCATACAAGAACAGACCAGTATGATAGTTCACCGTTGACACGAACTGGATCGTGGTAGCTTGGATGAAGATCACGTGCATGATGTACAACATTGGCAGTGGCTATCACGTAGCATTGGCCTTCACACCACAATGGCTATTCGCATTTCTAGGCTGCCTTGCCCTTCAAACCTCACGTTTATTGAATCATCACGCCTGATGGCTGTGAATTTCAGAAAACGAGTAGACTTAACTGAAGCTCGTCAAGCCTGGTACAGTTCGAAGAACGACCTCTGCAGCTATGTTAGAGGTTGCGAAAGCCGACCTAGATGTGTGAAACAACAGCAGGGAAGCCATAACAAACGCACGAGGATAATAGTCTGGCTGAATGAACCCACTGCACAGGCAAAAAACTTGCAGAGGCCAGTTCTCACAGAACTGCCCAACTCGGTTTAGAGAACTTGTTTGAAAATCGGATGACAGCTATTTTTGCAGAGGAGCACCAGGTGATGAGACACACCACCAAGTGCCTCTATACAACGAAAGAGGGCTAAGAAGTAAGCTGTTAGAAATCAGGAATTTGTGCTCTCAAATGGATCTGAAGATCATCTTACCAACGTAAACATGGCTATCCCCTGACATTGCAGACGACGAAGTGAGCTTGAAAGTTTCGACACTTCAGAAGCGATAGGGTACACCAAACAGGACGCAGAGGCTATATATATATATATATATATATATATATATATATATATATATATATAAACTGCCACTTATTATCCTAGCAGGTATTTGACACGCAACTAACTGATGTGTAAGGATCATGTTGGTGTTTTTTCCCCAAAAGATGGAACGAAATACTTGATTGGAGGGATTCACCAACCTCCCTTAGTTACTAACGCCCAGAATGATAAATTGACTGGGGTAAAACTTCTACTACTACTCCTTGGGTTTGATCGAATAATCTTGGCTGGTGATTTCAACAACCAAATCTAAATCTCAGCAAACAGGGTACGAATCCCACTAGTTGGTTCCAGAGACGACTTGACGCAGCTATTAGGAGCCCTGGCCTTAATGAGCATGTATGCAGTGCCACTAGATGAACTGAGGAAGGAAAGTCCTCAAACCTGGACTATTTGTCAACAAATGACCAGCTCCTGGTCGAGAACGTTCACGTCCATACACCAGTAGGAAGTAGTGACCACGGCACAGTCTTGTTTGACATGGTCATAAACGTAACACTCAGGCAGGTCGAAAATGAGCCCTATCTTCGCTACGCTAGAGCGAATTACGCGTGCATGAGAGAGGTTCTCCTACATGTCCCATGGCCACGGGAGTAGTGGAGGCTGACAGTAGATGATCACTGGCAAACAGTGAGAGACATCATCCACAGTGCTGTTGTAGAAAATGTACCTCAGTCACACCACACAAATAGAAGAACGTGGGTTAGGCACGACACTGAATGATTTCTACAGGCGTAGAGGAGAGCCTGGCACAAGTAAAAGATCTCCTTGAAGGATTTCGATAGCAGTTCTTACTTGGCACTGAGAAACAGATGCAGTACCAAAGTTCGAATGATAGGAGACGCTTTCAGATGAAGCTGGCTGTCGGAATACAGGCAGACCCTAAACATCTGTTTAGGTTCATGACGACAAAATAACCTACAAGTTGAGGTGCGTGTCCAGTCAAAGGTCCGAATGGCGAAAACCTCACCAACTTAGTGATGGCTGAGATCTTCAACACAATCTTCGCCGATCAGTTAAACTAGGCATCCAAATATTCAGATTACTACGCTAACCCAGCACCAGATGACGGCTTAGGGAATATCCATATTACTCCTGACTTGATACTGAGGAGACTAAAATCCTTACTTCCTGGAAAGTCATCAAGTTGTGACAATATTCGCCCCATAGTCTTGATACAATGCGCAAAAGTCCTCTATTCACTGATATGTGACCTGTTCAGGCATTCACTGGAGTCACATTAACTCCAGGCTCAATGGAAACAAGCTACTCTCTCTCTGGTCTTCAGAGGAGTATATAGGCAGGACGCAGTCTGTTGCAGACTATACGCATTACTATCAATACTATCGAAAGTAACGGAAGGGCTGGTGAACGAACAGATGAGGGAGTACATGGTTAGTAACCAAATACTCCATAAAGCTCAACATGGGTTTCGGGAAGACAGATCGTGCGCATCCAATCTTCTGATAGTATAGGTCATTTGGAAATCCTTCTGGGACCGGAAAATACGGGTACACGTAATATTTCTAGATTTTGCTAAAGCCTTCTACACAGTACCCCGCGCGAGCCTTATCGCAAAGGTTGCAGAAATGTACTTCTGACCCACTCTTATCTTTGTTCAGGAACTACCTTGAGAATAGAGAGTTTCGTACCAAGGTAAATAGAGTGCAGGGGAGTTGGCTAGCATCGAAATCAGGAGTTTCACGGGGGACCATCTTTGGTCCACTTCTCTTCCTGGTGTTAAATAACGGCCTGTTAGGAACAGTTAGCTCACCGGCATTAATCTATGCAGGTGTGGAGGTCCATCAGAAACAGAAGAGATTCGACTGAGCCTGAAAATTAACTTATATCCATTGAGGAATTGGTAGTGAAAGACGGTTTAAAACTAAACTAGCCAAAATGTTACGCCATGTACATCCTCCACATCATGACGCAAACGATTTACACCCTCACTGAAAGTCCACTCTCTAATGTCTCATCAGAGAGCGGTCTCGGTTTAATAACCACTGGAAGACTCCTTAACAGCTCGAACTATATAGGGGACCCAGACAACGCAAATGCGACTCTTCATTTTATGCGAATTTTATTCATAATAGCATTAGAATTTTCTCCTCGTTATTCTCCACATTGCGACTAACTGATCTCCGGTCTGGTAATCACGGGACAAAAACTCACCATCAACTGCCAACTGACTAGTACTAGTGCAGTCGAGTGGCAAGACTACCATCCATTGGAATCTACCAAACACCTGGAACCCCACCGAAAGAACAAGAATCGGGAGCAAAGAAATCAATTGGTTTATACTAACTCGTCTAAAAGCTATTGGATTTCTCTGGAGTGATTAAGAGAAGGCAAGTTAATAAAGTCATTCGCGGAGAAAAATTAGATTCCATAAGCAGAATCGAAAGAACGGTAAGTATCCTAAACTTGTTAAGCGTAAAATGGAGTTTGAAAGTCTGCGCATTATTCAAGCTTCCCGGAACTCGTGGTGTATAGACGGGATTTGCTGTTTTTGCTGCTAAACAATGTCGTTATCCCGTCTGTTCGCAGATAATCCTAACGTATGTTCTTTCTCAATGTTTTCATTGCTCTTCTAGGGTTGGAAGTCTAAACTATTGCCCAGACTATCCTGGAAGTGCACTCTAGCTTTCTGTGTCCCTATCGGCCTAGCGGGTGTGACCTTCCTTGCATATTACCTGAAACTTAAAAGTAAGCTCTGATTTTTAGGGCAATATTTTGCCTCCGGTTGTTGCGTTAGGTTGTTTTACCACTTTTTTTCTACACGAGATTACACATACGGCTAATAAGCTCGATTAGTTTTATAGCTTAGTGTACATTAAATAACCTGTTAAATAATTCATTCATAGAAAAATTTTGTTTCACCGTTTTATTGCAGATGTAACATCAGATGACATCGGAACCCTAGTAGTTGATGCATATACTCGAGTACTTTGTTCGTTATTAATGTTCTTACAGGTTTGTGACATAAAAATACAGTGAGAATTTATAATCACATGCATAAACCAGAGACTGGTTTACGATCCCTGGCACTACTGTATCTGATCTATCAGTCATGATCCCCCATAGTAGCAGAGGTTGTAACAGTATTAGCGATATTGGAAATTGTTAGGAATCATAGACTCTAAAAGATATGGATCTATGGAATAAATTTCTAAAATCATGAGGATTTTGGAAGCCTAGAATTTGAGTGAGGTAAAGAATGAATACACATGTGCTATTGCAAGCGATTTTGAGCCATGTCATTCAAAGTCTCTAACCATCGGGTTCGATTGTCATGTGGGTCCCACCCAACGGGGTAGTTTGCTTCTATTAACGTGGCTCATTACGTTGTTCATTTGCTTCATGGACTTTGCTTTAGTTTGAGAGTCATCGGCTTTCTTCCAGCCTACTCTTACATCAGACAACATTGATCATCGAGGCAGTCTGTTGCTGTACGTACGTTACACATGTTTTTACCACCCTAGCTGATGAAGATCCTTTACTTGAGTCGATTTACCATACTTTTTCTAACCCAAGCCTCCCACCAGTTTTCTCCATCCTACTCTTTCATGTGCTTCCCTTTCCAGTTCCGTCCAATTTTTGTTCATTCTTCTCATATCTTTCTCTATTTCTCGGCGTAATGTGTTCCTTGGCCTTCCTCTTTTCCTTTTGCCCTGAGGGTTCCGTGTGAGGGCTTGTCTCGTGATGCAGTTAGGTGCTTTTCGTAATGTGTGTCTTGTCCACTTCCACCGTTTCTTCCTGATTTCCTCCTCCACTGGAATCTGGTTTGTTCTCTCCCACAGTACGTTGTTGTTGATGGTGTCTGGCCAACGAATCCGAAGTATTTTGCGTAGACAACTGTTCATAAACACTTGTATCTTCTGGATGATGCCTTTCGTAGTTCTCCAAGTTTCCGCTCCATACAGTAGAACTGTCTTGACCTGATTCTGGTTGTGGTTGAAAGTTGTTTGGAGTTGCAGATATTTTTCAATTGTAGAAATGCAGCCCTTGCTTTGCCAATCCGCGCCCTCACATCTGCATCGGATCCACCTTTCTCGTCGATGATGCTGCCCAGATATGTAAAGGTGTCAACATCCTCCAAGGCATCTCCATTGAGAGTGATTTGGTTGGTGCATGTTGTGTTGCATCGGAGAGTTTTGCTTTTTCCTTTATGTATGTTGAGACCTACTGCTGCAGAGGCTGCTGCTACACTGGTCGTCTTCTCTTGCATTTGTTGTTGCGTGTGCGATAGAAGAGCCAGGTCATCTGCGAAGTCCAGATCGTGCAGCTGCGTCCTAACTATCCAGTTGATAACGTGCTCCCATTCAGACGTCGACGTCTTCATAATCCAGTCGATGACCAGGAGAAAGAAAAAGAGTGTGAGTAAGCAACCTTGCCTGACACCGGTCTTCACCTCGAAAGAGTCTGTTAGCTCTCCTCCATGCATGCTTTTGCAGTTGAATCCATCATAAGAGTTCCGTATGATGTTAACTATTTTCTCAGGCACACCGTAGTGTCGAAGAAGCCTCCACAGTGTTTTCCTATCCACGCTATCGAATGCTTTCTCGTAGTCGATGAAGTTGATGTAGAGTGGTGAGTTCCATTCAATTGATTGTTCCACAATGATCCGTAATGTAACAATTTGGTCAGTACACGATCTATCCTAACGAAATCCGGCCTGTTGATCTCGAAGTTTGGCGTCTACGAAGTCCTTCATTCTGTTTAACGATACCCTGTTGAAGACTTTGCCTGGTATTGAAAGAAGAGTAATGCCTGTGTAGTTCTCACACTTGCTGAGATCGCCTTTCTTTGGTATTTTGATCAGGTATCCTTCTTTCCAATCTGATGGTACTTGTTACTCATCCCAAATCTTCTTGAAGAGGATGTGAAATATTTTCGCAGTTGCTTCCACATCTGCTTTCATTGCCTCTGCTGCTTTGCTGCTCTTGATTTGTCTGATGGCCATACTAATCTCCTCAATCGTAGGTGCGCCAATATTAATTGGGAGGTCCGTAGATGCTGCTTCGATGTTGGGTGGATACGGTGGAGATGGTCGATTCAGGAGTTCCTTAAAGTGTTCTACCCACCTATTTCGCTGTTCTTCAGTGTTGCTGATTACTTTGCCTTCCTTGCTTTTCACTGGTCGTTCTGGTTTACGATAGTTCCCAGCGAGCTTTTTTGTTGTTCCGTACAATTGTCTCAAGTTTCCTTCTCTTGCAGCCGTTTCCGCCGTCATTGCTAGATATTCCACATATTTTCGTTTGTCAGCTCTGATGCTCTTCTTCACTTCCCTGTTTGCTTCCGTGTATTCAGCTTGTGCCTTAAATTTCTCTGCTCTTGTTCTGCTGACATTGATTACTGCCTTCTTGTTCCTCCTTTCTTCAATTTTTGCAAGAGTATCGACAGAGATCCATTCCTTGTGATGGTACTTCTTGTGACCCAGAACTTCGTGACATGTTGAAGTGATTGCCTCCTTAATCCGTTTCCAATTGTTCTCCAATGTTGCTTCCTCTCCATTGAGTATATCGTGCAAGGCCTGGAACCTATTGGTGAGGGCTATCTTGAATTCGTTGAGTTTTACGGTATCCCGAAGAAAGGCCGTATTAAACTTCTGTGATGTTGTCTGCCCCGTTGTCCAGTGCTTCTTTAGCTTCAATCTCATTTTGGTGATCAGCAAGTGGTGATCTGAAGCTATATCAGCTCCTCTCTTGGTTCTCACATCCTCCATGGTCCTTCTGAACTTTTTGTTGATACAGATATGATCAATTTGGTTTTGAGTAGTGTGGTCCGGTGAAATCCATGTGGCTTTGTGAATGCGTTTGTGCGGGAATATTGTGTCACCGATGACCAGTTTGTTGAAGGCACATAGGTTTGCAAATCTCTCACCGTTTTCGTTCCTTTCTCCCAGTCCATGTCGTCCCATTATGTTTTCATATCCAGTGTTGTCCATTCCAACCTTGGCATTCAGGTCTCCCATAAGAATCGTCAAATGCTTTGGTGAACATTTCTCGACGATTGACTGCAGCCTTTCGTAGAATTGATCTTTAACGTCGTCATTGTAGTCATTGGTAGGTGCATAACATTGGATGACGTTCATTGTAATGTCCTATTTCTTTGTTTTGAAGGATGCTTTAATGATCCTGGGTCCATGAGATTCCCATCCTATCAGTGCATTTTGTGCATGTTTAGACAGCATCATCATGTCGAACCCTCCTCCTTTACCCGGGCTTGGGACCGGCAGTAGCCCCTAAGGTTCTACTAGCGGAGTTAGAATACACGAGCAGTGCTTCATAAAACAGAAGACAAAGTTTCCGTATATTTCATCAGTCTAAATCACCTGAAGCGCAGATTTCTGAAGAAGTTTAAATGATCTGAGGGTTTAGTCCTAATGTAAAATCTGAAATGTAGTTATTTTATTACTTTGTTAAGTTTTAGAGCTTAATACACCGTTTGAAATCCAATAATAAGTATCTGTGTTACTTATTATCCTCAATCTCTGTCAATTTTAGTTAAGATAGCCGGTCAGTGACATTGATCCTTACGTTTTATAAGGTGGTTTGAAGTACGCAGAATTCTACTAAGATTTCTGATGAAAATTCTATCATTTGATGTAGTTTTCTCACTAACCCCGTAAAAGTTTCACCTACTCAAATATTCAAATAAGTTATCTAAAGTGTTAATTATGCTGTCGCATAAATTTCCGGTTAACTCCAACTTTCATACTATTTTCATAACCTCATGCTTTTCCTACATGTATCTGCAAAAACTAGAGTTTCCCGTGGTTATTACGTAGATAAGATAGGTTCAATCGACTTACCTGTTTCTCATCTTAAAAACGTAGTGTCGTGTAACTGCTATTTCATTTAATGTACTGCCTAGTTACTTGAACCAAAGGAAACAAATCGAGATTCAAACTTGTAATCCAGTGGTAGTTTGATTGTTTTAACAGTTAATCCACTACTGATTTTCAAACACGCAACTTAGCACCTTACCTAGTGCCATTTCAAGTCATCCCAGCTATAGACTTAGATTAGTTTACTAACTGAAAAGTATGATTTAACTAAAATATCACACCATCAAAAAGTAAAAAAAAATTCAGTAACTATTTGACGATTTAATTTTTACTTCAGACTTGGTCAGTTTGATCACCTGTTCACGATACATTTCAAAAGTATATTTATGTCTTTAGAACTAAGTCTTTGTGTTATAAAACTTTTTGGTGCGCTGAATAAGTCAGTCAGTCAGATGCAACGTAGAACTTTGTACATAAGTACATCAGTTCATGTTGCCATACCACATCAGCACAGAGAAGTAATTGTCAATTCAAATCCAATAGTAGAAGAGGTAGTAAGGGAATTAGAAGTAATCGGAGAGGTTAGGATTAGAAGATACTATTCATGAAGTATGATTCGGTGAGATAAGTTTAGAAAGTCAAAACTAGAGGGGTTGAAGAATCCAGAAGATTAGGATTTGAGAGAACACAAAGAATCAATGCACCGGCGCTATTGCGAACGATTTTGAGCCATGTCATTCAAGGTCTCTAACCATCGATTATTATCATTTCGTGGACCCCAACCAGGTAGTCGACAATTACCGACATGGCTAAGTCCACTCGTCAATGACTTCATGGATTGCTGCCATGTTTTGGTTTGGCCGCCCCTAACTTTCTTCCAACCTACTCCTACACTACAAAACAAGGCGCTGAATAATCAATCTCACAATTGAATAATGTGTAATATACACATAGCCTTACTCCCTATGTAATAATATTACAGATGACCATGTGTTTCAGTAATGATAAATTAGTTGGATTTAAATATTCTTTTTTGTGTAAAATTATCATTACTAAGAATTATTTTGAAAAAATTTAAGCATTATTCCATTGTTCGTTTTTTTTTAATGAAGAGAGTGAACCAGAAATTATCCCAGAAACACCATTAGAGGCTGCTTTAGCGTTAAAGTTGAAAGGAAACAAATTTTTCAAGGGTGGACAATACGATCAAGCAATTCATTTATATGATGAAGGACTTAAGAAATGTCCATTGGATGCAGTTCAAGTCAGTACAGCTTTTTCTTTATTCATAAATCAAAAAAAAATGGATTGATTTTTATTTCTTAAAATATCATCTCTATATATATAGCACTTTATAGAGAAGCAGTGATTTAGTGATTAGTGAGTTCAACTTTTTTTTAATCACTAGGTATAAAGTCCGAGTCCATGTTCGCCTACTTCCTGGTTTGGATAGTGAAATGATCATCACTGATCTTCATATATCGTTTGACTCTGGTGTTTCGATCACGTATGAATCTTTGAACTAACTAACCATAACAAGTGATAACTTAACTAATAGTTCTCAACAAGTATATTAGTGCTACAAAGTGAAGATTTAAATACTGAGCATAAATTTGTATATTTAGCACATGTAAAATTCAATTTTCGTATAGCTTATTGACCTTTAATTGATCATTTCAAAAATTCCATCTGTAACACTACATTGATGACTATAGAAAAAAATTTCAGAAAATTTAAAAGAATTTCATTCACTGTATATTTTCATTTGCTTTGTATTGTAAAAAAAGCCGACTATTTTGCATTACTTATTTTTTCTGATCAGCGCTTTTTAACCCGTTAATTTTTTACGGTACAGGGGTTGTTAACCCCCCATACCCAACCCTCCTTTATCCGGGCTTGGAATCGGCAATAGCAGCTCCAAAGGGTCTACGGGCGGTGTTACTTTTTTTTTGTAGACATTATTTAGTTATTATTATTATTATTATTATTGTTATCAATTGTTTAAAACAAACTGTCATATTCACCACGACCACCACTACATTTTTCTTAACTTATTTAGGAACGTGCAGCTTTTTATCAAAATCGTGCAGCAGCTAAAGAAAATCAACGTCTATATGAATCAGCCATTGAAGATTGTTCTCAGGCATTAACTTTAACACCGCAATATTTAAAGGCATTAAATCGTCGTGCACATTTATATGAAAAAGTAAAAAAATGGGATCAATGCCTTTTAGACATGACAGCTTGTTGTATTTTTGAAAAATTTAAAAATCCTGTAAGTGATTTTTAATGATTAATAGTTGATTTTTGCTTTTCTGTGTTAATAATAATAATAATAATAATAATAATAATAATAATAATAATAATAATACTCTTATGAATAGTGTAATGTTCACAATGTGAAGCATTTCTCGTATATCCTGGAACTACCGAGTAAACAATGCTAGTGTTAAAAGGATTACTATGTAAGGGTACTGAACGGATTGATGAAGTAGTCAGTTCTAACCTGAATTCTTGCTGACCGTTTAAAATTTATTTCATTGGATTATACTTCTCAAATCATATCTCCCAACCTTAATCTTTTTCATTACTCCTGATCCTTCTACTACCTCTATCACTAGGGGATTCGAATGGACAATTTGACCTCTGTGCTAATGTGGTATGACAACTTGAACTGATGTCAGTCAGTCAGTAACAACTTGAAACTTCGTACGTATGTACACCAGTCCAAGTTGCCTTACCAGATTAGCACAGAGACGCAATGGTCAACTCGAATCCCGTAGTAGTAGAACTATTAGTAGTAATAAAAGAGATTAATGATCAAATATATCATTCGCGATGTTTACCCTGCAGGAATCAATTAAAAAAAAAGAGGACAGACGGTCATGAGGAATTCAGAAGATTAGGATTTCAGAGAGCACAAAGAATGGATGCACCTGCGCCATTGCGAACGGTTTTGGGTCATGTGACTCCAAGTCTCTAACCATCGACTACTATCATCTCACGGACTCTAGCCGTGTAGTCAACACCCAACAACAGGACTCATTCTAATTGTGAGTGACTTCATGGATTTGTCCCATGTTTTGGCTTGGCCACCCGAACCTTCCTCCAACCTACTACTACCTCAGACAAGATCGCTCGTCATGACATACAGTGGTTAGGCATTCGTAACACAACCACTTCAACTGTTAAAAATTCAATACTTCATCAACTTATCTGCCATCCTTACCTAATACCGTCTTCCTAACAACTGCATTGCTTACTCGATAGTCCCAAGCTAAATGAACAATGCTTCGAAGACATCTATGATCAAAAACCAGTAACCTACAAATATCTTCTATTTTGACTGGCCATGTTTCACAGCCATAAAGTAGGACGAAGCGAACTATTGCGCAGTACCTCGTCCTTTTGTTAGCAGATGGATATCTCGCTTGCACCACAAGTGAAGCAACTTGACAAAAGCCAATCAAGCTTTCTGTATCCGTGCTGAGATTTTTCAGTCACCAGGCCATAGGCACTAATGAGACTCCGCGGATAAGTGAAGCGGTCGACAAGCTCAACTACTTCATTCCCTATCAATAGCTCAGGTGCCAATGTGACCCAGTCTCGAAGCAACATTTTGCATTTCAACGGCGAGAATCGCATCCCGAATATGCTTGCATTGTTGCTTAGGGTACTCAGAAAACTGCATTTTGTCAGCGTCTTCACCAACTAGAATTGTTTCATCGGAATATTTTAAATCGACAAGCGAGTCTCCTGCTAGTAAATCAACTCCAGAATAGTCAGACAATGATAATGTTAACTTCAAAAGCATGTCTACGACAAAGTTAAACAAGAAAGGAGAGAGTGGATATCCCTGACGGACGCCACTTAAAGTAGAGAATTCCGATGACAGTTCTCCATAATCTCTGACTCGACCAGTAGTATTCGAGTAGAGAGCTTGTATAAGGTTAATGTACTTATTTGGTACACCTTTCAATGACAGACACTGTCACAGAACCTCACGATCCACTGAGTCAAATGCCGCTTTTAGGTCCAGGAACACAACTACTGTCGAACATCTAAATGTGTGTCTGTGTTCCAGGACCTGTCGTAGTGCGAAGATGTGGTCTATACTGCCACGACCAGGTCGAAAAGCAGCCTGGTTTTCTCGAGTCTGCTCTTCACGAGCTTTCGTTAAGCGTCGAAGTATTACTGAGGCCAATATTTTAGAAACTATATTAGTTAGACTTATTCCCCTGTGATTGTCACAAGAGGACTTTTGTCCTTTCTTATAGATTGGGACAATCAGTGATTGAGACCAGTCGGATGGGATTGCGTCCAGTTCCCAGATTCTACCTAAGATCTCAGTCAACCTAGCTGCTAAAACTGGACCACCATCCTTAAAAATCTCAGGGATCAAACTATCATAGCCTGCTGCTCTCCCTCACTTCAGATTTCCTATAGCTTTTTCGACTTCACAACGACTCAGAGGACCTACGTCGATTTGCCATTCAGAATGACTGGAGATCATAGGCAACCGAAGAGTGGCTGAAGACCAGTTGAACCGATCCCTAAAGTGCTCTGCACATCAATCCAATCTTTTGGATTGAGAATGAATAATAAACAAATCCTTTTTCAGAGCTAGTCTCACTTACAGTCGGATTCCTAATACCGGTTTCCTTGATAGGTCAGAACAGTTGTATACTGTTACCTAATGCCTTTCCCATCTCTCTTGCTTTCGCTACCCACCACTGTTTGCGATCATTGCGTTGGCTTTTTGTCAGTCTGAGACTAAGCTGACTTTGCTCCTCATCATGTTCAGAGGCAAACGAGATGAGTTTCCGAGCATCTGTCAATTGGGTAGATGCTTCTGAAATCCACGACTTATCCCTAACCTTATGGTTTACCTTACGTTCAGATATCACTGCTATTTCCACAGCTTTTTGGACATCATTCCAAGCTGCCTCGGGATCGGAATCATTTACATGGCCGCCTAACTGCTTTTCTAATTGTTCCTGAAATATATTGATAGCTACTCTATCATTGAGAAGAACCCTAACAGGTTTCTTTGCGATGTCTTGCTTACGTCCGGCAAGTCGCATGCAAATACGCACTCGCACTAGAGCATGATCTGGATCTAAACATGTGCCCCAGAACGAGCGACAGTCCTCTGTCAAACCCCTCGGTCGGTGGCTGGTAGCGATGTGATCTAGTTGGGTCCATCGTTGGGACGACTTTAGGGTTGCCATGTCTAAAGATGTTTTCCTTGTGCCTAAAGTTAGTACTTGCTGGAAATGGGCGGTTATCTGAGCATAGCTGTAGCAGACGGTCGCTATTGTCTGTTCTCTGAGCTTCGACACCATAAGATCCACCCAGATGTGTTTCCTTTTCATTTAGTCCACATACTTGATCATTGTAGTCACCAGCCACTATTACTATATCAGAGTGCTTAACGTTTTCAAGGAGGTCCGAAAGCTTTCTGTAAAACGAGGTTCCAGAGTCCTAGCTAATGAAGCCTGTCGCCTTATTTGACGCAGGGTTCGAACTTTAAACCGTCTAATATTTAGTTCGGAGTAGGATTTTAGGAGACCAGGAATCACGTTTCGTGATCTCGAAACGTTTGCATCAACCACGCTACGTGACAAAGGAACGAAAGAAGGGTTGGTTTTAGAAATAAGAGAGTTATTAAGAGGTACAGAAAGGATTCGATTGTGGCTGATTTGGTTTCGTATCCTTTTTACTTGTATGAAGATGGATGCCACTTTCCGGCTGCCCACATTATGGAAGGGTTCTGATTGTCAAAAGCGGCATCGGCCTCGTGACTTGAGAAGGAACTCGACTTTTATCATGAGACGTCGTAACTCTTCTCAATGAAGACCTAACTCCCAGAGCAGAGTTTAAATGGTTTAAATTACTTTTTCTTGTTAGCGATCTTTCAGCGAGTGGGTTTTCTACAGTATGGGGTTTCTAACCCTAAGCCTAACCCTACTCTTTTATCCGGACTTGGGACCGGCAGTAGCCCTGGAGGGGGCTCAAGGAGGAGTTTTGAACTGATCTACATACGTGTGTACCAAGTTTTATATTGTTTCTATTCGACTGATATCGAATGAAATGTGTTTTCATCAAAATAAATTGTACACAGTGTACATATATTATTTTACATTATTCTCATTATTATTTGCTTATTTCAGGATAGTATTGTTTTCATGGATCAAGTTCTGAAAACAATCGGACAAAAGAAAGCTGAAGAAGAACGTTCGAAATTATCATATGAGTTACCGTCAGCTTCCTTTATTCGTAATTATATGAGGTGAGGTGAAATATATATATATATATATATATATATATATATATATATATATATACATATATATTATTTGTTTATACCTGAAATACACTTAGTAAACTCAAGAATAATGTGTCTTTCCAAATTCTTGAATTCGTACTTTAAATCTATCTGGTTGCCAAAACTCATTACTTCCTAAGGAGGATTTAATCCTGTGGGTTTACCAACGAGTCTAAGGGGTTCCAAATTAAGCTTACTCGATGTGTTCTAGGTTGTATCACTTGTCGCTTAGACAGCTTGTTTGTCTACCAACCAAAGGATGAGTACACTGTGTAATAGTACGTTCTTTTCCGATTTCCGATTACGAAACGTAGCCTTTATAAGTAGACGGTATTTGTTGGTTATTAGCGTTTGGTCATTGATATCTTCAAAATCCTACCGACGTATGTTGCGATCCTTAAGTGAACAAGCCTAATAGTTAAGGCCACCTAATCTAAAACGTGACATCTGTTTGTTACGATCATTGCATATCCAATCAAGGATGTTGTTTACGAAATTGAGAGGACCAGAGCTTTAACTAGATCAGTGGGTATGAAGGATTCACCTACAGGAGTCGGAAAATGCTGATTCAAAACAAGTAGTGCAAATGGGCTACAAAATTTTGAGAAAACAAATAACATATGAATTTATTCTCTCTGATGGACCACCATGAAACTTCATCTTTGACACTACTGCCTTACGGATTAGACATGTAAGTGAAAGTTTCGGGATGTGACTCCTTGATAAAAAACCATTTGCTTCGGTTTGGACTCCCGAACACTATCTCAACTTATATGCAAACTCAATGATTTTTTGGGTTCATAGGTATTTAGGTATATCTTTGTACCAATGTGTTTATACGAAATAATAATGAAAAGCTTAATATTAAGGAATCCCATTCGATAAGAATAAACAAGATTACTATGTTTGCACCCATGACGATACGACTTGATATCGGTGAACAGAATGTAAACTTGTGGCACCATCACAGGATAACTAAGCTTATTCTCTGCGGCTCAGCTTGACTAACTAGCACAAGAAGTCAGTAGAAAAATTGTATAATCTACAAGCATCTTTGAAAGAACGATTGAATTAACAATCATTCAATTTATATAGTGCAAAAAGCGTCCGTGAAAGAGTTAGACAATGGCACACTAAAAAAGAGTAAACCAACTTAATGAGGTTTCAGGTCCTTGCAAATGAGAAACACGAACTAAAGGTAGTAAGAGTCGCTTTTCAATATGTGTTATTTTGTATGAATGGTAATGGTGTAGCATTGATATGTTACTGATTAAAGGATTCAATTTTCAACCAGTATTAATAGTAGTAGTAGTGATAGTAAATCACAGGTTTTCAATCTAGTTCCATTTATCCAAATGTAGTCGATCGGTTTGTAATTATGTTGCTTACTACTATTCAAAGATAACTACAAAGGCAAATCTGATTCACCTTTAACAGATCCTCATGCTGAGGTTACAAATATATATATTGTTCATCATCTCAGTGGTTTTATGTCCTCTATTTGTTGCTTATATAAGCGTGAGTATTTTACCTCATTTTTCTCTCTCCCCACTCGTTTTTTTTAAAAAAATTTTTAGTGCATTCGCTTGTGATACATTCACAGTGAACAACCCATCGGTACAACGATCTTCTAGACAAAATTCACTTACTGAAACAACTAATAAGGCTACAATCAATGGATTAATTGATGAACATCTCATACCGAATAGGCCAAATACTACTACTACAGTACTACCTCATAATACTAAATCTAATCAATATGATTGTACACAATTTAAAGAACCTCTTTATTCTGCACTAATAAATTTAAATTTATCTTTGGAGTGTTTAACAAAAGGTGATTATCAAAAATCAGCTGATTATGCTACGAAAGCTGTTGATTTATTCGAATCAGTGAGTTTTGTTAAATAAGTTGAGGGTTTTTTTTTGTTTTAGAAGAAAAAGATTATTATTATTATTATTACAAATTTCGTGTTATATAAACTTGAAATGTTTAACCTTTTAAGTCTAACTAACTTTAATAATCTTGAAGGCGAAGAAGTGCACTGATGGTGAAGTTTAAAAGTCTTGAGTTTTTTTCTTCTTCTTCTTAGTGTTGTCGTATACGGCATGTGTTGTTCAGTGCTTCACAGTTTTTCCTAATGGTTATTCTAACTAGAATCAGTTCAGAAAGTGTTGTTATGATGAATATTTACCCCAATGTGGAGCCATAATCCACCAAACAGAATTTGTATATACTTTTCATCTAATTATTAGTACTACAGATAGAAAGGAACTTCTTGAATCCACTTCATCTCTATGTACATTTAAAAATTCAGTTATTCTCATTGATCCGATCACCAAACTTAAACATTTCATTTCACCTGGTTAAGAGCTGTTTTAATACACTTGTTCATCTAATTTATACGCCGCATCAGGTGAACATGAACAAAATCTTTGAAACCACTCTCTCTACCTAGATTCCATTAAATTTTGGTATATAGTTTAGACAGATGATTTTTTTAACGCATACCGGAAGCCATTCGAATTCACCTTAACAAACAAACAAACGAACGCGCTTCCCTTGTCTTCTTATCGCTCACTCACTTTAGTTTGGTCAGTATAATTGCGACATGAGTAAAAATTACAAATAACTTTGACAGAGTGTTTATTATCAATGTATTTTTATCAAAATGACCTGTCCTGTTTTTTTCCGTTACATAGTTCTAACATTAACTTTGTGGTTGATTACGGAACTGTTATATTGGTGCCCAGCAGTTCCTTACTGAAATATTGTCTTACTTAGGCCTGTTACCCCCCAACAAAGCATACTCCGCTGACCAGCATTCTTCAACCTACGCTGTCCCTTAGCCTTCCTTTCTAGTTCTATCCAATTGTTGTTCATTCTTCTCATGTCTGTCTCCATTTATCGACGTAATGTGTTCTTTGGTCTGCCTCTTTGGCCTTGAGGATACCAAGTGTGAGGGCTTGTTTCGTGACGCGGTTAGTTGATTTCCGCAACATGTGTCCTACCCCACATCCAGCACTTCTTCCCCATTTATTCTTCTGCCTGAATCTGGTTTGTCCTCTCCCACAGTAGATTGTTGCTGATAGTGTCTGGTCAATGAATCTGAAGTATGTTGTGTAGAAAACTGTTAATAAATACTTGTGTCTTGTGATGGTTTTCGTGGTCCTCCAAGTTTCCACTTCATACAGTAGAACTGTCTTGACATTTATCTTGAAAATTGTGACTTTGGTATTGGTTGATAGTTGTTTTGCGTTCGAGATATTCTTGGATTGTAGAAATGCTATCCTTGCTTTGTCGATCCGTGCCTTCACATCGGTGTTAGATCCATCTTGTTTATCAATGGTGCTGTTCAGATATGCAAAGGTTTTCACATCTTCCAAAGCTTCACCATCAAGTGTGATTTGGTTAGCGCATGTTGTGTTGTATCGAAGACTCTTGTTGAGACCTACTGCTGCTGATGCTGCTGCTACACTGGTCGTCTTTTCTTGCATTTGTTGTTGCGTGTGAGATAGAAGAGCCAGATCATCTGAGAAGTCTAAATCGCCGCATTGTCACTTCTCCTTATATTCGTATTATGCTCTCTAACTAGATATTTCACTTCACTGATTTATTCATCAACTTTAAATAGTGATAAATTTATATTCAACCTGTTTTTTTAATTTTTTTATTCGTTCGGATTTATTTTCGCAAATACCATAAGTAAATCATTAATCGAATTCTGGAAGCACTGAACATTTGTTTCAGTCTAGGATGGGACTCTTCAGCAATGTGCATCTATGACATTGTATCCTGGAACCTGACCCATACCTTACGCCCTAGCCCATGAACGCCTAATTTATAGATCTTTGAGCTGGCACCCGACGGTATTTATGTTGAACTTCAGTTAATCCATGGATATGCGCAACTCTTCAATGGCGATATCGATTTTAGTAATACTGTTAGTGATATATATATACTTTTCAACATCCATTGCTTCAAGTATTATTCCTTTAAGTTAAGGACGCGATGGGTACGATCGTCTAAGAATGCTAGTAATTTCAATTCTGGTACATTTGGAGGAGAATGGGGAAGCATATCATTTACACTGAAATTAGTTAGGTCATTTATCAGGTGTTCTTTTTTTTATCAACCATCGTATGTGTCTTTTCAATAAACAGTTGAATTAGTCTAACAATGCATCCACTCTTCGTCATTTTCTAGATTTTAAAAACCTGGATTCCTTATCATTTTTAATTATTTTTACTAATTTATGTAAATGAACAGTCTTCTGATCACCTTATGCGACAACCTAAGCATTTTCGTCTTGTGATCCTCGCTCACCAAATGCAATATGTTACTTGAAGGTTAACCTGTATGAGCACCTGGATTAATTATGGAGAGTGGAGTTGTTGAATGCGTCTATAATACCATCTATATTGTAAGTCTCATCGGTCCTGATGGTCTGGTGTCTGACTAAATGTTATAATGAATTCAGAAAACCTTATAGGCTTTTATTAACTTACATCCATCTGCCAACTTAAAGGACAAGTTTACTGTGTAGAAGTTTCCTCCGTTCTGTTTTATGGATGAGGAACATGATCACTAAGAATAGAGAATATTCGGAAGTTACTAGTGTTCGATAATTGTCTATTTTGGGACTTCGAAGTGAACAATGCCGAGGTTAAACATAGATCACTGAGCTAAGATGGCAAGTTTATTGATCTTCATCAATTGAGATGGTTGAGACATTTACTCACTGAGTGTTGTCTGGTGTAGGAAAAAAGGCTGAGAAAAAAAACTGAAGTTGGCCAAACTAACACGACATTAATCTGTGAAGTCATTGACAACTAGGCCGAACCATCTGAAAAAAGGGACCTTTTTAATACCTGGCTCAGCATCTTTCTCACTGATGCAGGTGCATCTCTTCCTTTGTTTTCCTTCAGATCCTAAGCTTCTCAATTGTATATTATTTCTTCTTAAATTTATTTGATTAACTCATATTTTCTCGAATAATATCTTCAATTCGTAATCTTTTCTATCATTACTAAATACTATTACAACCATCTACTTACTCTGTCATTTGTCCTGATAATTTTTATCTCGTTACGCTTATGTGTGATATGCGAAACCTGAAGAAATGATAAACAAATCTGTACTAAATTCTACATCTCCTTACAATAACTGACTATTTTGATAACCATTATAATAATCAATACAGAATATTGGAGCACAGTTTTGGAGGTTTGCGTTTTTACACATTTGAAATCAATAATCAATCATCATTGTTAGACCACCATTAGAAACCTGGAAGCACTGGACGGCCGTTTCGTGGAGCAGGAATCGTGGATGCGCACTGCTGAGGAGTCCCATACTAGAACGAAACGGCCGTCCAGTGCTTCCAGGTTTCTAATGGTGATCTAACAATGATGATTGATTATTGATTTCAAATCAATACAGAAATTAACTTGCCTATATCCTTCATCCTATTCAATAATTACTACTCTATACTTCCTACTTCTTAGATTTTATTGGATAAATCATTTGATAACATTGAGAATTTGGTCAATTCACCAGCATCATCGCCTGAAGTAAACACTCAAAATCATGCATTCACTTCAAATAATGATAATAATAATTATAATGACGATGATAATAATAATAATAATGATAATAATAATAGTAATCTTTTGTCTACCGAGACGAATAATCATAATCTAGATGAAAATACATTAACAGAACAAGACAATCAAAGTAATTATAATAATACATTAAATAAAATGAATACAAATCAATTTCAATCTATTAAAATATTTATCAAAGAAGCATATAATCAAATATCACTTTTACATGCTACTTATCAAATTTTAACTGGACGTTCTAAAGAAGCCAAAGAACGTTTACAACAAATTGGTAATGCAGATTCAGGTGCTTCTATAATGGTTCGTGTAAATGCATTAATTAAATCAGCATGTTTAGCAATGACAGTTGATCAAGTAAGTTCAATAATATATTGTTTATGGTATATATATTTGTCAGCCAGTTAGTACTTGGAACTTCCTACAACCGAGTAGATCGAGGTTTCAGCAGACCAGTACTCGAAACGTTTGCATCAGCTGCATGAGGTAATAAAGGAATGAAAGAAGGGTTGATTTTTGGTGAAAAGAGAGTTATTTGTAGGTGTAGGAAGGATTTAATTGGTACCAATTTGATCTCACGTGCTGTTAGAAGTATGAGGGCGGATGTCACTTCCCGATCGCCCACATAATGGACAGGTATTTCTTGGGGAGCCTGAAACGAAAGTTGGATTAGCATTGGTCTTAGTGACCTGGGAGCGTTACTGCAGAGTCTAAGGGATAACTGCTTGAGGCCGGTCACGCACGGCCTTTTTACTGGAAGATTTTTTAGTGCTAGCTCCACTCTTCAAAAGGCCTTACTGCCGTAGACAGATATCCGTGGGGTAAGGTGAGGTATGACATTCTTGGGTCGACGTTTTATAACTGCTTCCTTCTCTTGCGAGAAGGCAGCATCGCTGCAGGTGCTGGTTGTCTGAGGGAAACACCTTACTGCTGTCGCACTCCTCTGCAGTCAGCAGTACGACTTCGCACTCAGACCTTGGATAGCTGCTTTTAGTCTCATCGTTCTCCATTCGACCTGCCTGGCATGGTAGAACCTACAGGGAACATATGTTCCAGTCAATATAGCCCGGTTGGGTCATCACGGTAGACAAGCTGGACGACCACGTCAAGGTAACAGCTACGGTTGGGTACACACATTTGTATTGATAGTTCGAACTGCATTCAAATCATTGTTATTTTGGCAATATATACACCTCGTGTGAATTGCTTCAGTCATAAATGAAAATGGATAGTAGCTAGCAGTGTATATATATTATAGGTTAAATTTTCCTGTAGCAAAAGTCAATAGAATTTGATCAGTAGTACTAAAAAATATCGTCAAACGTGACATTTATTGACTCTATTGAGTAATCAATCATCAGAAATAGTTCAGTCCTACAAGAAGATAATCAGTTACGACTGGGTCGACTCTGACTTTGACATGGATACATGTACTCTTTCCGTAACTCACATGATCTTAGTCTCCAGTATTTTCTTTATACATACATCTGCACTGTATCTTTCCATGCTATATTTTTAATTGTTAGTATATCTACATGATTTCTATTTATTTTGCCAATGTGATCTGTGGTAATTAGAGTCCTAAGCTCAGGGGGGGGGTTGTTTTCCCTGCAATCATATTATGTCAAACATGTGTTTTCCTGTTCGTCCCTACCCTCATGTATATGTTGTAGTGTGTAGTAGTCATATGTCAAGCCCATATGCGTTCTAGCTTTTGAATAAGTCAGTTAACCTATTCTTCCAGAGTCATTATTAACACATTCTCTGACCTTGTCAATCATTCACTTATAACGTTATATTTACTTGTGTGTATATACATTTCTTCCTTCGCTTATCACATATCTTGAGCTTAATTTTGTCCAATTATAAATACTTAGTCAGGCCTCATTGCATTGAGTTGGCTTACTCAACTTCCATTTTACACTTCCACATCCATATGGTCTATCTGTAATACATGAATGTATGAAATCAATTCATCCGATTGAAACCGTCATGGGCTTCTTCTGATTACCTCTGTTGCACAAACCCGGATTAACTAAAATATAGTGTATAGAAATTATAGGGAGATTTTTCTAGATTTTTATTAACATTTCTTTAAAATTATTCGTCTAAACTGGTGTCAGATCTGTAAGCCATTAAAAAAAAAAGAACAATCTACATTTCATGTATTTATTGTTGTTATTATTATTATTATTGTAGGATGTTGCAGCATGTCTTTATGACTTTCAACGTGCACAAAATATCTGGCCTGAATGTTCCGATATTTATCTTCATCGAGGTCAAATTAATCTATTATCTGATCAACTAGATGAAGCATTGCATGATTTGAATACAGCTGTAAAATTGAAACCAGAATTTTCTGTTGCACAGGTTAGTTAGTTAGTTGTAATGATTGTTTGTGTGTGTTTGCGTATGTTTGTACTCTGTTACATAACACAAATAATCAACATTGTGTATTGTTGAATTGAACACTGACTTTATATGAAGAGACGGTGTTACGCCTGCACGTAAACACGTCAACTTGATATACTTGAACTATGACGAGTTTACCAAGTTGGAAAACGAGAGCGAGAATCCGGCGACACGACATGCTACTCAAATCCGAGTATCCCAACCCCCATATTTAGTGAAAATAAGAAGACGTGATATGAAGTAGAACATGTATTCTACAAGCATCCAGAAAGTACGAGGTCCGAATCCAGAAGAGAATCAGAATCCCGAACTAGGGATCCGGGACCGAGCCCTGGTCGTGGTCATAAAATGTTACAGATAATGCGTATTTATACATTTTGGTCGAATAAGAAACAGCATCGAATTCTGTGGCATTGACAGTTAAGACGACCAGTAGGAAGTAACATTTAAAGTGACATTGATAGTCAGGACACCCAATAAGAAAGAACATTTGAAATGATATTGACAGTCCGGATGACCAATAAGAGACAACATTGAAGTATTTGACTTTGACAGTTAAAACGACCACAATTTTGACCAATAATTCTCGTAGGATATTGGATGAATATCCTAACAGACGGACACTACCGCTAACTCAGGTGTCATATCACATGGGCGGGAAAATGGAAATTTCGCTATTGCGAAAAAACTCCCTCGACATGAGACTAAAGGTAATGTGTTTGAACTGAAGGTTTCCTATGAGACCAGGAGTTTGTTGTGAACATTGTGGATGGTTTGACACGTTTTATAAACTTGTTTTGCAACGTGACCGATTTCATTGTTATACTGATGGTTGCCTTGCAACATTCCCCAGGGCCATTGTCATTGGGACACTGTATTGCATATCATCGTTGCTAATAATAATGAGCTTGACAGACATGTAGGGGGGATGGGTCAAAATAATCTGTTCATGCTGTGCATATTGATTGACGCGATCGTGGATCGAAACTAAACACTTAAAGCATCGGTGTATATAAATGGTGTAAATGGTTCACAATACAAATGTCAAAACAGTTCTACTGTATGGAGCGGAAACTTGGCGAACTACCAAAGCCATCATCCGGAAGATACAAGTATTTATGAACAGTTGTCTACTCAAAGTACTTCGAATCCGTTGGCCAGACACGATCAGCAACAACGTACTGTGGGAGAAAACAAACCAGATTCCAGTGGAGGAGGAAATCAGGAAGAAGCGGTGGAAGTGGATAAGACACACACTACGAAAAGCACCTAACTGCATCACAAGACAAGCCCTCACTTGGAACCCTCGAGGTGAAAGGAAAAGAGGAAGGTCAAGGGACACACTACGCTGAGAAATAGAGAAAGATATGAGAAGAATGAACAAACATTGGACAGAACTGAAGAGGGAAGCCCAGGACAGAGTTGGTTGGAGAAAACTGGTGGGCGGCCTATGCTCCATTGGGGGTAACAGGCGTAAGTAGGTAAGTAAGTAAATGGTCCACAAGGGTATCAAGTACCTGTGTGGTGGTTGCACCACAGGATTGAACTCTATTGTTCACAGGTTGTACTGTTAACTCCTGGAAAGTATTTGGTTCTGTTGCTAAAACCAGTGTAAAATAACCCTTGCATATTATTATTTGGGGTAAATTCATATAATTGTCAGTTGTGTACTGTATGAATGGATATCCATAATAAATTCCAGTGTTTATAAAGTAAGAAACTATTCTTTGGCAAAAAAATTAATCTAAATCTTCATCAGTATAGTTGGTTGTAAAGATTGTTGAGTAGTTACATTTGAAATTGTGAACAATCAATCAATCAATTATTCTTTTAAAATAAAAGCAATAAAATCGAATTCATGAAATTTTGAAATTAAAAGTAGAGATCACATCAAAAATGGCAAAAAAATAATTAGTAAGAAATTTCGTTTACTGAATTTCAAATTGATCACATGTTTATAATCAGACGAAAAAAAAAGGCTGGACACTACAGTTATAAATTAAATTGTTTTGATAGCTTATAACGTCGTTTACGCATTGTTTTAAATTTTTTATGTGGATACTATACCCACGTAGGGGAGTTGAAAAACCTAGATTTTAAACCAATTTTTCACGTTAGGATCCAGAATCTTGACAGAACAAATGGTAGTATGAACCTGTCGGTGGTTACTTGCTAACATGGGATCGCATTGTCTGGTAATTGTTCCACTGCCTTGTGAATTAAGACCTGTAGGTAAAAGATTTGGGAAAGTGTCTGCCTAAGAAAACCACTTGATTCAGTATCCTAGCAACCAATACACAAATTCCATAATTTGTGTGGCGCATAAATACTTGAGTGCTATTTTGTATTTTTTTTTTATGTGTTATTAAATTAAATAATCAAATTGTCTAAATGACAGTTGGTCACTAGACGAAATTATAAATGATCTAACTCCACTTTGCTTCATCTGTGATGAACTTGATGTAAGAGATAACATTGATTAGCCAAAATAAATTGGAATTTTTTTCATTCAATACGATTATATGTTAACATTACTCGCTATCTTACTTACTTACTTACTTACTTACTTACGCCTGTTACCGCTAATGGAGCATAGGACAATGACCACCGATCTGATTGGTATTCTTTGAGCAAGTGTAGTTTTACGGGATTAGATCGCTCCTACCCTTAATATACTGTGGATTAGTCAGTGGAAAAATATACACGACTAAAAGAAATCCCTTTTTTCATAGGGATATTTACTTTTCCCTAACAATCAATTCAAATTAATTGTCCTATCAGGTCAGCATTTACCACAGAATTAATGTAAGATCATTTTGTGACAATACATTTTGAATTGATTTTATTTATTGTTCAATTTTCCTTATAAAAATCACAATTCCGAGAAAATTGTCTCAATATCACCACTTCGTCACGTCACGTCAAGTAGAACCGGAACATGCTATACATTCCATCTGAGATTAGTTAAGTAAATCAGTCAATGTTTACACTCTGATTGTTAAATCAAACAACTTTCAGTTCAAACACTCAACATGCTGTCCAGTTGAGCTTCAACGATGCAAATAAATCCATTTAAGAATAAACGTCAACCGAAATTCCATTAATTTATCCATAATCCAACTTTACCTAATCTCTTTCTCTCTCTCTGTAATCATTCCCGAGTTTCATTGATTCCTTCCTTATAAAAGAGAAAAAAAAGAAACATAAACATTCTTTCATTCTTTTTCTATATTGTGTTGTTATTATTGTGATTGTTTCGTTTTTCTCTCTTTCTCTCTCTCTGAAAACAAAAATCTTATAGGCTCAACGTCTTTATGCCCAATATCGTTATGCATTAAATTCCGGTGATATGAATAAAGTGGATTCACGTATTGATGAATTTCGTCGATTAATCAAAAAATATCCTAATTGTTTAGAAACGCATTCATTATTTGCTCAGGTAAGATATATTTATTTATTTCAGTGTTGATGATTGAACTGTTTGATTGCTTAAATAGAAAGAGGTTTAGTGGTGGAAAAGTAAAGATTGTAATCAGTGATAGAGCATTGCTCGTATATCCTGGGACAATCGAGTAAGCATTGATATAGTTAGGAAACGATTATTAGGTAGGGATTGCAGATCAATTGATGAAGTAGTGAAAGTTCATCAGTTGAAGTGGTTGATTTTTGATTTCGGTCTCGTGTGCTGTTACAGGTATGAGGGCGGTTGTCACTTCCAGGCTGCCCACACCGTGGAAGGTGGTTTCTTGAGGAACCTGAAAAGGAGATAGATTAGTGTTGGTCTTAGAGAACTGGGTGCGTGACCGCAGAGCCCAGAGGACAACTGTTTGAGGCCGGCCACGTATGGCCTTTTTATGAGAAGTTTTTTGATTATCAGCTCCGCTCTTGAAAGCCCTTAGTGGGCACCCTTACCGCCGGAGACAGAAATCCGTGAGGTAGGGTGAGATGTGACATTTTTAGGGTCGACCTTTTCTAACCCTTCCTTCCTTGTGATAAGGCAGCATCGCTGCAGATGCTGGTTGTCCGAGGAAAACACATTACCGCTTTCACACCCCTATATAGTCAGGAGTACGACTTCGCCCTGAGACCTTGAGTAGCTGCTTTTAGTCTTATCATTCTCCAATTGACCTGCCTGGCATGGTAGAACCTTCAGGAAGATATGTTCCAGCCAATATAGCTCGGTTGGGTCATGACGACAGTCAAGCCTGACCACCACCTCAAGGTAGCAGCTACGGTCGGGAGTGGTTGGGATATGTGTTATGAACGACCGACTGGCTTGGCGAGCTGTTTTGTGGTGTAGGAGTAGGTTGGAAGAAAGCTAGGGGTGGCCAAACCAAAACATGGCAGAAATCCATGAAGTCATTGACAAGTGGAGTGAGTCATATTGGCAGATGATTAGAGACCTTGAACGACATAGCTCGGAATCGTTTGCAATGGCACAGGTGCATTGATCTATTGTGTCCTTTCATCAACACTTCTACCTTTGTCTTTCTAAACTTATCTCACTGAATTATACTTCTTGAATCATGTCTTCAAACCGTAATCTTCTCCATTACTAGTAATACTTCTACTATCGCTACCACTATTGCATTTAAACTGACAGTTGCGTCTATGTGTTGATGGTGTATGGCAGCCTGAACTTTTGTACTCATGTACGAAGTCCTACGTTGTAACTGAATGGCTGTAGCCATTGATAACCACCCACTTTTATATGTGAAAATAGATAGTTGTGACCATTGTTTGTATGTTGAATTGTCCGGTTCTCGATGTCGTTCGGTAACTGTGAAGTAAGCAAGTGGTCTTGTTATAGTCAAGCGTCAGCTGTGTCTACAAACTGACTGAAAACTTAAACGAAATCAGACAAAACTCTCTTACCTTATATTCCTATTTCTTAATTTTATCATCCATAATAGTTAGAAGAATTTACTTTCCTGGTTACAGCCGAAAGTGAGGAGTGGGTTCACTTATTCTCTCAAAATGCTCTTGTATAGCCACTACTAGAAAAGTTCTGTTCAATACCTTCTGTTGCTGTGGATGTTGCTCACGAAATTGTGGTAACAAACAGCAAATGTCCGGCCAAGGTTTAAACTAAGTGAGTACGATGGATCTACCTGAGCGATATACAAAACCATGATTCCAAACTAATGGTGCACATGAATCTTGAAAGAAAAAGTGGTCATTGGCTTTTCCTAAAGCACTACATCTCTTAATGTTGTTCGAATGAATACCTGTTGTTTAAATCACCTATAGATGAAAAGGCTCCCTAAGAAAACCACTTGCTTCAGTTTGAGTACGCGAGTACAGTATTCTATCCCACACATATATTACACTGATTTGTATGGTTCATAAATCTTTCGGTGCCTTTTTTAATAATTATTGTTTTAAAATCATGAATCGACCAATGTTAGACCTGGAAGAACTGGACGACCGTTTCGCGTCCGAGACCGGAAGTCCAGGATTCGATTCCTGTGGTTAGCGGTAGTTATGGATGCACAATTGCCACTGATGAGTCCCATACCAGGACAAAACGACCGTCCAATGCTTCCATGTCCTTAGTGATGATAGCCTAATATTGACTGATTCATTATTTCAAAGTAACTTAACAATTTCCACACCCCTATAATGATAATTATGTGTTTAATTAAATAATTAGTAGTTAATTAGCGTAAATATTTAATCGTATCAGTTGAAATAGATTTATTCCATATCTTTCTGTAAATGAAATTTAACAATGAGAGCTTTCACTTTATTCTTATCCTCCTTGCAACCCGATAAAATCACTGTCAACATTAATTCAAGCAGTATTATTATTATTATTATGGGCTTGTACTTGGTTGTTATTACGTATGTCATATTGACATTGATAATACAGAACAGGCTTATGTTTGACTTGTATTGTTTATTATGACAATTGATAAAACAAATTTCAAAACAACAAGTAGTCACTTTATAAAACGTAACTTAGCTTGTATGTGTGTGTGTGTGTGTGTGATTGTTTTAATCAAGCCTCAGTATGTTGTTATCATTATGAATGATGTGTTCTCATTTATGTAATCTATATCAAGTATTGATTATTGAAGATTAGTTTTGAATCAATAGATGCGTCGCAATATTTTTGCTAACTGAATATTTTTTTCCTTCCATATTGTGTTGCATCTTTAGTTCGCGCACGCACACACACACACACACTAAAAGATCTCTTGTTTTAGTTATGAATAGTATTGTTATATGCTCACATGTTATCTTAGTTAATCAAACACAACGTGTCATCTGGTACATGTGTACGCTTTCGTTCAAGTTACTGTACTTTTCACTGTTATCATAGTGAAATGAGGCAAATCCTGAAATAGTAGACTGTAGTCATAGTCCAAAACAAAAGAATGGGTGCACCGGAATCATGTCATTCAGTATCTCTAACTGTTGATTACATTTTTTATCAGCTGAACTCTAATTAGAGATGGTAGCAAGAGGTGTCAGAAAAGTTATCACAGGGATAACTGGCTTGTGGCGGCCAAGCGTTCATAATGACGAAAAAAAAAAATCCTTCGATGTCGGCTCTTTCTATCATAGTGAGGCAGAATTCACCAAGCGTTGGATTGTTCACCCACTAATAGGGAACATAAGCTGAGTTTAGACCGTCGTGAGCCAGCATAGTTTTACCCTACTAATGAGTTTAAACAATGTAGGGGTAAGGGAAGTCGGCAAATTGGATCCGTAACTTCGAGAGAAGGATTGTCAATAGCCAAGCTAAGTGGAAAGTGTGTGAAACCTTCGAATTGAGTGTATATGTGTACATAGAACATCAAAAGCCTGGGTTTTTTTTAACCTTTTTTCTCTAAAACAAAATTCATGATTGAATTGATTAAGCCATATGTGTTTGTTTTTGAATTCCTATCGTAAATAATAATGATGATGATGAAAATGTTCTCTTTTTCTTCCATTTGTCATTGAATCCCCATCCTGGACACACACACACAGGTTCTTTCCGAGCATAATGATTATAAAGAAAGTGACAAAGTATTTGCTGATCTTATAGCACTTGCACCAGACTCAGGCTTAGCTTATGCACATCGTGGTCTATTACAATTAAAATGGAAACAAGATCGTGATGCAGCATTATGTTTCTTCTTGGAAGGTGTTCAACATGATCCAAAATGTGAACTACTACATGAATTATTAGGTCAATTAGCTGTAGAAAAAGGTGAATTCCAAGAAGCATTGAAACATTTCAATATGGCAATTCAACAAGCTAAATCACAAAATGATTTAGCGCATATGATTGCATTACGTGAAGGTGTTAGTGCACAATTGAAAATCTGTGAACAACATAACCTGTCTATCAGGGATGTGATCACAACTATACAAGAAGAACAACAACGATTTCTAATGGCAATGCAAGAGAAATTGTAAATCACTAACACACACATACACACACACACACAATATATAATGACTGACTTCCGTTATCATTGTTATCATCAATCACAAGGTGAGAAGAAAACACAGAAAAGCTCTGACATTTTTGTCATTTTTTTTTTAATATATAGTTTGTTTGTTTGTTTGTCCTGCCTTGTTTTTTCGTCTTTTTTTTTCCCGAAACATCTGTGAAGATTAGAAGCGCGCGTTAAACGACAACACATTTCTATCATCATCAACATCAACATCTTCCTTATTCATTGTATTGTCTCATATTTATTTATTTTATATACATTTTTTGTATAAAAGAAGAAAATAATTGTTCATTCACCATTTTTTTTTAACATCATTCCGTCTTGATTCACTAATTTGTTTCACTATCTTGCTCGCCCGCTCTCTCTCTCTTCGCACTACTACTTGTGAGTAGTATTCGATATTTTTCTCAATATTCTGAACGAGTGCGTGCTTGTGTTTTCTCTCTGAATTTTCTTTGTGAAGTAACGACCATTGATTTGACCAGTTCGCTCTTTTTTCTTTCTTTCTATAAAATCGTTATTCGTGTTTAAGACACGTCGTTGGTTTAAATAGAAGAATGTACATTGGTTCAAACAGTGATTCAAGGTGTTCAATTTTGTATAACTACTATTCAATTGTTAGAATTCTAAAACTTCTTTAACACACATTTATTTCAATTTTTAGCAAATAACCGATAGTAGTATACTTGAATGGTTACACTTGTAGTAAGTATTGTGTCAAATATACCACCAGTTTATATAAATATATATATATAACATGTGTATGTATGGTGATTTCTTTGTGTTATGAAAGAACAATGAATTCCTTACTAAATAATCTCACAATTTAAATGTACAAATTTTAGGTTTTGTTGTTCTATCGATGAAAAATTGTTCACATATAAAATATTAACATTTTTTTTTACTGATCAGACGTATGAGAGAATCTACAATTTTATATATCAATATGTCGACAGTTTTATAAGCAGAGATAGATAGTGGGTGGCAG